TCTCCCTTTCGCAAGCCGCAAGTCTGCCACCGCCTCGTCGACCGCCACGTCCACCTCGATCCACTGGTACCTCGCTCCACCTTCCACCACCTCCGCGTCGTCAACAGCCTCGCGCTCGTCCTTAGTGCCGACCTCAAAGACGTACGGTGGAAAGCTGGGGGTTTCAGCGCTTCGGGCCAGGAATAATCAGCCGTGGACGACGCTCTGGAACGGAACGTACGATATGCCTTTCATTCCGGCCAGTATTCGCCTCGGCGAATGGCTTTGGAACCCCCGCGCGCGATGCGATTTGAACAACCCGTACGATGATCCTCGGAACTCGAGCGCCGCAGCGGTGGCTAGGTCGATACGGCTGCTGTCGATGGTTCAGAACTGGGTGTCTATGGACTTTGTGCGTCAGCGTGGCCTCATGCAAACGAAGTCGAGCTGATCCTCGTCCCCTCCGCAGCTCATGTCGCACAACCTGACGCTCAAAGATGTCTGCTACCGCAATATGACGATTCGCAATCCCGCCAACGGCAAGTCGTATACTGTAAAGGTCCAAGGAGCGGCGGTATCAATGTTCGGCATGAATGGTACTTTCGTTGCGGTGCCGACGAATGAGTACGAGCTGGACAACCCGCCGCCGAGGTGGAAGACTATCGGCCTCGACTACAAGTCGCTCGTCGAGTTCGAGATCGAGGGAATCGACGTGTAAGAAGAGCAGAGTGTGGGCGAGGAGTGTGCCAGGGACATCGCGGGCGATGCGGAGGAAGAGCCGAGCAGAGTGAGGACAGTTGCTGGAATCAGGCTTTCGCATGGGTTTCTACAAGCCGCTGTGAAGAAGATCGTCAGCGTGCGAGCCGAGATCGGGTGAAAGAGACGCACCTTGAGCGCCGCCGGCTGCGCGCCCATAACCTCCTCCAGCTTCGTCATCTCCTTGAACACCATGAATGCCGGAACGGTGCGAATACCAACTTCTTGCGCTGCTTGCTGCGAGAGAGACGGCTCGAGGTGAGCGTTCGCAGCGGGAGCAAGCAGTCGCCAACGCACCTCGTTCACGTCGATGTCGCAGACGAAGAAGTCGAGCGAGCTATGCGCTGGGTCGTCGCTCAACTCGGCGAACAACGGCGCCATGCTCTTGCACGGCCCGCACCTGGAGTACGGCACGTCAGGGAAAGCAGGCGGACGAGCAAGAGGATTCGTACTCGCCAAGTTGCGTTGAACTCGATGATAGCCGGCTTCTCGCCGTGGATAGCGTTCTGGAAACCCATCCAGTCCTTGATGACCTTGACCGTCATCGTGCTAGAGGAAGGCGGCGATGCAAGGTCGCTGAGGGTGCGTTGAAAAGCTCTGTAGAGGAGATGAAGACGGGTCAGCCCGGCACGCCCTACTTAGAGGCTCAAATGGGGAGATTTGCGGTGGAGTGTGGCGCCGGTAGGCCTTGTTGGCGCGAGACACCCTCTCGGAGGATGAGGTGGGGAGGAGGTGAGGGAAGGACGAGTACGGACGGCGAGGCTGCGTCAACTACTTGAGCAGGTAGCAAAGGTCGTTCGGGCGTTGTGCAAGCAGTAGCAAGCGCCTGGAGCGACGTGAGACGGAGTGGAGACGACGAAGGTGCGACCGCGAAGTTGGGTCGAGGTCGAACAGCTCGCTTGAACCGCGAGGCGCGCGCTCGAGGTCGTCAAGCGTCCGTAGACTTACTCAAGAGTGTTCCAGGCGACGGCAGAAGCAGAGGACACCCGCGGCGATCTTGTCGACCATGTGAGGAGCCAAACCAACCATTCGAGCTGAGGAGAGGGCATTGCGTAGCGATACAAGCGCGAGAGTACATGCAAGAATACACGAACGCGTCTAGGGAGGCCGCTCACTGTTGCTGGCAGCCAGGACCTTCCTCGTCCTCGTCGTACGGTCGGCCATTGCCGTGGTACTGAAGGGCAGATAGGTCAGTACGGGAGCGTTCATCAGAGCACAAGTGCCGGCAACTCACCCACTGCTCGTCGTCATCGGCGCTGTCCTTCTTCTCCTCGAGGACGACGTCGTCAACGTCCTTCCCGTCTTCGACGGTGTTGACCAAGTCCGGTCTTCGAGGCGGCAGCAAGCCCCTCAGCGTGTCCACACCTCCCTTCTCCGCCAGGCCCATCGCCCACTGCTCGTCCGGCATCGCGACCTCGATCTTGAGAATAAGGTCGCCCTTCTCCCCCTTGCGCCACATGCCCTCGCCAGGTACGACCACCTCGTCACCAGTCTTGAGGACGCGCCAGCCCCGTTGACCTGGTGCGGGCTGGTTGACTCGCAGGCCTCGGCCATCGAGGTGGATGAGGATGAGGCGGGAGAAGCCGAGGAGGGATTCGGAGAGGGTGAGCGAAAGCGTTGTAGACAGGTCGGCGGGACGGTCGGAGCGATGATGGGGCGGAGGGACGATGGAGAAGGTGGGATGAGGTAAAGGTCGGACGATAATATGCAAGTCGCCGGGTGAAGATGAGTCGGGCTGGCAGCGAGCGAAGTTCGTGAGCTTGACTTTCAGGGTACAAGCGAGGTGCGACGTACCGACTCGTCGCCCTCATCCTTAATGACGATCGTCTCGCCAAAGTGCATCCCGCGCTCAAGGTAGAACTCGACGCGCTTCTTCTCCTTGACCGTCCGCGCACCCTTGCACTTCTTGCAGCTGCGAATGAGCAGCGTGAGCCACACGATAAAACTGACCGACAAAATGAAGTGCACTCACGCATCTTGATCCCGAACTTTCATGCCGCGTCCATCGCAAAGCGAGCATCGCACCGGTACCCGCTGGATGTAGGGCCCCATCTGCCGCATGGCGAACGTCTGTCCCTGCCCGTTGCACTTCATGCACGGCTTTGCCTGCCGCCCAGGCTTGGCCCCGCTGCCGCCGCACGGCCCGCACTTGCGCGTCCGCTCGACCGAGAGCGTCTTGTTGGCGCCGTTGTACAGCTCCTCGAGCGTGACGGGCAGCTCAAACTCCGACGGCTCCGTCTGCGTCTTCCGTCGTTGCCGTGGTCGACCACCTCCACCGCCCATACCTGGCGGAGGACCGCCCATCCCGCCGAACATTTCCGCGAAGAAGTCGTCGAACATGTCCGCCCCGTCGAATCCTCCTGGTCCTCCCCGTCCGCCAGTTCCCTTCTCGCCGAAGTTGTCGTAGTCTTCTCGCTTCTCTGGATCGCTGAGGGTCTCCCACGCGCGCTGGATCTCCTGGAATCGGGAAGAATCCGCAGGTGTGCCGTCTGAAGACGACTGCTTGTCCGGGTGGTGCTGAAGAGCGAGCGTCCGGTATGCTGTAGGACTCGAAAGCGTCAGTACGGGTCCTGTAGCGGTCCATTCACCATTTGCTGGCGCTGGCGAAAAGTGTCGGCAAGAGGAGTGGCTGTGTTGACAAGTCCTCGTCCAGCGCACAAGTTGCTACGAGTACAGACAGGGGAACATCTGCAGCTCACCTTTCTTGATCTCGGCATCGCTTGCGTCCGGCGTGACGCCTGTGAGCGCGCAAGAACCAAGGTCAGCAAACGGGGGCGAGACGAGCGAGGACAGCTGGGGCGCACCTAGAACGTCGTACAGCCGAGTGTCTGCAACCATGCGAGCCAGTACAGCCAGTCAAGCAAGCAAACCAGCGAGAGGCAGTATAGCGTGCTGATCAGCTCGCAGGTTCGCCTCGACTACACTGCTAGCCTCGCTTCTACCGCTTCGATAGGCCAGATTGACTGGCCCAAGCTGCCACAAGGATGGAGTTTGCCTCGTCACTGCTCTCGTCGGCCGCCTCGTCACTTGCCGCCGCGCAGAAGCCGACTCTCGCCTCTGCGTATGCTGTTGACAGCTCTGTCCCGGCGGTCCACATTGGCGTCTGGAAGGTCGTCAGGGCGAAGCACAATGGCGGATCAGGGCGGGTAGTCAGTATCTGGACGGCGGACAAGGGCACGCTCGTTGGCAGCGGCTCGAGCAGACGAGGTGGGGCGTCTAGGGATCGCGAGCGCGACGCAGAGCGGCTCAAGTACGCCGTAGACGTGCTGAAGAAGGAGGTGCGTACGTTTCGACCGTCCCTGACTCCGCCCCACTGAGCCTTGGCATTGACAGGCTTCCTCACTCTCTCGACTGCGACATCCTTGCGTCCTCGAAATGGCGGAACCGATGGAGGAATCGCGTTCGACGATCCTGTTTGCGACGGAGCCCGTCACGGCGTCCTTGCGGCAGGCGATCAACGCCTCGGACGCGGCACACGACTCGTCGCGAAGAGGCTCGTATCGCTCGAAGGAGGAGCAGGACCTCGAGCTGGACGAAGTCGAGGTGCAGAAGGGACTGTCGCAGCTGGGTAAGGGTCTGCAGTTCCTCCACGAGTCAGCCAAGCTCGTCCACGGAAACTTGCGACCCGAATCAGTCATCATCAACGCTAAAGGCGACTGGAAGCTGTCCGGCTTCGGCCTGGCGCAGTACCTCTTCTCGCCCGACGGCGTTCCCGCCAAGTGGGAGTTCCCAGCCTATGACCCGTCCCTCCCGCCGACGTGCCAACGCGACTACGACTACATCGCGCCTGAGTACATCTGCGACGAAATGCCGCCTGCTCCTTCGAATGACATGTACTCCCTCGGCTGCATCCTCCACGCCATTCACACTCATACCGGCCCTCCCTTCTCGAACCGCAACTCGCTCGAGAACCTGCGCACCAACGTTGACGAAGGCCTCTCCCGCAACCTCGTCTCGTCGCAATGGCGGAAGCTGCCCCAAGACGTGCAGGAAGTTCTTGCGAGCCTCTTGACGCGATACCCGAACCGGCGAATGACGGCGGCGCAGTTCCTTCAAAGCCGGTACTTCGAAGGATTGCTCGTCGGAACGCTGCGATTCCTCGAGCGCGACTCTTTCGCCGCCAAGACGAGCGAGGCGCAGGCCTCATTTCTCAAAGGTCTCGTCTCGGTCCTCCCGCAATTCAGCGACAAGGTCGTCCGGCGGAAGATCCTCCCTTCCCTCCTCGAGGAGACCCGCAAAGCCAACCTCGTCCCGTTCCTCCTTCCAAACATCCTCTACATCGCCGGCAAGATGTCGCCCGACGACTTCCGCGTCGAAGTTCTCCCGTCGCTCAAGCCAATCTTCACGCTGAAAGATCCGCCCCAAGCGGTCGTCGCGCTCATTGAGGCGCTGCCGACTTTCGAGCAGAAGTGCACGCCGACCGTCTTCCGCGAAGGTGCGCGCTTCACCGCTACTTTTCTACGATGACTGACGTTCTCTGCTCGCAGAGGTCATGCCACTCGTCTACTTCGCCCTCGAGAGCGACAATCCAGTCGTCCTCGAAAAAGCTCTCCGCACCATCCCCAAACTCTGCGAGTCGCTCGACTACACAACAATTAAGCAGACGCTCTTCCCCAAGATCACGACTGTCTTCACGAAGACGACGCTGCTCTCGGTGAAGGTCAAGTGAGCTGGCCCTTCGATCTCCGTCATCGACTCAAGCTGACGCTTCCGCCCGCAGCACCCTCATCTGCTTCCACGCCATGATCCCCGTCCTCGACAAGTTCACCTTGACGGAAAAGCTCGTCCCGTTGCTCGCGAAAATCAAAACGAAGGAGCCGTCCGTCATGATTGCAACGCTGGCCGTCCACGAGGAGATGGGCAAGAAGTGCGAAGTCGAAGCGAGTGCGTCCGCGCTCTTTCTCCAGATACAGGACGGCTGGCTCACGCACTTGCCCCTCCGCAGTCGCAACACTCATCCTCCCACAGCTTTGGGCGATGAGCATCGGCCCGCTGCTAAACGCCGACCAGTTCGCCAAATTCATGTCGGTCATCAAGAAGCTTTCGGCGCGCGTCGAGGACGAGCACATGAAGCACTTGGCGGAGCTGAAGCGACTCGAGGAGAGCAGCGGCACGACATCACTCAACGGGCCTGCGAACACAGGAACAGGCGCGATTCAGGCGGCGAACGTGACGGACTTTGAGAGTCTGGTCAGAGGGAAGGTGAACGGGCAGAAGGTGAACGGACTTGGCGGAAGGGGCAGTCAAGTGGACATCTTCGCCGATGACTCTCCTGTGAGCTCCCTCCCATCCTGCGCCGCCGTCTGCGCAATAGCTAATGGACTTCGCGCCCGCAGGCCATGACGCCAACACCGACCGGCAACGGCTTCAGCTCGCCTCCTCTACCCGCTCTCCCAACCTCCTCACCTCCCTTCGCCTCGACCTCGACCTTCGGCTCTCCCGCTCAACCGATGCGACCCGCCTCTTCCTCACGGCTGTCTACATCTTCCGTACCGTCAGCCAGTCGGAAGTCGCTCGGCGCGCGAACCATTCCTTCCGCCTCCTTCAACACCTCCGCCTTCCCCTCCCCCGCTGCTGCGCCCGCATCGCCTGCTTCCATGACCGCCAACCCCGCGAAGACGCCCTCCGCGTCTCTCAAGTCGTTCGCAGCTCTGCAGCCCGGTCCAGCACGAACACCATCTGCATCTTCGCTCTTCACAACCAGCTCCGCCTCCTACTCCCAGCCAAATTACAACCTCTCGCTCTCCACCACCCCTTCCAGCGGCGGTCTCCCCGCTCTACAACCGACAACGTCGTCTCTGTACGGCTCTTCGTTCTCAGCACAGCCGGCCCCGCCTGTCCAGTGGAATCGCGTGCCGCCTCTTGCGCCTTCTCCCTCTCCCTCGACCCCATCCTCCGCCTTCTCTCCGCCTCTCCAGCCAGCGTCAAAGCCTTCTTCGCCCCTACCACCCGGCTACAACCCTTCGGCGACTATGCAGCCTTTGCAAGCGCAGCGACCCGGAGGAGCGTCTCAGGGGAACAAGCCTGCGATGGACTTTGGAGCGTGGGCGGATCTGGATCCTCTGAAGTAGGCGTGGATGGAGCTGTTGCAACAGTAGACAAGTCTTACGACGCGGTAATGCGAACGCTGTCATCATCGTGAGAGGCGGTGCGAACTCGTTGCCTTCATCCTCTCGCTGCTCTCTCGCTTGAGGACTGGCCAGCTGCTTGGCTGCTCTCTCCGCTTTCCTTCAACTCCAGGACTAAACCCTTAGCCCGGCCAGGTAGCGCCATCTCGACTTTCCGACCCACCTCGTCGTCGTTCAACAACGATGGCTTTCACCGCCGACCGCGCTCCGTTCGTGCCCGTTCGGAAGCACAAGGCCAGTACAAGTCCGCCGCAGTCTCCTGTGCCTTCCACGCCGTCCTCTCGCTTCTCTCGTCCCGAGCCAGCCCAACCTCTCTTCGCCGCCCCTCCTCTGCGACCTCTCTCGACCCCTCTCGGCCCGAGTACCGCGCACAATGTCCCGTCATACACCGCACAGGCAGGTCCTCTCTCGGCGCGCAAGGTTGTCGCAGCCCCGAACGATCTCTTCGCCCCGTCCTGCCCCTCGTCGCCGCTCCCTCCGCCTTCTTCAGCACCTCGGATCCGTGCAAAGATCACGCCCTTGGCCGCACCGCGACGGAAAGCGCTGCCCGGCGCGGAGCATGCGGACGTACCCGTTTCCAGCGGCTTCAGCCCGCTCAAACGCGCTCCTCCGCCCAGCGTTTCACCTGTTTCGCCGCCTGCGAACGGGTTCGGAGGGTTCGGCGCTTTCCCTAAGGTCTCGCATGTTGCACAGAACTGGGAAGTGGGCGCACTGAGGGGCGGAATGTCGGGCCTCGGGTTGGGCTCGATCAGCGAGGTCGAAAGCCGGAGTGTCAGGAAGGGAGGGAGGGACAACGTTTTGGTCTGCGTCAGGTGCGTCACGACCCGCTTTCACAGACTTGATTCTTGCTGATGCACTCAGTGCGCAGGGTCCGACCGCCGGCCGCCAAGCTCGCCGCCTCGAACCAGATTGTGGACGAGATTGCCTGGGAGGTTGACCGGGCTAATGGACGACTCGCGCAAAGTACCGGCGGACCCGACTACTTCTTCGGTCAGCTGTACTGCTACTCGCCTCCCAATGACCCGCACTTACGCTGCCTCCCTCGTAGACTCGGTCGTAACCGGCTCGCACAACTCCGACGTGTACGACGAGGCAGGGCGGGACCTTGTGCTGTTCGTCGGCTCTGACGGATTCTCACAGCACCAGGCTGACGGTTCTGCCTGCACAGCGACGCGATGGAAGGCTTTGATGCCGTGATTTTTGCGTACGGTCAAACTGCGTCCGGCAAGACATTCACGCTTGTGCGTACTCCTACTCAGCGCGTCACTGTGCTTCACCGCTGACGCGTATCTCGCAGTCCGGCAACAATAGCAATCCCGGCATCATCCCTCAGGCCGTGTCGGAGATCTTCACCTACATCCGCGACGTGAGATACGAACTTCTTGCTCAGACGAGCACGAACTGACGACCTACTCTGACAGCATCCGGAGAAAGAGTTCCTCCTGCGCGCTTCTTACCTCGAAATCTACAACGAGTCGCTGAAGGATCTGCTCGACCCGACGGCGGGTCCCGTCAAGATCAGGCAGGATGAGCAGGCGAGTCTCGCTTCCACTCGCAGTTCACGGATGCGCTGACGCCCGGATGTCTTGCAGAAACGCTTCTTCGTTCACCCGCTGCGGGAAGAGGTCGTCACGACGGAGCAGCAAGTTGCGGACTTGCTCAAGCGAGGCGCCGACAACCGACATGTTGGCCAGACGGACTTCAACGAGCGAAGTTCTCGATCTCACAGCGTCTTCCAGATGGCGCGTCTGAAACGTCCTCCTCCACGTTGTTTCGTCAAGCTAACTCGCCCGCCTACAGACTATCGAATCTCGCGACAACTCGGCGTCAAGCTTCCCTGAACCATCCACGCCCCGTCGCATGCAGACGCCGAACACGCCTCGCCTCGCACCAGGCTCAGACGGCGTCGTTCGCATGAGTCGGCTGAGCCTCATCGACTTGGCGGGAAGCGAGCAAGCGACGAGTCAGCTCGAGCGGCGAAGCGAAGGCGCCTTCATCAACAAGAGTTTGCTTACGCTCGAGAAGGTCATCGCCTCGTTAACGAGCGATGCGAAGCAGAAGTACGTTCCTTCCTTCCCTCTCGCCGACGTCCTGGCTGATCCTGCCTCGTTCCGCAGGCCGCATGTCCCGTACCGCGACTCGAAGCTTACGCAGATCCTGCAGCCGTCGCTGTCAGGAGACGCTCGCGTAGCCGTCATCGCGACGATGAACCCGTCGCCGGCTGCCATCGAGGAGACAAAGTCAACTTTGCGGGTGGGTGGTCCCATTCGTCCTGTAGATTTGTGACCGGCTAACGCAGAGCCGCCTTTGCAGTTCGCCCAGCGAGTCAAGCGGGTTGTGCTGAAGGCGGTACAGCACGAGGTTGTCGATGACAAGGCGCTCATCACCAAGTACCGGTCACACGTGCGTTCTTTCCGACGCTTACGCACGTCCTTCGCGTACTCACACTTCTCGCACAGATCGCAATGCTCGAAGCTCAGCTCAAGGCGACGCTAGCGGGTAACACGGCCCCGAACACGCCTTCGCAGGCAGATCTTGCCGCAGACCAGAGTCGAGTGCGGTTGTATCTCGACACGCGCCCGTTGTCGCTTGCTGACAATCATCTTTTGCAGAAAAAGCAGGCCGAGCGGGTCCAGGATCTCGAGCGGCAGGTCGAAGAGTTCCGCTCTCTGTTCTTGACGAGCCAGAACATTGAGAAGCGACGGCAGAGCGTGAGTGGCGACTGCGCGAGGTTTTCGCGCGCCTTCTTTTACTGATGTAAATTGCCGACGACATACAGGCGCTTCCTCCTCGACCTGTCTCGCCAATCAAGGTCGCTCGCTCCTCCACTCCGCCAGCCGATATAGCCGCTCTCGAGGAGAAGCTCCTCGATGCGCAAGACGAGATTGCCGCGCTCAAAGACGAGCGCGACGAGCTGAAGTCGCGAGTCGCCGAGCTCGAAGCGGACCGACTCTCAACACTGCAGAAAGACGCCTCAGCATCCGACTCGGACAAGGACGCCCGGATACTTGAGCTCACGAAGGAGAACCAGGAGCTGCTGGTCATCGTCAGGAATGCCGACGTAGAAGGCGAGATGAAGCGGCAAGAGCGCAAGTACGAGCGGCAGCTCGAGAAGCACCGGTTGTACCAGGAGGGTCTGGAGAGTACACTCGAGCAGGAGCGCAAGGTGCGGAGGCCGACGTTCCATTCTGTCAAGTGCGAGAGAAACTCACGATTCCCTCCATCGCAGCGAGTCGCTCAGTTCGAGCGCTTCATCCTCCAGCACCTCAGCGCGCAGACCGAGGTGCTCGCTGGCCGTCGTCGCTCGTCCGGCGGCATCACTCATTCCGCTTCGGTCACCGGCTTCGTCCCTCTCATGGCCGAGTCCCCACAACTTGACGCCATCAGCCCTGACTTTGTCGAGCTGGACGACTTGCCGTTCTCCAAGGCGGGCAAGGAGACGATCTCTCGGTCACGGTCACGGATGTTCTCCTGATCTGACAAGCGACGCAGTGCCGTCGCAGGGCTACCGTAGCTATCTTTCGTTGTCAACGCCTCAGCCAGTATTCTCGATATATCGTGTGGGCGATGGCTACAGCACTCGTTGCAGGAGTGTTCGCAAGTCATTTTCGCTTCCTCCAGCTAGACCGCAGAATTGGCGTTCGTCGTTGTCGAGGTCATCTGGCACTGTGAGGGCCTGCTTCGAAAGCAGTGCGACCGCGTCCTCTGCCGACAGGCGTTGGCCTGCCGAGACCTGCAGCATACGAGGAAGTATTGTGGCCAGAGGCGATGCTGGATGGAGATGCGGGAGATGCGAGAGAAGATCGGTCGGAGGGAAGGAGGCGAACGTGAACCGGGCGAAGTTGGGTATCTTGGCCGCTTCCTGCGACGAGGCACGCCTTCGAAGGTCAGCGATGGATTCGTCAAGCAAGCAGCTCGCGACTGACCGGCCAAGTCTCGGAGGTAGGCGTGCCGCAGATCTTGAAGATGCTCGCCGCAAGGAGGAAGTCGCTCGCTCCGCCGTCAAAGAGCGTCTTCCGCTGGAGCTCGGGAGGTGGTGGTGGCGTCGCATGCTGGCGGTAGTAGCGCTGAAATGAGTCTTCGGATCCGGGTGACTGAGGGGTCGGGTAGTCGAGCGGGGTGAAGCACTCTGCCAGCGTAACCGCTGTTGCCCAGAGGTCGATGGCGGGAGCGTCGTAGTCGCGAGAGGCGAACACGAGTTCTGGTGCTCGGTATGACCTGCATGTCCGCGAGAGGTGAACGGTTGCGCGCGAAGACAGTGCGACGAGCAACTCACCCTGTTCCGACCTCGAAGAACATGCTGCCCGGCTCCTCGTCCTCGGCTTCGATAGCGATGCCAAAGTCGATGAGGACTAAACGGCCACCTTCGCTCAGCACCAGGTTGTTCGGGTTGATGTCGCGGTGAGCGATCCCATGGCCGTGCAGGTAGGAAACGGCGGAAAGAAGCTGAAAAGCGAGGGACTCCGCTAGAGTCTGGAAGTCGGGTGCATCCAGCACGTGGGGAGTGAATCTAGGGGAAGCGAGGAGTTCGCGGAAAGTATGGGGATAGTAAGGCGTGAAGAGGGTGATGCGCGGGATTGAGAGGTCAGATGCTGGGGTAGCGTAGGCGTTGTGCAAGGAGAGTATCTGCGCTAGCGTGAGTCAGGAAGTAGACGAGCTTTTGATACGGTTTATACGCACATTTGGGTGATTCAGCTTGGCCAGCAGTCTCGCCTCCCTTCGCCCATCTCGTGGGATGCGCGAGCGGTCCTCCTCGATCGCCTTGATCGCGACGACCGAGTGAACCCCTCCACGCAGCCATCTTGCCACGTGTGATCTGTCGTTGGAGGAGCCGCAGCGTGCGAGATCCGCCAGGAAGATAGGTCTGCCTTCGAAAGGACGGATGGTGGCCAAGTCGATGCCGATTGCGCGACCCTGCAGCACGCCAGCTTCGAGCAATGTCGGAGGGTCGTCGACGTTGTAGTCTGGCGTCGACATGATGCGTGCTCGAAGCGGAAGAGTAGGGTCTGCGGGAAGAACAAGGTCAGTCGCCTCAGCGACGGGTCAGGCGGAGCTGTGGCTCCTCCAGACTCACATTCCAAGCCTTCTATAGCCAGTAGCGTTCCACCAGCGCAGCCTTGAACGTCCCAGAACCTGTCCTTTCCCCGATCCCACCGTTGATTGATGAAGTCCGAAGAAGTAGTCGCAGGCGCAGAGGGGCGCTGGATCCGGTGCTGATACCAGCAGAGCAGGTATACGAGCCACTCTGGCGATTGAAACCAGCCACAGAGCCAGAGGAGGCTGGAGGGGACGAGGGAAACCAGCGTATTGCCTGGTCTCCCTCCTCCACCTCGCTGCCAGTCGCTACAGAAGGCTGTTGCTGGCTTGCATGGCTCATGTAGCTCCAGTCGAGAGGCCCAAAGCCAACTACGAGTGCATCCACTGCTCCTCGCCCACACCCTCACTTTGTTCGCCGTCCCCACGACCTCGCGGATCGTTTGTCAGGCTGACTGTGCGCCAGAGCAGACATCAAGTACTCCGACCCGTCGAATACGTCGCTGGTGCAGTGCTCGACTTGCTCGAGAATCGCCGACATCTACCAATCGTTCGACTTTCCGGTCCTGCTGCTCGACCTGCTACTCCTCAAACCTGAAGTGTACCGACATCTCTTACGCAACCACGGCGGCACAAGTAGCTTGAAGCGAGTCCCGCATCAGGCGAGGGAAAGTCTGCGGCTCGGAACGATTGTCCTGGGTGCAGACGCTCGTGAGTTTGTCTGCCATGTGCCCGCTCGGCGCTTTCCGCTAATTACAGAAGCAGTCGTTCGCTGTGTCGGCGCGCAGGCACACGACGAGTCGGACTCCCTGCTGCTCTACTTCCGCACTCTCGGGTACTGCCTGATCGGTCCGTCCCACTGATCTCGTATCGCTCGTTGGAGCGTGCTGACCTTTTGCTCTCCACCAGAAACGCTTTCGCTCCTGCTGTCTATCGGCCTTGCAAGTCGCCTGGTAGCGCCTCAGAGCGTCAACGGGCACAAGTCAGTCTCCGCAGGCTTACGGGCTGGCGCAACTTACCGAACCATCTCCACAGCCTCGCCCTGATTCCCCTCACATCCTTCTACGCCTCGCTACCTACCATCTTCTTCCTCGTCGTGTCCTCCGTCATCTGGCGAGCCGAGTACTTGCCAGCCCCGACCAACGATACACCGTCCTCCTTCCTGCTCGACAAGCTCGACACACTGTACGAGCAAGGGAAACGTCTTCCGACCTCAACCGGCATTGACAGCCGACTCTCGACTATCGCCTACCTCACGAGCTTCAGCCGGGCGAATCTTCGCAGCGGATTGGCGCAGGTCGGCGAGGCGAGAGGATGGGCGAGCGAAGCGCTTCTGCGGAAAGGCATCGGCGGGACAAGCGCGCTCGTAGCATTTTCTGGTGCGTGGGACGACTCGCGACTGACTCACGCCGGCAGCTTACTTCACGCGCGCGCAGTCCTGCTTCGCTGCTCGAAACGCCGAGCAGCAATGGTCCTGCTGCTCGCGTGGCTTCTTCATCTCGTCCTACTGCATGCAGTAGACCCGCTCTTGTTGTAACACACTGACACTCGCCACTCAGCGCAGTCGATAGATGGGTTGAAGACTGCACAGCGGAACAGACGACTTCTACAGCTGCACTAACGCTCTCTTCGCCAACTCTGCTGCTACTCGACTACTCCCTCCAAACGCTCACGCCCTCCTCGTCGGCGGGGTGCTGCTGACCCGAATCAACCTGCATGCGCGCGGTTGCGCTTCCGAACGGCGGCGAGGCCTCGGATTGACGACTTTGACCAGCACACGAGCCGATCGGGACTGGGTGTGCGTCACCAGAGACGTGTCTCCCGTACGAGCCGCTCGAATCGGCTGTCCTGGAGGAAAAGCTGGAGGAGAAGGACGGGTCGGGCTGACGAGGCGGAAGAGGTTGCGCCGCTTCGTATGCGCGAGGGCGCCGCGGCGTAGGCTGACGCTGCGTCGGCGACGAGTCGGAAGCTTGCTGCTGGACCGAGTGCGGAGGAGACAGGTCGCCCGACGACGGGTATTGCAGGCTGTGCGAGTGACGGTGAGGGGGTCGAGCTGCCGGCGGTTGAGGCGGGGACACAGGCATGGCAGGGTTTGACTGTGACTGAGAAGGAAAGGTTGCATCGGGAGGAGAGGAGTACCGCTTGGCGAGGAGGGAGACGCGCGAGTCGGAGCGGGCGTGGGTAGGATGGGGATTCTGGTAAGGCGGAACCGTGTCAACTCAAGGAGCACGCGGCAAATTGCTCTACGACGCACCTGCTGGACATCAGCTCGCGAATCGGCTCCAGGCATCGTCGCGCTCGAATACTTCGCGCTCATCCTCGCCACGAAGCTGTCCTGGCGCTGCGGCGTCGCATCTCTGGGCGTCCCTGATGCGTTCATCTCAGTGCGGCCAAATTCGTCGGCTTCGGTGGCCAAAGGAACGGTGGGCGCTGAGCCATAGCGCGGGATAGGCCTTCTCAGGCCGCCGTTGTCGGTCTGTGGCACGGTTTTCGGCGAGACCGGCGGAAGTGATGAGGTGGAGATATTGCTCGTCGATTGTTGGAGGAGGTCTCCACGATACGAAGGAGGGTTTTGGCGGAGGGGCGGTACTCTCGCGGTCGAGGAGGGTGCGGTTGACGGAGCTGAAGAGTCATTCGTCGCCGTCGAAGGTGCGCGAGGACCACGAAGGCTTGTGCTACGACCGAGCGAAGGAATCTCGCTCTGCTCGCGGCTATCATCGCTCGAAGTCGCTGCGACGGCCGGACCCATCTCGGGCTGGACCCAGATCGCAGCGTTCGCCAACCTTCCGATCTTCTGTCCGCCCCTTTTGACGGCCTCGATGTCGCTGCGCCATTCGCCTTCGGCCAAGCGGCACATTACCCTCGCGACCTTCTTAACCGCCGCCTCCCGCCTTTCGGCGATCGCCTCACCATACCCGAGCTTCCCCTGCTGAATTTGGTAGGAGAGGTTCGACAGCTGCTGCATGTACGACGAATGCTGCGAGGTGAGGTTGTCAAGCGCGGCGTGCATGTTGCGGCCGGACGAAGTCGAGTGGGTGACGGATTGGTAGGCGGCGGTCGTCTTGGCGACGCGGGCGTTCAGGGACGCCATCATGTCGTCAAAGGCTTTCTCATCTTTCTGTCGTGACACATCGGGTCAGCTCAGGGGGGAGGAGCGAAAAGCAAACGGTACGCACGCTGGTCCTCTTGAAGAACCGGCCGATCGACTCGTTGACGCCCTCGTACTCCTTCTTGACCAGCTTCGCTTGACCCTCATCGACGTCCTGCAGAACCTCGAGTATCTCTGCCGCGGCAGACAGCGCTTCGTACGCTTCGTCGCATCGACCGCCCTGCGCCTTCTCGCCAAACCCGCTCGCGACCTCCCTCGCCGCCTTCGCCAACCGCTTCTCCGCCTTGGAGCGAGCCAACGACGTCTCCCTCAGGTCATCCAGCGCGACAAGGAGGTTGCTGAGCGACGATAGGGTTTTGTGAAGGGCTGGACGGTCGATCGACTTCCTCCCCTCCTCCTCGCGTCGCACAGTCCGCTCGCTCCGGCCTGGAGACGGAGGTGCTGTCGGGAAAGGGTACGAAGAGCCGTACGGCGAGCTTGGCGAAGGAAGGGGGACGTTCCCGAGCGAAGGGCTTGAGCGAGGCGAGAGAGAGGCGGGCGAGCGCGCGCCGGGCGGAGGAACGAGCAGGGCAGGATCAGACGACGAGTCCTTGAACTGAGCCGACAGTCGCTTGAGCATCTCGAGCGGTCGAGCGAGCTGCAGGAGGACAAGCTGCGCAGGAGAGCGAGAGGAGGGGCGCACGCACCCCTTCGTAGGTGACGTGGGCGTGCTGAGGTTGCAGAGGCGGCAGATACGGAACAAGGCGAACGGCGGCAGGGAGAGCGAAGGTGTGTGAAGGACGCAAGAGTCGTGAGCGCTCGCGACTAGGCGAAGTGAGCAGGCGACCGCAGCAGCACTTGGGCTGCTGCTGGGCTGGGCTGTATGGAACGAGATTGCAAGGAAAGGGATGCAGAGTACGATGCAAGAAACGATGATGCGAGATCCCACAGGACGAAGCGCGTCCAGCGCCAAACTCCGTCCTTCCGCCCCAAGAAGCCCGCCGGTGCCCCTCGCCCTCAGTACACGGACATGCCCAGCATATCGGCCGCAAGCCTGTCCAACTCGCTCGCCCTGTCCTTTGCCGGGTCGTACGCCTCGTTGCGGCACTTCTCGCGCTCCTCCGGGTCCCACTCCGCTCCGACCCAAGCGTTGTTGTCCCAGCACCAGAGCAGGAGCTTCCGCCAGTTCTTGTCGAGTGCGAGCAGCTTGGGGTTGCCGATCACGATGAGGCCGGCGCGGGCGCGGGTCAAGGCGGCGTTCAATCGCTTCTCGTTCTTGAGGAAGCCGAGCGAGAAGCGCGCGTCGTTGGCGAGGTACTTCTCGTTCGAGCGAACCGTCGAGATGATGATCATGCTGCAGAGAATGCAGACTTAGCGAAGCTTTGGCGGAGAAGAGCGAGACTGCGAAGCTCACGAACGCTCGCTTCCCTGGAACTTCTCGACAGAGTCGATCGTGAGGTCGCGCTTGTCGTACATCGCCTGGCGGAGCTTCTTGACCTGCGAGGCGTACGGCGTGATGATGCCTGCGTGACAGGAGAAGAGGAACGTCAGTCTCTCGCAGCAGCGAGTATCGGGGACATCCGGACCAATGTCATTCTGCGTGATCTTGGCGCCAGACCGCTTGTTGAGCAACCGGTTGACGTAGCCCTTGACGGCCGTAACCTCGTCGACATTGAAACACGACGGACTCTTGCCCTCGCGCATCTCGGTTCCCTCGACGGCATGAAACATGACGGGAAATCCGGTGTTCATCCAGCCATCCCAGCCCTGAAGCGAATTGGCGATGTCGTGAGGCGCGCAAGACTCCAGCTCGCCCTTGTAGAAGAGCTGGTTCGGGAGCTTGAGGATGGCCGGGTGGTTGCGGTAGTTCTTCGTCAGCTTGACGTAGGTGATCCCGCGCGCCTTGTGGTTCGTCTCGACGTAGTCGGGCAGCGACATGAGGCGCTCGAGGAGGGACGTCTGCAAGCCGAGGTTGCTGGAGACATGAGAGTGGATCACCTGCGAGATGGCCTGGTCAGCGTAGAGCGCGTCGAGCGAGTCTGAAACTAGACGTACGGGACCCAGCTGGTGCGGGTCTCCTGCGAGGACGACCTTCGTGCGGTCGCCGGCGAGACTGAGCGGGAGGAAAGCTGCGGAGGCGAACGGCCGTTAGTCGACAGTTCGTCCAGTCTCAGCACAAGATGACGCACTCTGCGGTTCAGTCGCTTGACCAGCCTGTGAGGCGGCAAAGCGTCAGCCTTTATGTGTGGACGGGAGAAAAGCGAAGCTGCGCACCTCGTCGACGAAGATGTGCGAGAAGTGGCCCTTGGGCAGCCCGACGCCAGCCAAGATACTCGCCGAGATACATGTCGAGACGATAACCTTGTAGCGCTTGAGCTCCTCGAGCAGCGGACACATGAACGTGCTGCCGTCCTTGATGCGCGAGTACTGCTTGACCTTCGTGGAGATCTCGGCCGTCTGCCGACTTGGCGCGTTGAGGCGGAACATCTCGTCGGCCTCGAGCAGGTCGGAAAGGCGTTCGATGAGGAGATCGGCGGCGGCGTTCGATGGGGCGGTGAGGAGAAGGCGCGAGTCGTGTCCGTAGTGGACGAGGTGCTTGCAAGCCTCGACGATCGTGACCGTCTTGCCGGTCCCGGGCGGGCCGTAGAGGATGAAAGGAGCCTGGCCAGAGGTGTTGTAGACGATCGAGAGGACGGCCTGGCGCTGTTCGGGGTTGTGCTCAATCGAGGGAGAGAACCAGAGCGGGTTCAAGAGTTGCCACGAAGCAAGTTCATTCGAGCGGTCGCCGTGCATCTCCTTCGGGAAGAGCAAGCCGGGGCGGGCAAGACCTTCGCGAAGAGCCTGAATCTGGCGGCGGATGGAGACGGAGGAGAGGGTGAATTGGACGTCGAAGGTGTCGCTCGCGGCCGGCTTGAAACTGTCGTGGAACCTGAGGCCGACGTCGGTGCCGTGTACCACGCTGACGAAGCCTTCGAACCAGCGGGAGTTGGACTGGCCGCTGATGCGAATGCGTATCTTGTCGCCCTTGAGAACCGAAGGCGAGCGGTCGATGAGCCCGGGGACCGTCAGGAACCACACGCCGCCGACGTTGCCCTTCCGCATCGTCGCGCCCTCGACGTCGTGGTTGCGGAGGTCGATGTCCTCCTGGAGCTGTTCCGCCTGGAGCAGCGTTTCCCAGAACTCGCCGTAGTTGTGCTCGCTCACGACTGGGCCGATCATCCTCCTGACCTGCTTGATCTGCATCCCAATAGGCTGGTTCTCGATCGTTTGCTTCAAGAACGGCCGAGGGCGGTAGAACGGCAGCTTGCCCGCCCACGGCGCGTTCTCAGGGAACTCCTCCTTCGCGATTCCCTTCGGCACGCGAACGACCTCGCTGTCGTCGGGACGAGGTGCGCGGAAGACCCGCTCCTCGTTCGGGATATAAGGCGCAGTCGGAGCGAGCGTCTCGCGGTCGACTGAGGAAGCGACCTCGCCGCGGACGGCGCGCTGGATTCTGTAGAGTGTGTAGGTCGAGGAATCGGCCTTGTCGAAGTTTTGCGAGTCATGGATCACGAGGATGGTGAGAGTGAGGGTATCGGTGTGGACGCCGAGAACGTTGCGCGGGAGGAAGTGAACGGGAATCTTGCGCGACTGGCCGGGGGCGATGTAGACGGAGCGGGAGTCGAAGTCCTGCACGGTGAAGCTGCGAGCGCGCCGTCAGTAGAGACTCGGAGGCAAGTGGCCGAACGTTCGTACTCACCGCGCTTGACCCGCCGACTTCTTGCCCGTCGTGAACATGCCGCTGGCAATCAAGCACGGCTCCGCTCCCGCCTTGACCGTCAACTCCTGAACCTTGTGCGCCCCGTACGACTTCTCGCTCAGCTGTTCGACTTCGACGAGACCGAAGTCGACCTCCTCAGGCGAGACCTCGACGCCGCCCTTGTTGCCCTCAGCCTCGCGCTTTGCATCCTGGTATTTCTGGAAGCGGACGGCCTTCGAGTGACGGGGAGTGCTGACGTGACGTGGCCATTCCTTTTCCTTGACAACGGTGAAGCAGGCATCGCAGAAGAGGGAGCCGGGAGGGATGGTTGGAATGGACGCAGAGCCTGAGCGGAGAGTGTCGAGGGTCTGGCGATGCGCGGGCGTCTTGCAGTGGTCGTCGTAAGCTTGCTTGACGCGGAAGATGCGCCTGCACGGCGCACAGGGGAACTCGGGATTGGCCATGTCGAGGTGCGAGCGGGAGAGGGTGAAGGTGCGTGGGAAGTCCGCCTGCTTCGCTCAAAAGTCGTCAAAGCAGTGCAGCAACCCGGCAAACAGCCTAGCGAGCCCTTTCAGCGAGTGAGCGTGAGCAGCGAGAGTGAAAGAGCAAGTCGAGAGGCCGTTCGCCGTGTTCTACGACACCCGCACCTCGTCTGGCGGGACGTCGACGAGGTTGTACGGCTTTGCATGGCTGTTGTTCTCTGATGTACGAGCGACTAGCTAGTACATCGAGCGAGTGACGAGCCAGAGGGTCTTTCTGCTTCTTCCCCACCTCTTCATCCACTTCCACTCGTCTGACAGCGCTCACACAGCTCGCCCGAGCGCCTGTCTGGTCGGAACGGGTCGCCATGGCATCGACACATCCTGCACAGGCCCAACAAGCGCGCCAGCAAACCGACTTTCGCCGACGAACCCTCCTCCCGTCGACACTGAACAACCTCCGCAACGCAAGCTCGAGCGGGCTCGACTTGACCTCGGACGAGTACCTGGACAAGCAGGAGGAGGAGCTGAACCGCATCGTCGACCAGAATGTCGAACAGCTTGTCGAAGGGATGAAGGATCTCGTCGCACTTGCCAGGGTGAGTCTGCAGCCTCGCGGACAGCTCGAGGGTGGACTGGGCGTAATGGCGAGCGTCACCATGGCTCTTAGGGAGCTCTGCGTGTCCTACTCGACTCAAATCACTGATGCCCTCGATGCATGCACTTCTTCCTCGCCTGCAAAACTTCGGGGCTTGCCCTTCTCCTTCATCCCACTCACTCGGAATGCTGACACTCGCTGTCGACTTGCTCCTGCTATCCAGATCGATCCAGCACACCCGCCTCACCCTTCCGCATCCGCCCACCGCGCCCTCACCTCCTCGCTGAAAACGCAGCAAATGTTGCGCTCGGCACACGCTCTCCTCGGGCTCGCCAACACGCTCAAGCTGCTGCATCTGTTTGGGGACCAGGAGGCTGGGGATGAGGTGCGCGAACGGAGGGAGCGCGAATTGAGGGACGAGATTGCGCGGTTGAAGCAGCGAGCGAGCGAGTTGGCAGGCGAGGGCGCCAATGGGCTGGGTGCTGCTGCGCCGCTATGACGCAGTCTACGTACGCCTGTCCGTTCTCGCCGACTTCCGCCAGGTCGCCGGCTCCCACCATTGTATCGTGAGTGCCCTCTCCCTTCATCTCGCACGCACACTCGCACACGCGCGGACGAACGGCGGGAGATGACGAACAAGGGCCACATCCTAAACAAACAAGGCCCGATCTTTAACCCAGCTCTCCGAATCACGGACGTCCCCCGGGGCGTCCGAATGAGCGATGAGATTCAATCTGATCCCCCTTTCGAACACTCGTGCGCTATCGAGCGGTCTGAAGGACTGCGAGGGGCGTACGAGTGTGCACGTGTGCGGCGGGCGTGCGTGACGAAGGACCACTGTCGAGACGCTTACTGACCTCGCACATCTGCGCTCTACAGGACACTCAGCTGTTTTCGACTCGACTCAGATGTTGTTGCCATTATCAGCAAGCTTACATACAAATACTGCGGCGAGCAATCGCGTGGCGAGCGCTGGCGGGAGACATGCTTGAGGGAGCGATGGCGACTGGAGCGATTGAGAGCAGCTCTTCCCTCCTCCGCTTGCCTGGAGCCTCTCGCATTCTTTCAGCCGCACGTTTGAGCAAAAATACGCGCTCATTGCGCAAGCTGTGCAGTTCTCCCGCGCCCGACCATCTACAGCTCAACGCCATCAACGCACTCCCTACGCCTTCACCGCACCGCCCGCTTTCGCCAGCCCCTTCTCCCAGAACGCCTTGTTTGCGCCCTGAATCCAGACTGAGCGGTCCGAGGCTGTGAGGAGCGACGGCTGGGTCTTCTCGAGAGCCTGCGATGCGCCAAGACGCACGAGCGGTCAGCAACCACAGGAAGAGTCGACCGACTGCAGCAGTGGAAAGAACACGCACATTCGCGCCTGCTGCCTTGACAAGCACGAGCAAGTGGCTCTCCATCTCGCCAACCGCCAACCTCAGCTTCCTGTTCCCCTTCGTCCGAGCCGTTTCCGCCACCCTCCGTGAGAACGCCTGTACAGCCGCAATCGTTCGCGAGAGAAGCGGCGCAAAGGAAGAAGTTGAAGCGGACGAGGCGGTTGAGAGAGCCGAGGAGGCGTGGTCGAGCGTGAGGAGATAGAGAAGGTAGACGCGTCCGCCTTCGGACCAGCCTTCGACACTTCCGGCGAGTGCCTCGTCGTCGTCCTGGCCGTCGAGGAGGAAAGGATCGAGCAAGCGACGGACGAGGCCGGGATCGTTGCGGATGATGGCTTCGGGGACGAGTTGCTCGGTCGCGAGGCGGTGGGCTTCTGAGGGTCGCTGAGCGGCCAGAAGGAGGGTATAGGCGCGGAAGGGGGCGTGAGGGTGCTTGGAAACCGGAAGCGAAAGGGTGCGGTCCGCCTACAGCGGAACACGTCAGCGATCGTTGGCTTGCAGCGAATCGAACAACACGCACCAGCGCCGAATAGATCCAGACCTGCGGGATCTTGAGCGTCTCGACGAGGAACTTGATCTTGTCGTTCTCGCCGTCGTCCGGCTCTTCAAGGTCGTCAACATGGCGGGCGAGGAGGTTCTTAATCGCCTTGATGCGGCTGCTCGAGACATTTGAGCTCAACGTTAGCTTCGGGCTGAGGGACGCCCTAAGTCAACGAGGGAGAAGGCCGCGCACCATTCCTCCAGCTCGAGATGCAGCAGCACGAACGCCGCCCACTCCCACTTGCCCAAGCTTTCCAGCTGCGCCGCATAGCTCTCCGTCACCCGGTCCGCCGTAACGCTGTTTCCCTCCTTCGTAGCCTCGCCCTCCTCGCCCATCGCGTCGTCCGAGCCATGGTCGACTTCGAGGCGGTCCTCAAAGTCGCGTCGTCGGAGGACGCGCGAGAAGAGGATGTAGAGGTGCCAGGGGAGGCGGTAGTCCATCTTTGCGCGGCCGAAATTGAGAGGCGACAGGACGGATTCGAGGGAGTGGGTCGGAGAGGAGAAGAGCTGGAGGAGATGGTAGGTCGGGTCGAGGGTGTCGGGGGTAGGAGCATCGGAAGTTGAGGGGATGTGTGAGGGCAAAGGTGCCGAGACGCGCGAGTCGGACTTGTACGCCTGCGCGTAGCGTCTCATGGCGTCTGCAACGACCGAAGCGCCTTCGTCCGATCCCGCAGCCGAGTCGTTCAAGATTCCGTACCACAGCCACATCCCGACCGCAGCTTTCCAGCTCAGACCTTCGAGGACGTGCATCTCCTCGACGGCCGCATCGCCGCCCTTCTGCGGTCGGCCCTCGCTAACACCCAAGTTGCCGCTCATGACTTCGATGATCCGGCGGTAGGCCTTGTCGACAAACTCGTCGACGCCGTACTCCCGCCACTTCTGCAGCTGGAGGAAAAGATCCTCTTTGAACGTGTCGTCGATTGTCGAGCCGAGTTGAGAGAGAAGAGTCGCGAGGTGGAGGTTGTGCGATTCGAGCGCGACGTCGCACGCAGCCGCGATGTTGTGGGTCGAAAGGTGGTGGAAGATGCGATCGAGGGGGGACGAGGAAGTGGCGAGCTGGGAGGCGGAGGAGGAGGCTGCTCGCGACAGCCATGACGAGAGGAGCGCTCGTCGACGGATTGAAACGATGTAGGCTCGGTACGCCGGGTCGATAGGCTCGCCGTCGTCGCCGACTTCAGGCAGTGCGAGGTCGTTGATCTCGTCAAAGAGACACTGACCAAGCTTGAAGAGCTCGGCTTCATCAAGTGTCGTACCGGATGCGTCGGAAGGGAAGAGGTCGACGAAGTTGCCGAAGCGGAGAGAGGACGAAGGAACGGCTTGAGGTGCAGAGTAGGGCGTTTCGGGCTCGTAGATGTCAGTCTGCGCAAGTTGGAGCTCCAGCAACCGCAGGGCGGACGAGGCATCCGACGAGTTCTGGCGTAACGAAAGTGTCAGTATCTCCGCACACACATGACTCAACCAGGAGACGCACCGCGAGCAACTTCATCCTCTCAACGGTCACGTCCAGCTTCCCGCTCTCGCCAACGTCGTACACGCCTCGCAGGCTGACAATCTTCTCCCCGCCAATCTCGCTCGTCGAGGGACCGAAACCGACGCGGAATGAGCGGCTGAGAGCGAGACCTGCGTCGGCGAGAGAGGCGGTGCGAGTGGCGGTGACGGACGAGTCGAAGGGAACGAGGGTGACGGGGCGAAGAGGGCGGAAAGGAAGCGGGTCGACAGCAGGAGTGGGGACATTCTGAGGTGCGGGAACAGGCTGCAATCACATCCTCGTCAGCTTCTCGCTTCAGTGCGGATTGAAAAGCCAGCCTAGGCTCACCTGCGACCTGGCAGCTAGCCCAGCCTCTACCGCCCTGCGCTTCTTCTCCCGCTCGTCCCGCAGCCTCTCCTCCTTCTCTTCCCGCTCGTCCTCGTCCTCGTCCTCGTCTCCCTCTCCGTACGTCTGGCTGAAGGCATCGCCGGCCTGTCCGAAGAAGCTCACCTGCATCACCGCAACCCGCTTCGGCTCGAGCCCGCTCATCCGAGCAGGGGTTGATGTCGCGCCAGCGAACAGCTTCTTCTGCGCTGCTGTTGCAGCTGGCGTCGAAGAAAGTTCGCGACGCCCCGGAACGAGCGCCCGGCGGGAAGAGGCGCGAGGAGGAGGGGTCTGGTCGAAGGAGACGTCGTCGTCCGGCTGCCTCGAGTACGACCTAGACCGCGACCGTTGCGAGCGAGAGGCATAAGACGCGGTCGCACTCATGTCTGCGTCCTCGTCCTCGTCTCCCATCGAACTCAGTCCCTCGCCGTCCGAAGCGCTGTCAAGGTCATGGTCGTGGTGCAGACTGGACCGAGGCGGCGCGTCGTCCTCGTCAATCTCCTCATCCTCGTCCTCTTCGTCGCTGCGGTCGTCGTCGTGCGCCCGCTTGCCGTTGTGCGAGTTGGGCGGGGATGATGCGGGCGACGAGGAGGAGCGGTGTCGGGTCGAGGTGTGCGAGCGCTCGCCGTCGGACGAGTCTTCCGAGTCGCTCAGCAAGCCAAAGCGGGCCATCCTGGCAAGTCACAAGCGGACCAGCGAGCGAGAGCGGGCAGGGTTGAGTGAGCGCGAGGGGTAATGAAAGGGTTACTCCTTGGAATTGTATTCACTTTGTATTGAGCTCGATTACAGCCGGGTTTGTATTCTCCCTTGTAATCCCGTTGTAGTCCTCTCTCATCACCGTCTCGCTCTCTCCTTGAAGATTCGCGCAGGATGGCCGATCAGGGTGAGTCTGGCGCACGCTTACACGACTGTACAAGCCAGCTAACACGCCCCCTCGTTGCGCCTGCAGGTGCCGCCTTCCTCGACAGCGTCGCATCCGACCTCCCGCCCTCTTCGCGCCACGGCGGTGACGACGGTCAGTCTGGATGCTCTCACTGTCCTCGGTGGAGCTTTGAGAGGGGCTAAGACAGTGGTCAAGCTCGACGAGGACGAGGTGGTGGAGCGGTGCTGCTCGAGGAAGTGGGAGACTGGAAGGTCAGCGGCGGCACGTCCGGGCGAGCTGAGAGTCTGTACGACGGTGCTGAAGCAATCGAGCGGCGGACCTGCATGCTTGCTGGCACGGACGTCGGACAGGACAAGATACCGCGGTCCTCCTCGTCCAGCTTGCTGACCCACTTTGTTCAACCTCGCAGGCCACCACCGCTCGTCCCGCCACGACGACCGCGACCGCCGCGACAGGGACCACCACCGGCGCTCCCGCTCGCCCGACGGCGGCCGCTCCTCGTCTCGCCGCGACAGGGACCGCGAGTTCGAGCGCGAGAGGGACTACGACCGGGACAGGCGGAGGAGTCACCGCGATCGCGACAGGGACTACCACGAGCGAGATTACGACCGCGACAGGCGCGGCGGCGGAGACAGGCGCGGCGGAGGACGCTACGATGACGGCTTTGACCGTCGTGGACCGCCGCCTCGAGGTGGAGACTACTACGACGACAGGCGCCGCGGGCCTCCTCCTCGCCGTGGTTACTCGCCGCCTCCGCCCGGTGGTGGACGTCGCCGTGGAAGGGGCGGACCGACGTTCGAAGGATTCGGAGCCTACGACGAGCGCGGGAACAGGGGCAGGAGTCCGACACCTGAAGACACGATCCCCATTTCGAAGCGCAAGAGGCAGTTCACGGCGTGGGATGTCAAGGCGCCTGGCTTCGAGAGCTACACGACAACTCAGGCCAAGATGACCGGTGCGTGCGGGTTCCGGCCCATGTCGCTTGTGCTCTCATGCCCGATCGTCAAGCTGACTAGTAGATGCTGCCTCTCGCACAGGCATGTTCAACCTCCCCGGCCACACCAAGCCGTACCTTCCTCCCGGCGTCGAAGGCGGCGACAACCCTCCTCTCTTCTACCGCCCTCCCGTCTTCGGCGCCGTCGGGCCCGGCGCGCCCATCGGCTCGCAAGCGCGCCAGTCGCGCCGCCTGTACGTCGGCAACGTCGGCATGGAGGCGACCGAGGAGAGCGTCAGGGACTTCTTCAATTCGAAGATGGCCGAGAGCGGGCTCTTGAGCGACGGACACCTCGGCGAGGATCTCCAGGGTCTCGGATTGAAGGGCGACAAGCCAGTCATCTCGGTCCACCTCAGCTACGAGAAGAACTATGCTTTCGTCGAGGTGCGTCTCGCTCCTTACGTCCCTTCCCCTTCGCTTGCTCATCCCCCTCGTTCCCGCAGTTCCGCAACGCTGAAGAGGCGACCAACGCGCTCGGTCTCGATGGCATCGTCTACCTCAACACGGCTCTCAAGGTCCGCCGCCCGAAGGACTACCTCGGCGGCGACCCGAATGAGATCGCACCGCATGTTCCCGGTGTCGTCTCGACCAACGTGCCCGACACGGTCAACAAGATCTTCATCGGTGGTCTTCCGTCGTACCTTACGGATGACCAGGTCATGGAGCTGCTGAAGAGCTTTGGAGAGTTGCGCGCGTTCAACCTGGTCAAGGAGGGCGGAACGGGTGCAAGCAAGGTGCGCGAGGGCGACTCTCTCGAGTGATTGAGCATAGCTGATTCGTGGTGTCGCGCAGGGCTTCGCATTCTGCGAGTACGTCGACCCGGCCGTCACCGACATCGCCTGCCAAGGCCTCAACGGCATGGAACTTGGCGACCGCTACCTCGTCGTCCAGCGTGCTGCCATCGGTGCTAACCCGGCGAAGCACGGCCCGCCAGGCAGCGGCATCGGCTTCCCCGACATGCCGCCCGGCGCCATCCCCGGCCTCAACCAGCCTCCCGCCTCGATCCTCGCAGCCGGCGAGGGCGGCGAGGGCCAGCCGACGCGCGTCTTGCAGGTCCTCAACATGGTCAGCGTGGACGAGCTCGCAAATGACCAGGACTACGAGGAGATTGTCGAGGACATCAAGGAGGAGTGCGGCAAGTACGGCACGGTCGAGGACGTCAAGATTCCTCGGCCGATCAAGACTGCGACGGGCAAGGTCGACGTCAAGGCGTCCGAGTCGGTCAAGGATCTCGGGAAGGTGCTGGTCCTGTTCGAGAAGGAGGAGCAGACGACCGAGGCGCTGCGGGCCATCGCCGGCAGGCAGTTCGGAGGTGCGTCCCCACTCTCTATGATCTCTGTCTCCTCGGTCAGCTGACTCTACGCGCGCGCAGGCCGTCTCTGCATTTGCGCGTATGCCCCGCTGGAAGCTGTCCTCGAGTAACCCGCTTGCGTCTCGTCGATACCCTTGCCGCCTTCTTCACCTCTCACCCTCGCGGCACAAAAACGCTGAAATCACACGTTCTGCGTTGTATTCGCTTCAAGTGCTCGATAAAGCGGGCGAGAGACGGCCCTACAGCAACTGCGAGGGAAGCGGAGCGCCTGGAACGCCTGCAGTGCGCGCCTTCGGTCCGAGTAGCGAGCGCACGTACGAGAGCAGCTCTTTCGTCTGTGTGCGGGAACGTCAGTTCGGGCTGCACAAGAACGGAGGAGCGCGAAAAGCTGACGTACCTTGCCTGCGCCGACCAGTCCAGCGGTCGTTCCCTCTGCTCCTTCTTCAGCGCTTTCAATCGAATCGCCCGATGGAGAGCCAGCGGCTCCGGACTGAGCCGGCGCATGTCGCTGCAATATCGCCTCGAGGCGGACCTGCCATCCCGGCTTGAGTTGCGGAGTCGACGGCGATGCATGGCGAGTCGACGATACGGATTGAGCCGACATCGGCGTCGAGGATCGAGTGTGCGGAATCGAGTGCCCGGCATAGGGGTCGACGAACGGGCAGAAAGGCTGGTGCTGCTTGACGGGGTTGAACTGCTTCGGATTGGGCGTCGCAGGCGAAGGAAGGTAGGAGGAAGCGAGGACTTGTCGCATGCAGAAGGAGCAGTGGAGGATGGGAGATGAGGAAAGGGAGCGCAGGGACGCGAGGGACGAGGTGGAGTTTGAGCGGGACAGGGCGGGAGCTGTCGATTGCGGTTGAGCGGAGGAGATAGACCATCCGAAGATGACTAGCAGTGCGCATGTCGCAGAAGGTATTGTGGTCGGTGCTGCTGTCGCGTCGTTGGCGGGCGGAGGCACAGAGACCGAGGAAAGGGCCTTGGCGAGGCGAGTCTTGCCGTCGTCGGAATCGACAAGCGACATCGCGTCGTTCGGCAAGTCCAATCTCACCTCGCCTAGCCCGGCCTCGTCCATCTCTTGGGCCTCCCGCACGACGTCCTCGATTAACCGCCTCCGCCCGCCGGCCTGCACGCCAAGTCCACCGCCCGGCAACCGATACAGGCTCCTCGCACATGGCCGCAACCGCCACGGACATGTCTCAGCGTGTCCTTTCCCATCATCCAGGACCAGCCTTTCGTACTCCGCCCGCAACTTCTGCCCCGCTGGGTTCGTCCATCCTCCGTCGCCGCTCGACGGCGGTAGCAATACAACGCCTCGTCCGCATGTGACGCACTGTACTCGCTCGCGAGTTGTCGACGTGTGCTGCCATCCATGCAAGGCGCAGGCGAGAGACGAAAGAGACGGCGGTTTCGAGGGGGAGAAGGTAGTGAGGCGGTAAGTTGACAAACGAGAGAGGAGGGCGGGCAGCGAGTGGGGTTCATAGGATGGCGGAGGAGGCGCAGAGCTCGGCGTCGATGCTCGCGAGCTGGACTTGGCGAGAATGGCTTCGAGTGCGGGAGTCGAGGTGCGGTGGGGTGAGCTGTCGACGGGGGAGCGCTGATGAGCGCGCGGAGCTTGTGTAACGTACTTTCAACCAACGCACCTGGTCTTGCGCTTCTTCACGCGCACTCCCGTGCTCTTCAGCGCCGCGTCGAGCGAGGAGATGGCCTCGGAGAGTTTCCGCTTCGACAACCGCGAGTCCGCCTCCGTGGAGTTGGCTGGCTGCTCAGAACCGTTTGACATGCCCGAATCAGGCGCTGGCAGGAGCAGCGAGTCGTACGAGAGAAGCGAGCGATGTTGTCGAGGGAGAAGGTGATTCGCAGGAAGGAGGCATGAGGGAGGATGGTGAAGGACTCCTCGAGCTTCTTTCGGAGTGATGGAAGACCTCTATCCGCATTGCGTGAGGCTAAAGAGCCCGGTCTAACGAGGCGAGCATTCCTTCTAGTGAACCTCGTCTTGCTTCTCCTCCTTCACATCCTTGTTCAGCTCCCACTTTGTCCCAACGTCCTTGACCGTGAACATTGCCGCCGCGAACGCGACGCCCCAGAGTCCGAAGTCGATGCCGAGCGGGACCGTCATGGGCAAGACCTTGCGCGCCGACACGCCGTATCCGCAGGCAGAACCAGCCGACTCTGCGCCGCGCAGGATTGACGAGAGGCGGATGAGCTCCTTCGGGTTGCGGGCGAGCTCGGAGAAGATGTAGTAGAGGACGTTCTGGAGGGTGTAGTAGACGATGTAGAAGATCACGTAGGCGCCGAAAGCTTCGGAGAAGGCGTGGCCATCGGTCCAGTCGAGCTTTGGCTTGTGCTTGAGGAAGCGGGTCTGCGAGATGCGAATCAGTTGTAGGCCCGAACGCAAGGAGGGGCGAACACACCTGGAGGACAGTGAGCCAGCTGAACACGCCGCCAAAGATCGTCATCAGGCCGACAAACGCGACGCGAGTCTTGACCTTCTTGCTGACTCGCTTATTGTCGAGCCAGAAGCCCAGGAGGACGTTGCCGATGACGCTGAGAATCGCGATAAGGAGGGATCCGAGGGCCCTGTATGAGACAGTGGTCAGCTCGCACTTCTACGAGCATCCCGGAAAGAGACGACGAACCTAGCGCGCACGGTGAAGTACAGCGAAAAGAATGTGTTGACGTAGCTCGACGGCCACTGGGCGAAGAGCGAGACGGGAACGCTGTTCATTGGTGGATCGGTCAGCGACTGAAAAGCGCGGGCGCATAGGAAGTGACGCACAGCCAGAGAACCTCACGACGCGTGAGCGTGTCCCAGACCTCCTTCAGCTCCGCTTTGAGGCCGATGTGGTTCTCCATTTTGACAGGCGTGCGGTCCTTGCGCTGGACTTGCGGAGGGTCTGTTCGCGGAGAGGCAATCCCGGTCAGACCCAGAGCGAGACGAGGTGTTGCGAAGTACGCACTTGAAAGAAGGACAGCGACGAAGGGTGCGAATGCTTGCAGCGCAATGAAGACGTAGTAGGTCTCGCGGCCGATTGCGCCGATTTTGTTGCCCTTGGCGTTCAGGCCGAGGCTGATGGCGCCGCCGAGGATCTGACCGCCGTTGCGCCAGGCGAGCCAGTACGAAAGATAACGTCCGCGCTTGTTCTCTTCGGGATCTGCGAGGGGAGGGTCAGCCGAATCGGACTCTCGATGGGCTTTAAAAAGCGGACGCACAACCAAGAGCAATGGCGCCCTCAACACTCCAGAACAGACCGGCGGAGAGACCGCAGGTCACGCTGCCGAGGTAGACCAGCCATGATGATCCATTCTTCAAATTAAGGACGAGTCCTCCGGCGTAAGGAGCGTAGCCGGATGCGCCGAGAACGAGCGCCCAGCGGTAAGAGAGCTTGTTCGTAATGGTCGCTGCGGAGAGCCGTGGTATGTTAGGGTCGTGAAAGCCAAAAAAACGACGGAAGACGGAAGAGGAGTGAGCACGTACAGCCGAGCAGGCATGTCAAGACCATCAGACCGAAGACGACTGCGTATATCTGATCGTCAATAGCTGCGTCGTCGCGAGCTTAAAACGCTTTACGCACTTGAATTGGCGGCGTTGGCGAGAAAGGGACTTTGGCCTCCGCCGGCGCCGAGCGAGTTCTGCGATAGGCGGGTCAACGGACATCTGCGTAGACGCTGTGCTATCATTGCGTACCATCGAGTTCCACAACCCTGCAGCAGAACAGTGCGTTAGTGTCGCATGGCCGCGATTGCGGCATTGAGGGGTACAGCGCACCGGGACTGAGGAAGGCGCAGAGCCCGACGACGGTGATCTGGAAGAACGAAGTCCTGAACCAAGTCCTCCTTGAAAGAGCAGCGCCGGCAGGCTCAGCGATAGCGGACCCATCCTTCTCGTCGAAGGATGAGGAGGGAGAGCGTTCCAGCGACATCACTTCGGGGCGGCGCGAGGGCAAGGTGCAGTGAGAAAGAAGACAAGGGAGCAGTTGTACCAGCAAGATCGTTCCCAAGCGGGCGAGGCGGCCAAGGCAGAACGTCTTCAGCGGTGCGCCAGAGGTAATCGAGTGCACGCCTTCGCCACGCCGCTCGCCTGCGGATTCGAGCTCGTCAAAAGAGTCAAGCCGTGCATATTGTCCGGTCGGGCGCCCGTGCGAGCCAGTTTGTCGAGTGAGCTGGTGTTGGCGAAAGGCGACCCTGTCCTCAACATGCTGCTGGCTCCGTTCTCTCCTCCCACCGCTCGCGTACTCGCTTGCCCCCCTACTGGCCATGCTTTCACTGCTCTGAACGATCTTCGTGCACCCCGCAGTGACCAGCAGCCGTCCATGTTCCGTCCCTTGGCCTCATCACCTCATCGCTCGACAAGGATGGTGTCATCGTGCTGTCGGCCGGGCGGCGCTGCCGAAGGCGTGGGGTCCTGCTTAAGCAACGCTGGCTTCACCTCCATCCCTCGTCGACCTTGAAGCATGGTCCCCCCTCCCGCCTTCTCGCCGTTCGCTTTCCCCGGCCAGCGCCTGCTCCGCAGCTCTGGAGACAAGACGCAGGAGGCGCAGGTCTTCCCGCTCGCCCTGCGGACCGACGCCTCCCTTGCCACCCTGGACGACTTCGTTGCTGCCATCGATTCGCTTGCGACGAGAGACGTCCTCAAGCCGCTTCTTCACCAGCATCGCGGCGCTATCTTGTTCCGAGGCACGCATGCCAAGTCACCTGAGGACTTCTCTCGCATCGTGCATGCCTTCAAGCTAGGCACCCCGCATGAGGAGGTGCGTTCTGAGCCGTCTGAGCCCAGGGTTCCTGTAGGCTGAAGCTATTTCCTCGAGCAGCTCGGCAACCCTGTAGTCCGCAACATCCTCGCCAAGAACGTTGCGACAGCGAACGAAGGGCCGCATACTCACCCGGTCTTTCCCGTACGCCTGTTCCCCTCTTCCTCCCACCGCATCATGCTAACGACTTGTCTATCAGCACTCCGAGTTCGGCTGGAGCGCTCACTACCCCGGCTACATCGTCTTCTTTGGTCGCTCGGCTGCAGACTCGGGCGGCGAGACGCCCATCAATTCGACGACTGAGGTGTTCCAGCGGTTGAAGGCTGAAGTACCAGAGTTCATCGAAGAGCTGGCGAAGAAGGTGCGCGCTCGCCACTCCCTTTCCTCCACCGGCGAGACTGACCTCGTGCGGAGGACAGGGTACACGATACGTCTATACCTACCCTCGCGACGTCAACCCCGGCTCAAACCTCGGCAACAACGTTCGCCGCGCCTACCCAGAGGCAGGACTCACGGACACGGACGACGAAGCAACATTGCGACGCAAGGTGGAGGCGCAGATCCAGCGGCACTCGAAGGAATGGCGATGGCTCGACGACGGCTCGCTCGAGACGGTCCACTACGTCCCCGGCCTCCGACGTCACCCGCTCACCAGCGAAGCAGTCTGGTTCGGCAACATTGTCAGCATGTACGCGCTTGCGCAGAAGTGGGAGGCGCTGGGGCCGCCGTACATTGGCACAGACGGGGCATATCACCACCTTCCGACTTACGGAGACGGCTCGGCTATCCCGCACGAGTACCTCCAGCGAGCATACGACATCATCAAGGAGATCCGCGTCTTGATCGACTGGCAGGTCGGCGACGTTTTGCTCCTCGACAACCACTACGTGTGTCTGCGTCTGGCTCACTTTCGCTCTCCTTGCCCTGGACACGCTGGGCTGACTTCATGCCCTCGCAGGTCCAGCATGCTCGCGAGCCGTGGACCGGCGACCGGCGCGTCCTCGCGTCGCTCTGGGACGGCCCTCCCGCCTTGCCCTTCGAGCTGTAGGCGGGTTCTGCGTATGTGCAGACCTAGAAGGGGTTCAGGAGACTTGTACGGCATCAGTAACGAGGAGGAGCTGTCGACAAGCGCTTGTGTCTGAGAATGGACAGTTTGACTTTTCGGCGCAGGACCTTTCGTTCTTCTGAGATTGTCGCTTGGCTTCGCGAACTCCGCCAGCTCTCTATTGAGCGTTTCCATGTCCCTCTGCTGCCCTGCAAGCTTGCGAGCGAGAGACCTTTTGTGTTCGCGTCGTCGGCGCGACGTCTCTTCGACGTTATCACGCTCACTCCACAGTCACACCGCTTGAGAGGGCTCGCTCGGTGCGGATGCCGCATCCTTCGCAGTTCAAGCGCCCAGCTGGCAAGAAGGGCCCGCGCCAGGTGACGGGCAAACGGCAGCCCAAGATCACTCTCCGCCCCGCTCCCGCACGCGACCCTGCCGCTCCAACCGCCGACAAGGGCAAGCGACGCGCCGATAAAGCAGAGGAGGAGGATGAGGGAGCGGAGGAGGAGGACCAGCCGCGCTACGGGTACCGCGAGTCGCTGCGGGGCGAGGCGAAACCTCTCGAGGGTCTGCGGATCTCGGTCAGCGGCTGCTCGGGGCAGAAGGAGGACTTGTGGGCTCTCGCGATCGAGTACGGCGCCGAACGGCACGGCGGCTTGCAGGAGGACACGACTCACCTGATTGCGGACGGGCGCGACTCGGCCAAGTACAAGGTGCGTCGCTTCCACCGTCCGTTCGATGCGCTCGCTGACCTTGCACGCGTACAGGTCGCCATACAACGCCGTATCCATGTCATGAAGCCGTCGTGGCTACCGGCCGTCAAGGAAGCGTGGACAAGCGGGGAGGACGTCAACTACCTCGAGGTGCGTCTCGCGTTGTCGTCGCGCTTCCAGCCTGCTACTTCGCGAGGACGACGAACTTATCAGTTGACGAACCCACAGCTCGAGCTCCAGCATGCGATGCCCATCCTCGAGGGCGTCAAGGCGTCATTGACTGGCTTTCCGCAAGGTAAACTTCCTTCTTAGCCTCGCAACCAGACAAGCACTGACTCGCTGTGACCAGGCGAGTACAAGAACGCCCTCAAGGATCTCCTCCAGCAGCACGGCGCCCAGGTCATCTCGGGCTTGAACTCCAGCATCACCCACCTTATCGTCGCTTCGCCAACCGCGCCTCACTCGCCCACACCGTCAAGCGACAAGCTTCTTCACGCACGCAAGAACCGTGCACGGCTTCATCCGGATCTCGCCGTCGTCTGGGAGGGCTGGGCGCGAGAGGCGATCGAGTACGGCGCGATTCGTGCGGAGCGTCTGCAGGAATGGGCGTGGAAGGAGACTGGCAAGGAGCCGGAGATGAAGCTCGATTGGCAGGTTGCTGTTGCGCCGCCGCGCTCTCGCTCCACCCGACTTATCCCCGCAGCCTCGACTTCCGCCTTGCCCATTCCTCCGCCCGAATTCTCGCAGCCCACAACCGATCCCGCCCTTCCTACTCGCCCTTCCCTCGTGCCGTCAGACGTCCCAGGCGCCTCGAAGGCGCGCTCGACCTTCAAGGGTTATGATGCGTCGCTCCTCGAAGCGGTCGAAGCTGGTGCCTCGACTTCGGCAGCGCTCGCGCCGGCAGTCCCGACAGCCCACGACCTGTCGAACGGTACAGTGCTGAAGAAGCGCCGACGAGCGGGTCCGTCGGCCGCAGACGCCGCGCTCGACCTTTCCTTGCCCGCCGCCAATCTCGCGGGAGATGCCTCGCAGGCGCTCCTGCGAACGTATACGGGCGGGGCAGGTGATGCGAGCCGCTTTGCGGATGCCGATCTTGGCGAGCTGCCGACGTTTGACGAGATGCACGCCGGCGCGAGCGGACGACTGGACGACTCTACCGCCGAGAACCAGGAGCTCGCATACCAGCTCGTGCCGGGTCGCGTCGAGATGCAGCTCGTTCCGAAGAGCAAGTCGGTTATTCGAGCCCTGTCGAGTCGACGAGCCGGCTCTTTTGTCGAGGCGGACAAGAGCGGCGCCGAGGCGAAGAAGACGGCGCGGCGGGCGGGAGCTCGCGGTAGCGTTCCGCCCATTGACGAGTCGACAAGGGAAGAAACAGGCGTTGTGACGGGAGCAGACGACTCGGCGTTCTTCGATGCGGCCCCGCAAATCTCGCCGCTCCGCAAGGAAGACCGCACGCCAACCGACTCGTCGGAAGAAGGGACGGTTCCGCCCATCTTCCACGGCACGAAGCTCGCTCTCAAGGAGCTCAAGGGTCCGAACCCGAAGCTAATCCAGGGCGTCATTCAGTCGAGAGGGGGAGAAGCGGTCATCGATGCGAGCGAGGACGAGCTGGCGACAGTGGACTGGATCATCGTCGACCACGTCGAGTGCGTTCCGCCCACTCGCCGCGGACACTGATGCTCGAGCCGAACTAACGACGATCCTGCGCAGACCGCCTGCCCGCTTTCTCGCCTCGTCAGATCCTCGCGTCGTCAGCATCTGCTGGCTCGAACTGTGCATCTTCCACGATACCCTCCTTGCCCCTGCTGATCGCCTCCTCGAGCGCCCACTCCCGTACCACTGCCCTGTCGAAGGAGCTCGCTCGCTTCGTGTGCACTTCTCCGGCTTCGGGCAAGAAGACGATCCGGCGATGCACCACATCAAGCGCTTCATGACCGTCATCGGCGCGACTTTCTCCGTCGCCTTCAATCGCAAGTCGACGCATCTCGTCGTCTGCGCCCTTGACGACGACCCCGCCCTACGCCCTGAAGACCTCGACGGTCTGCTCAATCCGAAGGTTGCGAAGGCGCGCGAATGGGGAACGCCGATTTGCTCGCTGCGCGACCTGCGAAAGCGGGTGCTCGAGCTCGCTGAAGAGGCGGACGAGGGCATGGAGAACCGGCCAGACGTGGCGGTCAAGCAGGACAAGGGCAAGATGCGCGAGATCACGAACGAGCTCGAGGACAGAACCATGTCTGGTCCGCTCAGCGACTGCGTCGTGTTCTTCTCCTCCAAGCTCGACGTGCGTGTATCGCCTTATCTTGCGAAGTCGGCATGCTGACGAGGAGTGTGCGCAGGCGGACCGCCAAGCTCTCGCCTCTTCCGTCGCCAGTCTCGGCGGCACCGTCGCTCGTCAGCAAGCCGATGCGGTCACGCATTTTGTCCACGCCGGGACCAAGGCGAACGAGCCATTCAGGGACTTTAAGCAGGCGAAGGCCAACGGGTCCTTCATCGTCCACCCTCGCTGGATCGAGGAGGTGCGCTTCCCCTCTCTTCTCACGTCAGGATGGCAGAGCCTGATGGGAACCTGGGAACAGTGTCACAACGCACACGCGCGAGTCTCGGAAGGCGACTTCCCGCATACGTTCGATGCCCGCAAAGGGGGCCAGCTCTTCGATGCCGGCGTTAGCATCTCGGCCTCTCCGCCTGCCAACGAAGCGCAGTCGGCTCTTTCCGCGTACGTCGCCACTCCGACACGAGCGTCCTCCACGGTACCCGCCGCCCTACGTCGCTCGCCCTCGAAGTCGACGACAACTCCTGCCGGATCGCCGAAAGCCAGCTTCATCCCCGCCAAGCGCACTACAAGCGCTCAACAGCTCGAGATGGAACTTGAAGGCGAGAATGACGAACATCGGGCGGCCTCGTCGACGCCGCTGCAGAGGCGGGAGTCCGATGTCTCGACCGAGGTGGCTGATGCGGCGGATCTCGGCGGCTTTGGAGACCAAGGCGGCGACTACCCTTCCCGTCAAGTCGTCGAGCAACCCAGCACGTCCTCGCCCCGCTCGTCCGCTCAGCGCCGCGATCAAATCGTCGCAGAAGACGAGCAGGAACCCTCTTCCGACCCTCTCGCTGAGATCCCTCCGCTGCGATCCGAGTCCAGGCCGCCAGTCTCGACAACCACCGACGATCCGGACGCCCAGAAGAATGTTCTCAAGCAGCAGACATCGCTGTTGCTCGCTCAGCTTACGGAGGCTGCTCCGCAAGCCGACAAGGTGGGAAGGACGAGGAGCCGCACGGCCTTGACGAGGAAGAAGGTGAGCTTGCCCCGCTTCCCGGCATATGCAGGACTAGGCTGACAATAACCCGTCGCAGAGTTCCTCGGGCACAATAAGCTTGAACACGTCGAAGACGGCTACTCCTGCCATTACCGACTCGGCCTCGACCTCCGCACGACGCATCCCCGGCCTCGCCTACCCACTCGACCCGTCGCAGGCGACGCAGGATCTCGAGAGCATGCACGTCGTGTACGACAATCCACACGAAGCCGCCGCTCGCGAACAGATCCGCCAAGCGCTCGCTCAGCGGTCTGGGCTCGACGCGGCAGATACACAGGACGCCGTGCAGGAGTCGCCTGGACCGAGGACGAGGCGGTCGGCCAGGATGTCGGCTGGCAGGCGGTGAACCGTCTGAACTTCGGTTCCAAGGTCGCGCAACTTTCGATCTGTCTCCCATGTTGTTTGTCTCGCTTGCATCGCATCGTCCACACATCCTCATGGCGCTCGCCAGGCTGAGTCGGCAGCAGAATGTGAGCCGCTTACTTGCAAGTTGTGAGCCTGCGAGGGGACTGCGGAAGAAGCTGGCGATCTCAGCCTCCGGTTCCTTCTTCCGTCCAGCTCTACGGCTCGAACTGACTGCTTGGAAACATCGGGCGCGTTTGCGAACCTAACCCCCGCTGACCGCCAGAGACCGTTCCTCCTCCCGCTCGTCGGAGACGACCTGTATGCTTTGTCCTTCACTTCTCCCGTCGTCTTGCTCCTCGGTTGGCTGCGCTTACTCGGGCTGCTGCTTGATCTCTCTGCGCGTGCGCGCGGCTTGACCTCGCAATCTGCGATTGCTGGTCGCCGACCAGACGTCTCGAGGAGGGAACCGACCAAGACCCGCCGACAAGCCCACACGGCGCCCTCCTGGGTGCTCGCGGATGGCGGCAGTGCGAGGGCAGTACCGGCACATACCGAATGCTCTCCACAAGCCGGGCGGAAGGTGGTGGGAGATTCGAGGTGCGTCTTCATCAGTTCGAGGAGGAGGTTTCGAAGGTTGTGGTATGCTGACCCTCTGACGATCTACAGGACTCGTCAAGCTCAACTTCTTCGTGAGCAGGACCACTCCTGCTTTCAGCTGTGTACCGGGCCTGACAGTCGCCTCGAACTTCCTCCTCGCTCACTCTATCGCTTACGCTCGACTAGATCTCCGTCGTCTTTGTGGGCCAAGGTGCGTTCACCCGAGACCCTTGGCCGTATCGTTGGCTGACGGCTCGTCTGACAGCCTTCAACGGCTTCGATGACGGCTTGATTGGCTCGTTTCAGGCCTATCCGTCCTGGCATCGCGCGCTGGGCTACCCTTCGTCGTCTGCAATCGGCTTACTGAATGCGGCAGCATACGTGAGTAGAGTTCGACGAGCCTGCTTCCTTTGTCGCTGGACTAATCGCCGTCGCTTGCCCGCCTACAGATCGCAGGCCTGCTCACGGCGCCTGTCGCAGGCTACGTCGCCGATAAATGGGGTCGTAGGTGGTGTGTGCGATACAGTGCCGTCGCCGGCTTGATTGCGACAGCGATTGGCGCATGTGCCGGCATCGACGATGCCAGCGGAGTTCGTCTCTCAGTCTCGTTCGACGTCTCGTTTTACGCTAACACCGTCGGCACAGCAGTACGCCTTTTTCATCGTCTCGCGCATCATCTTCGGCTCCGGTCTCGCCTTTTGCGTGGTCATCTCGCCGATCCTCCTACAAGAACTGCCTCACCCTTCTCAGCGCGTGACCATCGCCGGTCTCTTCAACACGAATTACGCTGTCGGCAACTTTATCGCGGCATGGCTCTGCTTTGGCTGCTCGTACATCAAGAACGACTGGTCTTGGCGGACCGTCTACATCATCCAGATCATCCCAGCGCTGTACCTCCTACTCGCCATCCACTTCGTGCCGGAGTCGCCACGCTGGCTCATGTCGAAGGGTCGCGAAGCGGAAGCGCTCGACTTCCTCGTCAAGTCAGTCAGCCGCTTCCTCGCTTGCATCTTTCGTCCGCTGATTTTGCAGTTCGCAGATACCATGGCGACGGTAACCCGAACGACGAGCTCGTCTTGTTCGAGTTTGGCGAGATGAAGGAGACGTTGCAGAAAGAGCGGGAGTTGCGGCAGGACACCTGGCGCGAGATCGTCTCGCGGCCGGGCAATCGACACCGTCTCTACATCGTGCTGCTCATCGGTGCGTATCCGCGTCCCTTTCTTGTCAGGAGGTACCGCTGACCTTTCTCCGTCGGTCAGTCTCTTGCCAGAATCTCAGCGGGACAGCCATCATCCAGTAGTGCGTCGTCCCGAATGTCGCACTCCTTTGACAACCTGCTGACAACGAGTGGACCGCAGCTACTACACCCACATCCTCAAGCTCGTCGGCATGACCGACACGCAGCAAGTCACAGGCTTGAACGCAGGCCTCACCTTCTGGGTTTGGCTCGCCGCTATCCTCGGCGTCTACATCGTCAATCGCGTCAAGCGACGAACACTGCTCCTCGGCGCTTGGAGCGCCCTCATCGTCGTCAACGTCGCTTTCACGGTGACCGCGGCGGAGTACACGAGGACGGGCAGTGCTGCGGCAGGTGAGTGAGCCTTCCGTCCCGCTTCAAAGCATCGGCCATGCTCATCTCGTCTTCCGACTTCGCAGGTCGCGCTAATATCGCGCTTCTGTGGCTCTATGACGGCGCGTTCTTCGTCGTATGCGGACCACTTTGTGAGAACACCCCCTGCCGGCACCCGGTGCAGCAAGCTGATGCGCTTCCCCTCGCAGTCTTCTCCGTACGTCTCTCCCTCCCGGCCGACGAAACGTACACTGACGATCTGCTTCTTCTCAGTATCAAGCAGAATGCCTCTCGTACTCGATGCGGGCGAAGGGCATGATGCTTTGGGGTCAGTCGTTCGGATCGCGCGGGAAGTACGACCGCTGACCGCGCGTTCTGACGTCGCAGGCATGGTCAACAAGCTCATCTCGATCTTCAACGCTTGTGCGTCCTCTTCCGCTCGTCAGCTTGCTGATCACTACTGACGAGACTTTACACGCAGATGTCAACTCTATCGCCCTCGACGAGATCGGGTGGAGTGCGTGCAGACCTTCTGATCCGCTCTCAAGCTCGCATGCTGATCTCTCGCTTTCGTAGAATACGTTCGTTCGCATCCTTGACATCAACAAGGACTGCAGAAACTGACCCCGTGCCCGCAGTACCTCGTCTACACCTGCATCCTCTCGATCCAGCTCGTCGGGATGTACTTCCTCTGCGTCGAGTGCGTTCGCCTCGTTCCTGCGCGCCTTGGTTGTCTGTCTAACGGTCCCGCTCCCGCAGGACATCCGGACTCACTCTGGAAGAGATATCCGCCGTCTTCGATGGACCAGCCACGGCGCCTCCAATCAATGCGGCGCCGTTGGAAGCCAGCGTGCACGAGAAGAAACACGACATGCCTCTCCCTCGCGCTGCGAAGGGCGATCGAATAGAGAAATAGCAGTCGTCTCCGCATCTTTCCCTTCCTCCCTCCTCCTCTTCGTGCTTTGTTGCCGTGCCATTCATTCTATCTCTAGACGCAGCCCTTCTCTTCCGTGCCGCCTCATTGTTGTTCGTTGCGCAATGCACATCTATTTTGCAGGACACGACGTGATAAAGGAGAGAACCGAGCGAGGAAGAGACGCGAAACCCAAGACGGAGAGCACAGATCTGCATGCGAGGTGGTGAGTGAAGCGGGCGTGATCGTTTGTATGTACATGGTGGGAGGCGGCAGGAGGAGGGCTTTTCAGAGGCGGAAGGAGGCGCCAGACGAGCCGCCTGCAGGAGAGAGACTTGTCAGCTTGAGCTGCTCTCAAAGCAAGAAGGGCCGGCGCGCACCGGAAGAGAGGCCCGAGACGGCCGAAGCTCCATCGTCGACGACAGCCTTCGCTGCGAGCGCCTGCGCTCCCTTGGCTGTCCTCGCGCGCGGCGCAGGGTAGGTCTTGCGGACGGGCGGACCAGTCGGGACAGCTCGTTGGACGCCGGCATTGTGCATCGTCGGGCCGGCGATGAGGCTCGAAAAGAAGCCCTTCTTGACGGCTTTGACTGCGACAGCCGCCTTCTGCTGCACCTTCTCCGTCGAGACCTTCGTCCCGCCCGACCCGCTCGAACCGGTCGTATGAATCGAGCCCGTGTCGCCTGTCTGGTGGTACAGATCCGACACGCTCGGAGTAGGCGAGACGGCCGGCGGAAAAGGCGACGTCGCGAATTCGCGAGCGGCCTGTTCAGCCGGTGCAGGCGTAAAGGTCACGCTGACCGTACTGCCTTTCCGCTCCGTCTGCAGGCGCAGGGCAGCTGCCGAACGCGCGAGCTCGGCTTCTGCAGCGAGTCGATGCGCTTCAGCACGCTGTTGGCGGTCTCGCTCTTCCGCCTCGCGCCAGGCTTCGGCGATCCGAGCGGGCGTCGAGGACGAGATGGCCATCGAGGGCGTCGGCGAGTGAACGAGACGCGGAGGCGGTAGCTGAGACGGGCTATGCGAGAAAGTCGAGGTGTCGCTCGTCTCGGAGAGAACGCCCAGCGACGAGGTTCGCCCGCTGGGCTGTACGCGGGAAGCTGGGTATTGCGAGCGAGAGGCGGGATGCGAAGGACACGGAGGCGAATAGGGTGCGGAAGGAGGTTGAGGAAGCGGAGCCTGCGTGATAGGCGGCGGCAGAGACGGAAGCGAGGCGTTTTGCTGCGGAAGAGGAGGGAGTGGCGAGGCCTGAGGCGGAAGCGGCGGCAGAGGCGAAGACGGCGTCGTAAACTTCGATCCGGCGAGGCTGCCGCCGTTGTAGACGGATGAAGGAGGACTGCTGGCGTGCGAGGCGGGAGAGCGCATGAGGTTCGAGTGGCCGTGGTCGCTGCCCGACTCGAGGCCCGAATAGGCCGACAAGCTCGACGCTGCACAAACGCATTGGTGTCAGTACATCGCCGAAACTCTTCGACGGAAGGGACGCACCTTGACTGTAGAGCGAATACCTCGACCTTCCCGCATCCGTCGATGCGCTCCCCCTCCTCGCTTCTCCCGCCAACGGACTCGCATCACCCGCCATCCCACCCTTGAGCATGACCTGCATGGCCCTAATCTGCAGCGCAACCGAGTCGCCCAGCGCCACCGCCTCGTACACCTTAGCCGCCGCTTCGGGGTGGTCGTCGAGCGTTTCGTGGAGTGCGTGAACGACGAGTGTCCGAAGGGATGGGAGGACCGTGTCGTGAGTTTTTGTGAAGGAGAGGAAGGAGGAGAGGGTCGGGAGAGAGCGCTGGAGAGGCGTGAGGAGGGAGAGGGAGTAGAAGTACTGCAGGAGGGCTTTGACGTCTGACGAAGGAAGCGGGAGGTGGAGAGTCGAAGTCGTGAGAGGAAAGACGCGGGACGGTGGGCGGATCGTCGCGGTCGAACGAGCTGCCCGCCTGCTCGGTAAAGGCGAACTCGCTCGCTGTAGCGCTCCATCGATAGGCTCGTCGTCGCTCGAGTCAGCGTACGCGGGCGAGCCAATCACCGCCCGCTGGTGCCGCGCCTCAATCGCCGCATCTTGCCTCGCCCTAACCGCCTCCAATTCCTCCGCGAACCACGGCCACCGCGCCTCAAGCACCCTCCGACTACACCCCAACCGCTCCTTGTCGCTGCAGACGATCTCGAAATCGTGTAGCTGCGTCTGCGAGAGCTGTACGAGGCCGAGTTGTTGTTGTGCGGGAGGGAGAGCCTGCGAGGGAGGAACGTAGACGCCGAATCCTTCGAGGTCGACGAACGCGACTTGCGAGAAATTGGTCTGTCCGCACGATTGTCAGTCTCGGTAGTCTGCTAGGGGAGAGATGAAGCAAACGCACCTGTCTCGACGCATAGTCCTCGAGCAAATCCCTCTCTCCCGCTCCGACAACCACCAGCGTATTCCTCCACCCAATCGCCGGTCCCCAACTACTCTTCCCAAACACCTTCTCGACCGCTACTCGCTCCCATCGCATCCTCGTCAGCTCAAGCGTCCAGACGACGAAGCGGGCTGAATCGGGGCCGACGTCGGCGCCGGAGAGGACGAGGTGTGTGCCGCAGATATAGGCGTGCGGGAAGCGTAGGCCTGGGGGGTGGGAGTCGCCTGTTAGAGAGTCGGCGAGGGAGGTGTAGGCGGGCGAGGGGAGGGAGTCGTGGATTGTTGGCAGGCGGTCGAGATCGCGGCGGGGACTGCGCGCGGTACAAGGTCAGCTCATATACAAGATCAAGCTGGAGAAGCGAGTACGCACGCCGCAAAGTTTGTATTGGAGAAAACATAAACCGGTTCCTCCCTCTCCTCCGTCGGTCCCTCGGCCCAACTCGACACGACATTCGCGCCCCTCTCTTCCCTCGGCCTAACACCCACCGCTCCCACAGCCGCAACAGACCTATACGTTCCCGCCTTCCTCGGATACTGCGCATGCGCGACCCACTCCATCGTGGAAAGGTCGAGGATGGCGAGGTCCGAGACGTAGTTGTTTTCGTAGTCTTGGCCGCCGAGGACGAGGAGGCGTGAAGAGGTCGGGGCGTCTGAGGGTCGTCGAGAAGCGGGGAGAGAGGAGGAGGACGGGGGAAAGAGCGCGATAGGTTCGGTCGAGACGGTCGAGACGACGCTGAGGTGGGCATACCGAGGGGTAGGCCTCTTCGCGCCGTTCCGCACTGCAGTGCTGGGGAATGACCAACACCTTTCCTGCGTGTCCCACACGATCAACTCGTCCAGCGTCTCGAGGTGTCCCTCGCCGTTTCCCGCCCCCGACCCCAAAGCCGGCACGAACCTCTGCCCTCCGAAAACAACGAGCTTGTCCTCCCAAGCCGCCGCCGAGTGGAAATATCGCGGTGTCGGGCCCTTCGAGGCTGGAGGAGCGGACGAGGGAGGGGGCCAGAGTTTGTCCCAGACGAGTCGGCGCAGGTCGAGCGCATACAGCGTGTCGACCATCTCGCGGCTCGCGACGGGTCGTCCGCCAAAGACGTAGATCGAGTCGCCTACGAGGGTGACGGATGCACCGACCTGCGCGCGCATTTCTTCTCGCATCAGCTGGGTCGCGAACGAGGTGAGGGGGAGGAAGGGACGCACGAGAGGAGGAGGCACATCGCCTCTGGTCCTGCGCACCGTCGAAGTCAAGTCCACCCAGTCTGCCATCCCCGAGACGAAGGTCGAGAAGACCGCCTTTCCTTCGCGAAGAACGGCTCGAGGAAGAAGCGGTGGCGGGACGTTTGCTGCACAGCCCGAGCTCGTCGTATGCGATCACTCGTACGTAGCCTCCTGCACGTCGACTCCTTCCTTAGCGCGAACGAAAGGCGCGGGGGCGGGAGGGGCGAGAGGGGAGAAAGAGGGAAGGAGAGGCCCGCGGATTGCCCGAAACCCGTTCGTTCGCGCAAGGGGACGTCGGTAGCTCGTCGGGGGAGAGATGAATGGCGCGAGCTGAGCGCCGTGCGAGGCGGGACGAGGACGAGACGGGAGAGGAGGGTCGAGCGGGTGTTGGCACGCCCGGCGGGTCTGTGCGTCGTTCGGCCGTGAGGCGGTGGAGAGCAGCAGCAACAAGCAAGTCGCACTGTCTGCTCAGCGCGCGAAGCAGTCGCTGAGAAGTGCTCCTCCTCGTCGACGTCGATGTCGAGCGAGAGGACACGACGAGTGAGCGGCGCGCTCGATGGAGCCGAGTCGCAAAGCGGATGCGACCATCTCCGAAGCTTGCAGCAGATCGTGCGAGAAGCGCCCGAAGCCACGCTGCGATTCTAGCGCGGGAATGCGAAGGCGCAAAGAGCGGAGCAAAGTAGTCCCATGCAGAATGTTCTTCCCTCGACAACACACCGCTCGACGACGACGGAGCGAACAACGTATTCATTTTCTGGGTACTGCAACTTCATTTGGTTTTCCGTCCTTTCCTCCAAGCTTCAAGCGAGCGAGCGGGCGAAGCGAGTCGAGTATAGTATCGCGGTTCGTTCAGGCCTTGACAGCCTTCGCAAGGTCCCCAAGCGCATCCTTACGCTTCCACGACGCATCAGCGACGACCGAGGCATCTGTTCCACGCAGTCTCTCCTCGTCAGCTCTTTTCCAAGGTTCGAGAGGGGGGGAGCGCACCGGCATCGCTAGAGAACTGGCCGGTCCACTGGACAAAGGTCGAGTCGGCGAATTCGCCGGTCGTGACGGACCAGAGGGTGATGGTCGAGATGACGGACGAGTAGGAGAGGGCGGGCTGGGCCGAGATGACGCTGCGCGCAGTGAGGTGGGTGTGTTAGGGTTTAATTCGTCTTCCCCTCGGAAAGCTGCACAAGCTGGATGCCGCCAGGGAGGATGGCGGCAGTAGCTCGAAGAACGAGAGGACGGACGAACCTGTACGAGATCGAGTGGCGGAGCGCTGTGCGAGGACGCCCGGACATGTATCAGCCTTCGCTTCACCCTTCGCTAAGCTGAAAGTGGGTGGAAGGGAGACGCACACGAGTGCTCCTCCTGCTTGAGGTGGAGGACGGTGCCGTCCTGCGCACGACCACCTCGTTGCATCAGCACGAGCTCGTCCGCTTCGAGCCCGAGTCAGGTCGCGCGCAACTCAGCGCACCTTGAACTTCCACTCGAACCTATCCCGCCCAAAAGACCCAGTCAGCGAGCGCTCATCGGTAGACTCGGCGCAGGACCGGACTCACACATCAACCTCGTCGCTCACGCCCTTGGGTGCCGGTCCCGAGCTCTCAAGCTGCGAGAACCACTTTGAAAACTCGCCGAGCTTGATGAGGTGCCAGACTTGGGCGAGCGGAGCGCGGATCACGGCGGATTCGACGACGTAGGTGCCGTGGACGGGGGCGGACATTGTTGGCTGGTTGGAGGGGAGCTGCTGAGTGAATGGGGAGAGCGGGAGAGGGGGAGGTAAGTATGTGATGCTGAAACGCACGGAGAGGTTGGGCGTCGAGGCGTGCCGGTCCCCCCACTTTCGCGAGGAGGTGAAGGTCGCTCGTCCAGCCATTCCAGCCGACCAAGTGCGCGTACACCACCCTCCTGTCCTCCATATCCTCGTCTAGCAACCTCTCGTGACCCCTCCCCAGCCCCAGAGTCCGAGCAAGCCCCGTATCCTCTCGACCTCCTCTCGCTCAAACGTCGGTCCCAACGCTCGGCGACTCGCGCAGCCCAGCCAGTCACGAATCACGTGCATCCAAAAGCTGTAAGACGAGCAGACTGACTTGGTTGAGCGGGTGTAGCGGGTGCGGAGTGAGTGAGAGAGGGGAAGAGCGTGATGCGGTGCGGCGGTGCACGTGTTGTGGGCGAGCAGAGGTGTTGTGCTCGTCCTTGCAGGCTCAAAGTAGCGTTATAGCAGCAGTACTGACTTTGTACAACGTCTCCAAGTCGAGAGGCGAGCGAGCGGAAAAGGCGAGACAGGCTTCACAACCTCGTCAAGGTGAGCGGAGTCCGCGTGGACGTCAGCAGAGCGATTTGCAGGTCTTCCTTCAACTGTATCCTCGTGCTACACTCGGACGACCAACAGGCTGCTGTGTTGTGAGCGTGCTCGACGCGTCTGCGTGAGGGCTGCGACGGGGGAAGACGGGTGCTGGTGCGCTGGCTGCTGCTGTGGGTTCATCGGGCGAGGGACTGTGCTGTGTACTACTGTTCAGCTGTACGTCACACACTCCCAGTGCTTGCTCGAGTGCGATTGGCGAGTGGCTCGAGGGCACGCTCTGTCTCTCTTCTCGTGTCGCTCGCCCTCTCTCTCTTTCCCTCTCCTCCCTCTCGCTCAGTCTCTCTTCCTCCCGTGCCAGTCTCTCACTCACTCTCTACGACTCCAAAGGTACGCTCTCACCCACCCACACCACTCCCACACGGCGCCGTGCACTCGAACGGACGTGCCACACCCCTTCGACCTCGTCCTCCAACGCGCCCCTTCGCAGCACACGCTGACATCCCTCTGGCCCACTCGTACCCACTCGCACACACTCTACACGTGCATCGACGCGTACTCGACCCACCCGCATCCCGCACGACGCTCTCCCCGTCCCAACTTTTGCCGCGTGTTTGTGTGCTCGCTCACCTCGCAACTCCCGACACCTCGGCATACTCTCACTCTCTCCCCAACCGCTTACCATCGCGCTCGATCCGTCTACCTCGTGTACGTGAACCACCACGCAGATGAAGACCGTCGCCTACGCCGCCTCTGCTCTCGCCCTCGCCGGCCTCGCCTCGGCGCAGACCATCAACACCCCGACCGCCCTCTACACCTGCGAGCCCTACCAGCTCTGTGCGTGACCACCCTCCCTACCTATCCCGCCACGTCCGACGCGAATCAGCCGCGTCGGGACCTTTCTCCGTCGCGACTGAATCTCTCTCGCTGACCCTCGATCGCACGCGTCTTCCTTCCATCTCGCAGCGTGGGCTGGCGGATCGGCTCCTTACTACGTTCGCGTCCTCCAGGGTGGCACGACCTCGGACGTGCGTCGCGCGCCTTTCCCCTTCCTCACGCCGAGTTCCCGCGGAGACTGACCCCTTGCCTCCTCTTCGCGCAGGTCATCGAGACCCTCGTCTCGGCCCAGTCCGTCACCTCGTACACCTGGAACGTCAACGTCCCTGCCGGCTCGTCGGTGCGTTCGCTTCGCCGCGCTTTGGACCCTCAGAACCGTCACTGATTTGCTTCGCTTCGCTCACACGCAGGTCACCATCGGCTTGACTGACTCGACTGGCCAGTCGGCCTACACCGCTCAGGTGCGCCTCATCCTCCTCTCCCAGCCTTCGCTCGAATTTGACGCTCGACCGCCCCGTTCGAACAGGTCAACGTCCAGGCCGGTTCGTCGACCTCGTGCGTTGGCCAGTCGGCTTCGGGCGCTGCGGGCGGCGCCGCTGGTTCGTCCACCGCCGCTGCCGCTGGCTCCTCGTCGGCCGCCCGCTCGTCGGCTGCTGCCTCGTCTGCGTGCGTTCCCTTTCCCTTCCTCTCTTCCTTCCTCTCGCATCCTAATGCTCGCCAATACAGCGCCTCCACCACCGGCGGCGCCAAGTCGTCCGCCTCGTCCGCCGCCGCAGGCGCCTCGTCCGCCGCCTCGTCTGCCGGATCCGCCGGCGCGTCCGCCGCCTCGCCCTCGCAGTCGTCCAAGCCTTCGTCCGGCGCCGCCACCCTCGCCGTCTCGGGACTCGTCGGAGCCGCAGGTGTCGCTGCTGCGCTCCTTGCCTAAACGCACCCCCTCGCTTCTTTTTGATGCCTGATGCCTTGACGAAACGGACACTGGACCCTCTCGTTCGAATTGGTCTTGACGCCTCTTTTATCACGCCTCACCTCTCTCTCTCCTCTCCTCTCCGCACACTCTCTATCTCCTCACACGTAGCCTAGCACCCGTAACCTCACGCCTTTGCCTTTGCCTTTCCAACTCCCTCATCCCTCTTTTTCGGCTGCTGAATGTCTTCTGCAAGGGCATCTTTGCTTTTCACACGTCACATCGCGCCCCGCACGAAGAGAGAAGAGAGAGGGAGCTGCGGCTGCGCGAGTAGGGGAGAGCGAGAAGGAGGGAAGCAGGGGTTGCGAAGGTCGATGAGGAAGAGGAGGAGGAGGATGCGCTCTCGCTTGCTTCTCGCTTTCAAGCTTCGTCTCAGAAAATGCAGGCGAAGGTACAATAAGGTGTCGCGATGCAGGGAGCTCGAGATAAATACGGTCCGTTAATTCCTCCTTCTCCTCTGTCCTCCTCCCTCCCACTGTCGGCTCCGCCTCACCGCCCCCCTTCTGTCCCACCTCACGCAATCGTGAACTTGACACCACAGCCATCGCCTCCCGTCGACTCACATCAATTAACCCTCCCAAAATCAAACGGTTCAGGCCGACTGAGCCTCTCGTTGACGCCCGGTTCGCGGAGCATCGCGAATCCGTCGCCGTGGCAGTGAGGCGAGGGCATCGAGCCTACTACGATGCCTGTACCGTTGGGGGATTGCAAGAGGGCGAATTCGAAGGCTGGGTAGGCGTGGTAGGTCAGGGTTTGGCCGCAGAGGGACGAGAGAGGGACGGCGTGGTTGGACAACTGCTTGTTCAAGCTCGTCAGCTCTGTCGCGATGAAGTCAGGCGGGAGAGAGCAGCACGCACAAAGTCTTCGCAGACGTAAAACTGCGATTCCTTCGCCACAGTTTCCGCGCCAGGACAGATCTCGCCCAGCGGATAGGGCTGCTTCGAAGCCGCGGTCATGTTGTACGTCACGCCGACGAACTCGACGCCGTTGATGGACGTCGGTGACGGAGCAGGCGGAGAGGAGGAGAGGGAGGATGCGCGTGAGCCGCCGGTGACGCGGGTGGAACTTGGCTTTGCGGTTGTCGGTGAACGAGAGGAAGAAGCAGCGGCGGCGGCGGCGGCAGAAGCTGCGGAGGCGGAGGAGAGGGACGAGAGCTGTTGTTGCCAGGTGAGGCGAGGACCGGTTGCGCGCTTGAGGGGAGTTGTCGTCGGCTCGACTGGGATCGCCTGGGCGACGGTGAGGCCGGAAAGGAGAGCGGCAACGGAGGTGAGGAGGTGCATCGTCGCTGGGGTGGCGAGGGTGGGTGAAGAGAGAGGAGAGAAGAGCGAGAAGCGAGGACTGCTCGACCCAAGCCAGGGTTCCGAGACCAGCTCGTCAAAGGACAGCCGTGTCTCAAACTCAGATGCCGCGAAACCCATTGACACGAACAAGGGGAAGCTCGAAGCGGAATCGAGGGGAGAGGAGGACAAAGGGAGCGAGGCGGAAAGTCTCGCTTGAGGCGCTTGGCCGGTCCGTGGAGCGCCCCCTGATGAATTATAGCGCCGTAGAGGCACAGCAAACACCCGTATGGGTCGGCCGTGCCCCGACAGAGCGAGAGAGCGCGAAAGGAGCGGTTTGCGAAGGTCGACGCGGACAAGACGCTGCTTCTCTCACCGCGTCGCCTCAATAGCGTGTGATCTGCAGTCGTGCCGGATCACAAAGTCTCTTCGTGCTATAGCGCATGGAGCAGACCTGAGAGAAGGAGTGCGAAAGGTGAAGTTGCAATCACAAGTCTACGAGTCTGCGGCCAGCCTACACTCCGCCTCGGATGCCTACACCCGAAAATCGACGTCGGGGAAGTCAAACTTGATGTCGCAGCCGTGCCCGTCTTCGCGGCACGAATGCTCCTCGCCGTAGCCCCAACCGAGGTAGAAGTTGTATGGTCCTGGCTTCGCGAATCCATCGCCCTCGCAGAAGGGTGCCGGCATCGAGCCAGCGATGATGTTCGTCTCGCTGAATCCGGCACTGACGCCGCCAAGGTAGACGGAGTGGACCGTCTTGTGGCAGAATGCGGTTAAGGGGACGTGGTGGTTGGCGAGCTGTGGAGCAAAGGCAAGTTAGAAGCTTTCCGGGAGATGAGAGCAGCCTGAGGAGGACGCACGAAGTCATCGCAGAGCCAGGCCCGGGAGTCCTTATCGACCGTCTCGTAGCCATCGCATGTCGCGCTCAACGGCCAGACTACGTCCGAGAGGTTGTATCGGCGCTGCCACGTGACATTGTACGATCTTCCTTCGAAGACGAGGCTCGAGAAGGGTGTGGCGGAGGCGACGGGCGCAGAGGTCGATGAGGAGGGGAGCGAAGCGGACTTGCGCGAGCCGCCAGTGATGCGGGTGAAGCTCGGGGTCGCCGTAGTCATAGAGCGAGAAGAGGATGCGGCGGCGGAGGCCGCGGCGGAAGCGGCGGAGGCGGAGGAAAGGGACGAGAGCTGTTGTTGCCAGGTAAGGCGAGGACCGGTTGCGCGCTTGAGGAGGGTTGTCGTCGGTTCGACTGGGATCGCCTGAGCGATCGCGAGGCCGGAGAGGAAGCTGGCGACGGGGGCGAGAAGATGCATGGTGTCGGGTTTCAGAGTGAGGAAGGAGAAAGAGATGCGAGCGAGCGGCAGACCTGGTCGACCGAGGCAGCGGTCCCGAAACCAGCTGGTCGAAGAACAGCCGTGTCTCAAACTCAGATGCCGCGAAACCCATTGAGACGAACAAGGGGAAGCTCGAAGCGGAATTCAGGGGAGAGGAGGACAAAGGGAGCGAGGCGGAAAGTCTCGGTCGGAGCTGGTGAGCTGCCAGACTGCAGCTCATCGGTCCGGCAGCGCTACAGCAGACGCAGTAAGGCCATCTGACGCACCGACAGGAGCAGGCGGGGGCTTTACAGGACAAAGGACTGCACCGCACAGCGCGGAGCGAGGTCGTCACGCTTATCGGTCGCCCAGGCGCATTGAGGTGGCCTGCCGGCGGCCTTCCGTCCCTGTTAGAGTCCAGCTGTCTGGCCGTATCCTTACGAAGCTCCCCAGCTCCTTGCACCCGTCCCTCCGACTTCGTCAGTTTGTCGAGGTTGAGGAGTCGAAAACAAAGGGAGGGCGGGACGGGGCGGTCTGCGCGGCAGATAGGCAAGGGAATAGCGGTTCACGAAGCACGACGAGCTGTACAAGTAAGCTCCTGAGCGATGTGAGCGCGGTGGAAAGTCGCGAAGCCGCACCTTCGCCTCCTTCGCTCCTTGAGTGCTGCCTCAACCCCTCAGAACGGTCCAAGAGTCTCATCTACACCTCCAGAACTATGCCTGATACCCCTGAAAAGCTGATCGTGCGCGGCTCGGTCAACATTGACGGTGCGTTCACCTCCCTCTCACTTCCCGCTGATTCGCTTTGCTGACCGTCCTGAGCGATCGCAGAGTTCTTTGTCGTCGACCAGTACGGTCTCAAAAGCCTGCTCACATCCCGGGCAGAACGCTGACGGTGCTCTACCCTCAGCATCGTTCGCTCGGGCGAGACTATCTCGTCTACAGACTACTCGCGGCGAGCAGGTGCGCCTGGCGGAATCGTCGTCGTTCTTCGACAGCGAAAGCTGACCAGAGTTATCGATGCGCAGGCGGGAAAGGCGCGAATCAGGCTGTCGCAGCCGCCAAGGTGCGCAAACTTCCTTTCCTTGCTTCCGCCCACGCTTACCCAGCCATATTTGCAGGCTGGAGCGGAAGTGGACTTTGCTGGACTCGTGGGTAACGACGGCGGATGGCTGCGAGACACGCTGGGAGGATATGGCGTCGGTACTTCGCTGCTTGGCGCGGACGAAACGGTACGGCCTCGCTAGTCAACGCAGAGTCCCAAGCGGGTTTCCTATGGTCTACAGAACTGACCTCCGTCTTGTGCAGCTCCCGACCGGTCGCGCCGTCATCCAGCTTTCCTCTTCAACCGCCGACAACAGCATCGTCCTCCTTCCCGGCGCCAACTTCTCCCAAATCTCCCCCTTGCACGACCTCACATCCGCGCAACTATCGACGTACTCGCATATCCTCCTCCAGAACGAAATCCCGCTCCAGGAGACCAAGGGTGCCCTCCGACGAGCCAAATCGGCCGGCCTGACGACCCTCTTCAACCCAAGCCCGATGCCTTCCCGACAAGCCCTTACGGAGTTTGAGTGGCAACATCTCGACTGGCTCGTTATCAATGAGGGAGAAGGAGCAGACTTGCTCGCCGCACTCGCAGATCCAACCGCGACGGAGTCGAGCGGAGGAGCGGCAGCATTGCTGGGAGCGCTGAGACGGACAGCACTCGGTAGCTTGACGGGGATCATCATGACGAGAGGGGCGGATGGAGTCGTGTCGAGCTTGCGGGATGGTTCGGTCGTCGAGGTTGGGCCAGGCAAGGTGGTCGGAGGCGTGAAGGACACGACGGGTGCGGGTGATTGCTTTACAGTCAGTCTCGCTTTCCACTGCGCTCGCTTCATGGCCTCGCTGATGCCTGACTTTGACAGGGCTACTTCGCGACCCTCCTCTCCACCCTTCCTCGCTCGCCAGACTTCGCCCTCACACCCGCCAAGCTCCGCGATGTCCTCGCCATTGCCAGTCAAGCAGCGGCAATCTGCGTCGAGTCGCCTGGCGCGATGGAGAGCGTGCCAACGCTTGCTGCGGTGAAGGAGCGGATGGGCGACGGCTGGAAGGAGGGAATGGAGTGGGAGGCGCTGTTGCGGTAGGAGGAGCGGACGTTCCTCGTAGAATACAGCACTGCCATTAGAGCGCATTGTGTGCAACACTCAATGTTCGAGCAAGGCTCAGTCGTGGCTCGTCTCGCCAACTCTGCCACTCGTGCACGTCCCGCATCGTTGCGCATCTCGCTCAAGTCGTGGCAAACGATATATACTTTTCTTCGTAAGTGTCGCAACAGCAAGTAACGTCGATATCCAACACATGTACCTCCTCGGCGAAAGCTCGTTGCCCCTCCTCAAGCCGGCCTTTTCGCCTTCTCCGGCGTCGCGGGCGGCGACTGCGTACAAGCATGCTTCTGCCCAATCCTGCACGTCCTGCCACAGTACGTCCTCGTGCACTTCCGACACGCAGGGAAATTCAGCCCCCTCTTCCCGCATGCCGCGCAGACAGTCTGCACGCCCACGCGCGAGCGCTTCTCGAGTTCGAGGAGGAGGGGGTCCATCGCGACGGGCTTGAGAGGGCGAGGCTCGGATTTTCGGCGCCGGCGACGAGTGATGGGTGAGGGAGGGGCGAGGAAACCGTCGATTGTGGTGGCAGTCGAGGTGGCGGACGAGCCGGAGTGTTGGCGCGCGTGGCGGCGGCGGGAGGAGGAGCGGTCGCGGTCGCGTTCGTGCGAGGAGCGGCGGGAGGAAGAGGGGTCGAGAGAGGCGGTCGGGTCGTTGAGCGCGAAGGAACGCTTGCCCGACGCCGTACGTTGACGAGGCGCCGAGTTGACCGCCTCAGCGAGCGACTGCCTCAGCTTCGCAGCCTGCGCCGACTCGCCGGACGTCGACGCTTGCGGCGGGATGGCAGGCGAGTCGAACTTGCTCGCCTGAACAACCTCGCCCTGCTCCGCCCCCTCGACCTCCTCGTCCTCGACAAACTCCGTCTCACCCCAATAGCTATACATCACCTCGCTCGCCTCCTCGTGCCTCCTGAGCGCCTTCCTCAACTCATGCACAGCGCTCGAACTCCTCGTCCGATCGAGGTCGCTCGTCCCTTCCTGCGTTGGATCCGCAGCAGGCCGGTCCTTGAGGTTCTTGGTTGTTGACCAGAAGCGCGACAACCAGGTTTTCGCTTCGGGCTCGGGGCGAGTTGGCGCAGGGGCTCTCGAGCTCGCCCTAATTCTTACGCGTCCATTCGTAGCCACCGCAAAACCCTCCGCCTCCTCAGGCTCCACCATCCTCCCCTTCCCCTTCCCCTCGTACCGCCGCCTCGAAAAGTCCGGCGGGGCCGTACAGATACTCGCTGACGAGGTGACGCGTTTGAGGCGCAGGTCGAGGTAGGATTGGAGGGGGTCGTGTTTGAGGTTGGAGAGGATCGAGTGCGTCGAGCGGATTGAGCGGGTGGAGGTTACGCGTGGGATGGCGGAGGAGGGGGAGCGGTCGGGTGCGTAGAGGGGTGCGAGGCCGGACGCGGTCGAAAGAGGCGGCGAGAGAGACGAGGTTCTCGAGGGACCTGCGATCGGCTCGGGCGGAGGAGGCGAGAAAGGCGCAAGTTGGGAGGGCAACTCGGTCGGCGGCGTATCAGGCGGCGAGGGGTACTGCAACGCCGCTTCTTCGTTCGACGACGGTGTGGACGAGTAACTCGAGTGGACGCGGGAGACGAGCGATGCATTAGGCGGGGAGAGGGCGAAAGGCGGAGAGTGTGCGAGGTCGGCGGTTGGAAGACCTGAGGCGAGGGCTGCGACCGGTACAGGCGCCGGCGAAACAGCCTCCTCGTCTCCCTCGTCCACCTCTCCATGGAAATGAAACTTCGCCGCCGCCGACCCAACCCTCGGGGTCCGTCCTCCAAACGATCCCACCGTGGTACTGCTCCTGACCGACACCGGCCGGATCGTGAGTGCGCTCGTTCCCAACACTCCCTCCCCCTCCCCCTCTCGCTCTCCATGCCTCTCCTTGCCCTTCTTCTTCGCCAGCCTCCAAGGCTCCTGCGCGCCCATATCCTGGTGCCGAAGAGACTCGAGTCTCCTCTCCGCCCTCTCGACCAACTCGTCCGCTTCTTTGATCCCGATCCCGCCGAGTGAGGCGTACGGCTGAGCGAGGGAGACGATGGTGGACCAGTGTTTCTCGGCGTCTGACGAAGAAGAAGAGGAGGAGGTGAAGGCGGAGGAGGAAGAGGCGAAGGATTGGACGGCGAGGGTGTAGAGCGCGTGGATGGCGATGGTGAGTTGGAGTTTGCGCTTGGGCGAGAAGAGCGAGGCGGTCTGACTGTCGGCGGACGAGGGAGACGGTGATGCGGTCAGGGTCGACGAGGGGTGGGTGTAGGAGCGGCTGACGGAGGACGAAGCGCGGCGGCGCTGGCGCTGCGACGGTCGGTGCTCGGTCTGCGTCGGCGGAGCGTGCAGTACGGGCGCTACTGCGTCGTGTGCGAGAAGCTCAGAGGCGAGTTTCGAGCTGCGCCGCCACAAGAGGTCGTTCGTCTCGCCCTCCTGGTCGGTCGGTGAGGGGAGTTGTCCGGTGTGGTGGGTATGCGGTGCGTGCAGTACGCCGAACCTGTGTGCGTCTGTGACCTGTATCCGAGGAAAGAAGGAAGAAAGCGACGTCAGCACATCTGGCCACGCGCGAGTCGACCCAATCGACTTGGCGAGGAGAGAGCGAACGAGCGAGACGCACGCCGACGACGAGGTCCAGTGCGCGCTCGAGGCTGAAGAAGCGTCCCTCTGCGCCGTCGTCGTCCTCTCCGCTGCCGTACCCGCTCTCGACCGGGTCCTCGTCCCTCTTGGCGTCGGCTCCGTCCCGGCGAACAGGCTTGCTCAGCTCGACCTCGAGACCGGTGCAGAACAGCCCGACCGCGCGCTGCGAGTCTGCTGTGCGCCTCGGTGCGCTCAGTGCGGCGACGGACGAGTGTTGGCGGAGGGGTGGGCGGGGGCGATAAGCGTGAGGAGGAGGGTGGGACGCGGGCGGAGAGGTCGCGGGCGGCGAGGGGCCGACGAGGGGCGGGGACGACAGTGCTGGTCGAGCTGTCTCTGCGCGCCAGCCACGGGCGAGCAGGCTGTTTACGAGCGAACAAGTCAGGATCTGGGAATGAAGCGGGAAGAGGAGACGAGGACGACGGACTTGGCCAAGGTCGCACACGCCGCGCTTGAGCCCAGGTCGACTGCGTGCTGCAGCTTGACGGTCGCCTGCTGTGGCTTGTGCGCAATCAAGTCCATCTGGCGGGGGAAAGTGAGCGAGTGAGCGCGCGTTTTCCCTTTCCCTCGTCCTCCTCGTGAAAGGGCTCTTCGCTGGCCTCACCTGGGCGAGATACAGCAGCGACTCGACGTCCTCGTCCTCGTCATCGTCCTCGGCAGGGTTGCGTTCCCGACGTCGGTTGCGGCGGCGCACGTTCTTCTCGCGGGAGAGGAGGCGAGCGCGAGTGCCTCAGCGCGGCGAGCATCGAGGGCGGGGTGTGCGCTGCGTCGCCAACGTCGAGTTTCGTCGTTGGCAGAGTGTCAAGTTGACGTGGGAGCGGTGTGAGACGAGCGAGAGCGTTCGCAAAGGAGCGCAAGAAGATCCCGTTCTCGACTTCCATTTCAGTTTGAGCAAGTGCAATCGACGTGCTTGCCCCGCAACTCGTTCAGATCCCGCAGCGAACGGAACGCTCTCCTCTCGCGCGTGGCACCATCTCCTGACGCTGCCGCCCTCGTCGTCCTTCTTTTCTCCTCGTCCCCGCTCTGCTCCTGTCTCCTCACGCCGTCTGCATCTCCCTGTGCCCCTGCCCAGACGCACGCGTCTGAATTGTCGCGCTAACCGGGACAATGGAGCGGAAGCGGGGCCGTCTCCGCCGAACCCACGACGTCGACCTCATCAGATCTTCACGGCACACGGTCGTCCTCCTCCTCCCACGACGACTTTTTTCCCGTTCGCGCGACCCTGCCAGCCTACTGTACTCGGGCCGCCGTACCCGTAGTGCTGTCTCGCGCGTAGCAGCACATGCGGCCGCAGACGTCCTCCTCGACGGCAGCCTCGCCATCCGTCCCGCGCCTCTTCCCACGCACACGGTCGTCGCAAAATCTGCTCCGCTGCGCCCATTTTCTTCCTGTGAGCCAGCGGCAGTGCTTCCTCAGATTGTGCTTGTGTGTGCCAAGCTTGAGGAGCGGTACTGACCGCAGGTCGCACTTGTTCCCTCCTGCTCGCTCGACCGCACTCGCGCCCTCTCGCCCTTGCGATTCTGGCTCACCTGTGCTGACTCTCGTCTGCTCTCTATTGCTCTTGCTATTGCTTCCGCTCGCCTGGGCAGCTCCTTCTCTTCCTCTCGACAACGACCTTCATCCGCAACCTCCCCTTCCACCTCTCTCCTCCCTCTCTCCCCGCCCAGTACGCCCGCTTCCCTTCCTCCGCCTCCTCCTCCTCCTCCGCCGCTCTCCGCCACACCACGCTCCACTCCTCCCCCTCCCTCTCCCCAGCAGACCGCCTCGCATTCTGCGAAGACGCCCTCCTCTTCCGTCCCTCCTCCCGTCCCCCGACCGCGTCCGCGCCCGACTTGGCACTCCTCTCGTGCGATCCGAGCCGGAGGGAATGGAACACCGTCATGGGCCCTCTCGCCGACCCTTACGCGGGCGGAGGGGGGTTGTGGGTTGTAGATCCGCTGGAGGGGAAAGTGAGGAGGGTTGAGATGGAGTGGGAAGAGGTGAGGGAGGGGACGGGGGAGTTCCATCCGCTTGGGATTGAGGTTGAACGGACGGAGGAGGGAGAAGATCGGTTGTTTGTCGTCAATCACCGCGCCAACAGATCGACTATCGAAATCTTTACCCTCTCCCGCTCTCCCGCCAATTCCGACCCGCTTGCATTTACAGCCACTCACCTAGCAACCCTATCCCATCCCTCCTTCACAGGCGCACCAAACTCGCTCGCCGCGTACTCGTCCAACTCGTTCTTCCTCTCGCACGACCATCGCTTCAACCGCCGCTCTTCATTGGTCTTTGCTCGACTTGCGAATGCCGTCGAGACGATTTTTGCGCTGCCTCTGTCGGGCGTGGATTTCGTGCGCTTTGACTTACCGCGACATGGGCAGGAAGCGAAAGTCGAGGTAGAGCGAGTGATCTCCGGCGTGGCATTCGCGAACGGTCTCGCGCTCTCGCCGGCCAAAGACACGCTCGTCGTCGCCTCCACAACCCGGCGCCAACTCCTCTTCTACCGCATCGATCCCGCCTCTCCTTCCGCCGCTCCAAGACTCGAGCTGATCCGCACGGTTTCTCTCCCCTTTCTCGTCGACAACCTCTCCGTCCTCTCTTCCTCCTCACAAACCTCTGGCGTCCACTCACCGGAAGACGAAACGTTCGTCGTCGTCGCAGCCGGTCATCCTTCATACCTCGCCCTCCTCTCTGCCGCGCACCGTCTCTCGTTCGACAGCGGCCCTCCTTCACCTCTCGCCTCACTCGCCGCAGCGGTCGGCTTGAAGCGACTCGCGGAGTGGCGACTAAAATATGATTGGAGAGAGCAGGATGGGGGCAGTTGGGTTGTTGCGGTTCCGCACCCTCTTTCTTCCTTGTCCTCAAGGGGTCAAGAGGAGGAATGGGAGACGGTCTTCCAATCCCGTGGGAGACCAGAGGAAGGTGGATTCGGAGGGAGCACGACTGCTGTCAGCGGGGAAGGGGAAGGCAGAGGGAGGTGGATCGTCGTTACGGGGTTGTACGCCGAGGGTGTACGCCTTGTGCGGGAGAGGGAACGGGGCGAGTAGAGGCAGGGTATGCTTGGCGCAAGGGTCCGGAGGTTGGGAGGAGGCAGGAGGAACGTGAAAGAGGAGTGGGAGGTTGGGAAGGTCATGGCGAAGAGGCGGTTTCTCCTCGTTGTGTGGTTACCTAGCGACGCCAGGAGCTCTGAAAAGACGTATGCGCTCGTTTTGCAGCACGAGAGGAGTTGCGGAAAGAGCCAGGTGCTTCCGCAAGTGAGCCTTTCTCCTCGCGACTTCGACGCTTGCTTTCCTTCCCACCACTCAACTTACTCGCTTCTTCCCGCATGTGCAGCTAGGTCTCCACGTTTTGCAGCTCATATACATGCTCGACAGACATCAAGGCTTTCAGTGGACCTCGGAAGACGCTCCTCCGCTTGCTCGCTCCCTCGCTCGGACCTCCTTGCGTACGCTCACACAGTATGATCCGGCGGAGCGATGCCACGGCGCGCACACCGGAGCTACCAGTGCTGGTACTCGCATAGAAGCGCTGGCCAGACTGGCTTCGCTCGACTCGCTCGTCGTTCAACATTTCCTCCTTCCTCCTCGCCTTGCTCGCCTCATCGCCTCACGAGCCTTGGCGTTCGATGCTCACCTGAAGACTCTCCATTGCGCATCTGACAATTGCTTCGCCCACCGCCGACTGAGTTCGCCTTAGCCCGACTCTCGCGGTCTTGCCTGACCCTCTTCTCCTTCCCGTACCTCGAAACCGTTGGGACTCAGCTGATCGCGGACGGTCGCAGAGTTGGCTCTGGGTGCGATCGTAAAGGTGGCGGGACGAGTACGACCAACGGCCGAGCGAGGAGACTCTCTGTTCCCGCCAGTCGCTCTCCCTCCTCGTCCTCTTACCCTCACACACGCTCGTCTGCTTCGCTCGCTTACTCACGATTAGCTGAAGCGCTTCAGGACGCGCACCGAGAGTACACCTAACGAGACGCACCCGCACCGCTTCCCCCGTCAGCCTTCTTTCGTCCTTCCTCACCTCGACCAAGCCTCGCCTCCCGCACGACTGCCCGACCATGGCAAGGGAGACGACGTCCGAGGAGGTCTTTGAAAGGCTCGTCGAGGGGTACCTCGCCAATCTGGGGCCGACGAAGCGAGGAAAGGCTTTGAGTGCGTCCATCACATCCACTTCTTCCCTCCGCCGACCGCTTCTCTGAGATCGCAAGGGGCGCTGACGCTCTCGCACGCATTTACAGTCGACAGCACCCTCTTCGCCTTCATCCTCGACACTCTCCGCGACCCCTCCGACACGACCCTCGGCGACTCTGGCGAGCGCTACTGGGCTCGCGCGCACTTCGAGTTCATCCGTCCGGCTGGCGACGAGAACGGCGAAGCGCTCGGTCCGAATGGCGACCCGCTCGTCCGCTACTTCATGATCAACCAGAACACTCGTGCGAGGACGGCTGGGGAGGCGGTCGCTCAGCGGCACGAGATCTACGACATCGTCAAGGACGCGCACGTGCGGACGGGCCACGGAGGGCGCGACAAGACGTACAACGCCGTCAAGGCTGAGTGGTCACACATCCCGAAGGGTGCGCTCGCAGCTTTCCGTGTATTCTTCCTCTCGCCTCGCTGACCCTTCTTTCGACAATCTCGCAGAACTCGTCATCGGCTTCATCAAGAATTGCCCGACGTGCTGCGCCGCTCGCAAGGGAAAAGCGACCAAGCCGCACACATCACAGGCGCCTCGCCTTCCCACTCCTCCGCGACTTCCGACTCCTCCGCCGTCGAGCCAGCTCGCTTCGCCGGTCGGTAGCCGGCAGCGGGTCGCTAGGCTGAGCGTCGACGAATGCTACGACTTGCCGACTCCGCCCGACATGCCCGCCGTCCCTGTCAATGCCGGCCCCTCGACCCCGCTTCTGCCCCCGCCGCAACAGCCAGCGACTGGAAAGCCGCCCATCTCGCCCTCGCCGTCCTCTTTCAACAGCGCCGCGGTCGCTCTGCCCTTGCCGCTTCCGCCGGTCGTGTCCGCCTCGTTCGACCCGCCTCGACAGTCGCCCTTCCGCCCTCGATCCGTCTTCGACCCGCTCGTCAACTCATCTGCTTCCCTGCTTGACGGACCTTCGGAGACGTTCCTTTGTTCGGCGCGCTCCTCGTCGCTCACGCCGTTGCTCTCGAGCTCGAGCAGCAGCCCGCCCACGACACCCTCGACAGCTTGGGCGAGCGAGGACGGCACCGACGACTTTGACCCGACTTTCTGGCTCAACGACTCGTTCTTCGACGATGCACCAGTCCTGACTTGCGCTCCCTCCATGTTGTTGCCCAGCTTCTCGACGCCCGTTTCGCAGCCTCACTTCTCTTTCGCCCCGACTCTTCCTGTCCAGCCTCGAGGCATCAAGCGCTTGGCTTCTCCCTTCGACGATAGTGAATGTCTCGCCGGTGACTGCCCTTCGAAGCGCAGTATTGACGCAGGTGACTGTACTCCCTCCTCTTCCAAGCGTCGCCGGGTTGTTCGTGCTCCTCTCGTCTAGTCGCTCGCTCGTCCTTGCCCTGCTTAGCTGACCACTGTTGTTGCCTTGCTTACCGAGTACCTCTTTGAACCTGTCTCTGCGTGTTGTCCTCGTCCAGGGTTTCGATCCGCCTTCTCGTCCTTATCGTTCGCCTGCCGTATCGTCCGCATCGACTCCCCTCGCACTTTCTCATGACCTGGCACCTTTCGCAGCCCTTCAGCAACCTTGCAATCCGCACTTCCGTTCTCGCACTCCATCCTGTGCGAGAGTCGCCTCAGAAAGCGCAAGCAAGCGTTCATTTCCCGTTGGCCAACCCGGCTTGACCCGCTACTTCCTTGGATTCTGCGTCCACCGCTCCCGCCTCTTCTGGCAGGAAGCCGCCGCCTTGGGCGCCCGCCTCGTCTTCGACCGCCCGCGCCAACGCCTCCTCCTCCTCGTTCGCATCGACCGAACCGTCCTCCGCCTCCTTTACCTCGCCCGCTACCGCCGGCTGCTCAACCGGCTCCGAGTTCTCTTCCGCCTCCTGCCGCTCAACCTCGCGCCACAACTCCTCCTCCTCCTGCCTCCTCTTCTTGACCAACAACTCCAACCTCTTCTCCCGCGCCGTGACAAGCCTCTCAGCCTTCGCCTCGTCCAGTCCGACATACTGGTCCTTCGCAGGAGCTTTGGTAGGCGAGGAAGAGTGAGAGGCGATTTCGGCGTCAAGGGAGGATAGGCGCGAGAGGAGGTTCGAGAGGTTCTGGGCTGAAAGGAGGCGCGAGAGTGCTTGAGAGGCGCAGGCGCGGATGTGGTTGAACCGCACGGGGCCGAGCATGACGCCCCCGTACAGCCTGCTCACGACAATTGCGACGTCCACCCCGCCCTCCTGCGTCAAGACTTGCTTGATGATCGTCGACCCGCCCTTTTCGCCGTCGTCGTCCCCGTTAATTTCGACCTTCCAATCGTCCTCGCTATCCAGGCCCGTCTTGCCCGGCTTCAATCCCATACACCGATACGCCATGATTTCGTGTGTACATTCGACCGGGTGAGTCGTCGAGCGCAGGTTGCGGACGTAGTTCTGCAGCGTCTGAGCTTGCGTGTGGTTCGTGCATGGCGCGGCGTGTGCGATGAAGGTGCTTGAGCGGTCGGTGAGGGGGTCGCTGGAGACGAGGGGTGAAGGGGGTTTGGGAGGACCGGTTGTCGAGGGGAAGTAGGCGTTGAGTGAGGTACGCTTGGCTAAGGGAGTGTTGGACGAGCCGAAGGACGTCGACGAAGCTGTTCGTTTGGACATGAGGCGGTCGGGATGAGGGATGAGGTGGGGAGGGGGAGTGGAAGGACCTGGGAGGTGGCGGGAACGGCAAGCAGAGTTCGCACACGTTTGACCTGAGTTTCTGGCAGCCCAGCGAGCCAATCCAGCGAACTCGAGCGAGTGGTGGAGAGCAGACCCTCCCTCTTCCTCCTCAACGTCTCTTGGACCTCGACACCACACGCTCTCCAGCTCAGCGGGCAGGATGACATGCTTCGAGACGCTCATCCGATCACTCTCCACGATCTAATACTCGCCTGGCTCGCGCTCACCCTGCTTGTCGCGCGCACTCTCGCTTCATCAGTTCCGCGACCCCCTCCCTCACTCGACACACTCACGTCGCTCTTCTCGGCCAACGGACACTTCGGACACCTCTCAAACGGCTCAGAATGGACGCCGACGAACGAAGCGGGGGACAAGTTGTATAGAACGCGGGCGGCTTGGCAGCCGTCGAGCGGGTGTCGACTGAGACGGTTCGAGCGGGAGGAGATTGTGCGGTGCGTAGAGGGCGAGAGGCTGGTTGTGTGGGGTGACTCGACTGCGCGGGTGCTTTTCTACGGGTGCGCCCAGCTTTACTCCCTAATCTCCTCGACGACCGCAACTAACTCAGCATTTGCTTCCGCACAGGCTCATCAACAAGCTCTCCCCAGCCCTGGTCACCGCCAAACACGAGAACCGAGTCTTCACCTTCCCCTCCCTTCCCTCCAATCCATCCAGCCCACTCGCAACCTTCGAATACCGCTGGGATCCGATTCTCGACACCAACACCTACTGCTCGTTCCTCCCCTTCCTCGAGTTCGGATCCCTCCCTCCGCTCAACACGAGCATCTCGAGCACCTCGACGATACCGCTCGCGAATGTCTTCTCCACCGGATTGTGGTACATTGACCCTCGGCCAAACATGTACCCTCGTTTCCGCGTTCCGGAATGGAAGGAAGACGTGATGCGCATCCTCGAGGCGGCCAAGACGAAGAAGTTGGCGAGGGTGATGGTGATTGCTGAGGTGGAGGTGCCGACGGAGAAGGATGATTTGGAGGTGCATCCGCCCGCGCAGGCGAGGGAGATGAATCGGTGGTTGAGGGGGGTGATGGAGGAGAGGATGGTGAGCGGTGAGGCGGAACGAGCAGTCACGCCTGTCGTCTACGGTGCGCTGCCGTTCTCTTCCGTGCGAAGGAGCGCAGGCTGACTTCCACTTCGAACAGCCCCCGCTTTCAACGCCATGATCGCCAACCTCTCTGCCTCGACAGGCGACGGCTTGCACTACTCAATGGACATCGCAGAAGAACAAGCCGACCTCGTCCTCAACGCCGTCTGCAGCAGTCGACTCGCAGACTTGCCTGCCGACACTTGCGGGCTCAATCCGGCTATCCGACACGCTTGGTCAGATGACGCGGTGTGGGTTGTCTGTGCGATGGCGGTGGTACTGCTCAGCGCCGTCTTCCTGCGCCGAAGGAAAAGTGCGTCGTCCTCCTCACTCGCTCGAGTCTCACTCTCTGATCTGCCGACCCTGACCGATCCTCCTCTTGCCCACCCGCCTGTTTCACTCTTCCGTTCGCTCGCAGCTCGCACTCACGTGCCGCGGCAGTACTCGCTCGCTCGACTCGTCCCTCTCGGCTGGCGCACGACGGGCAAGCACGGTGACGAAGGCTATCAGCTCGCCAGGACCAATGTCGACGATGAGCACTCGGGCTCGTAAGCCGTCGCCGCGACGGACGAACCAGCAACAAATGACCTCGTACCATGACGAGGTCGCATTTCCATTCGCAAACCCGCAAATTGCGAAGAACGAACATTGCGGTCGTCGATCTGGAACGAACGGACGGTGCGCGTACGATCGCGGGAGAACGGGTCTTGCCGCGGCGGGCAGTTGCGCCGACCGAAGCTCAGGCGGAGGATGGCCGACCTTGTGAGGAGCGTTCTCATGCGCAGGTGACTCTCGAGAGGAGGTCCCTCGTCGCTCGGAGTGTTGGCGGAATGCGAGGCTGTCTATACCGAGTGTAATAGAGTCTATTAAGCGTGAATAGAGCACGAATAGCGAGCGAGAGTTTGGTCGGGTGCAGACGATGGGCCTCGCCTCGTTCCTCTCTTCGCACCAGCAACAGGCTCACACACGCTCGCCTCTCGCTCTCCTCCAGAGTTCCCTAGCCATGGCTGCTGCCACAGAGCAACCCAAGCCTGTGCCCGCCCAGGCGCCCCAGCCCGCACCGTCACCAGCAAAGCCCGCCAGCGACGACGCGCCCACCTCGACCGCCGCCGCAGAACAGTCGCCCGCAACCGGCAAGGAGGGCACAGAGAGCAAGGCAAAGGACGACGACGCACTCGACCTCGACGTGGGACCCGAAACTGGCAGCGTCGTCGACATGGACGTCTTTGGACAGCTCCTCGAGATTGTGCGTCGGGCCTGATCTCGACAGCTCTTTCCCGGGGTTTGTGGGGGTTGGAAGGGCGCAACACGGCTTTCTGGTGCATGCTGGGTAGCTACGAGGGTGGTCCGGAGCCGCCTCACGCCCCCGTGCTTGCGCGGACTCGTCGCTGACCCGCTCGTCGTCATGATCCTCCCCGCCTCGCCTCCTGTCTTCTCGCGCCCTTCCCGTTGCCGTGAGCAGGACGACGACGACACGCACGAGTTCAGCAAGACACTCGCGTTCGACTACATCAACCAGGCAGAGGCGACCTTTGTCGAGATCGAGGAGGCCCTGTGCGTTCGCAACCTTCCCACCGCTACCTCCCAGTCCGCGAGCATACGCCTGCCGTTCTACTGGCCGAGCGACTGACTGTTTGCTCGCTCCCTCGATCCTCGACACCGCCTTGCCAACTCCTCCCCCTCTCCATGCGACCTCGCTCGCCCTGATCGACCCGTCATTTCCTACTGTCCGTTCGCGCACACACGCACCTCCTCCTCCATCCATCCGCCCCTCTGTCATTCTCGCAACGCCAACGCCTCTCTCCGCATCACTTCCCACCCCCAGCTCCAAGAAAGACCTCGACGCCCTCTCGCGCAAAGGCCACTTCCTCAAAGGCTCGTCCGCCGCGCTCGGCCTCCAACGCGTCCAGCACTTGTGCGAAGCACTGCAACATTTTGGCAAGCGCCGTGATGCGCGCGGCGAGGGGCCCGAGGTGAGTGAGGAAGAGGCGCTGGCGAGGTGTAGGGCGTTGTTGGGGCGGCTGAAGAAGAATCAGAAGGAGGCCAAGGATGTGAGTCGAACGGTTTTCGTGAGTCTCACGTTGCGGCAGGAGCTGATGCGGGTTCTTGTCGCGTCGACGCAGTGGTTGGAGGGCTTTTACAAGGAGAAGGCCTGATCCGCCTCGACGCCTCGTTCGCATCGCTTTGTTCGCTTAAGTTGGGATAGTAGTAGGAGGAGGAGACGAAGCTCGACCGACGCACTCAGGGTTGTCCGCCAGTACCACACCACGCCACACCACGCCGTTCCCTTCCCCTTCCCCCTCACCTCCCCGCTTGTTCCAACCTATCGCAAACCTACCGCACTGTACATATCCCTCTCGTTCCGACTCGAATCGACCGAGACAAGACACAACAAGAAATTCCGAACCGCAACCTCATCCCTCCTCGACTCGACACTCGCCGTCTTCCTCTTACCCGCAGGTTTCCTTCGCAACCTCCTCATCACAAGTGTCGTTCCTTCTCTCCCCCTCCCCTCTACCTCGCTTGCACATACCCGTACACACACCCCCTCTGCGCGTTCCGTCGACGAGAGTTGGGAGTCTCGCTTGAGCCTGGCCTCGTCCGCTCGCTTTCCTCGCCAGTTTGCGAGAGCACACAGAAGAGCTTCCTCGCGCTCGTGGCCCTCGTGCGTCGGATGAAATGAACGAGCGGGTCGATTGGCACTTTGCACACGATGCGACGCGCTCTGCTCTTCTCGCGCTCTCTCACTCGCCTCGCGCTCGCCTGGGAACTGCTGTGCCGTCTGCTGGCTGTGCTGTCTGGGCTCATTAGCTCACGAGCGACTGGCGGCTCACGCGAAGTCGACACCTGTCTCCGCCCCTTCGACAACCCCCGACGACACTCGCATCGCTCGTGATGCACCCACCCGCGCCCAATCCCCTCTCCAACTCGTTCTCCGCACGACGAGCAGCCCTCGCACTCGCCCAGTCTCGCCCAATACACACATCGAGCGCACCAGCGTCCGACCCTCTCCCCTGGGTCCAGGACCAAGTCGCGTCTTCTTCTTCTTCGCGCAACACGGTCGGATTGGGACTGGGGAGTGAGGACATGAGCAACACGATGAGGAGTACGGGGCTGGGTATTTCGGCGCCGGCTGCGAGAGGAGCGGGCGGAATCTCCGCTGTTGTCGACCTCGACCCTAATACGGATCGCGAGAACGTACCTCTTCCTTCAGCCTTTCCTTCGACTGCCTACCCTCCAACGACGACGAGCACGACGACTGCCGATTCGCCTACCAAGTCACCCATGCATCTGCGCGTCGGCTCTCTCTCTCACCATTCTCCCTCTCGACCTTCCTCTGCGCAGTACACCAGCGCTTCGTCCCCTTCTCGCGCCTTCTCCTCCATCCTCTCCTCCTTCCTCCCCTCTCGACGCCGCCGAGCGCCCTCAATAACCGACGACCTCTCAACCCTGCAGTACCCGCGCTCCCCCTCACTCCTCAGACCACCTCCAACAGTCCGCCACAGCGCAGGCCGACGCACGTGCCTTTCGCTCCGGCGGCTCATCTTGACTCTTTGCGCCGTTTCGCTACTCGCGATACTGTACGCCTCGACGGTTGAGGAAGAGACGCGCAGGGAAAAGTGGAATTCGTTTCGAGCGAAACTCTCGTCGTCGAATTTCTCCGCTTCCGATGCGAGCCGGGCGAACGTCGTCAATTACGGCGACATGCTCGATGCATTACGGAGCGGGGGCGGGAACGGGCATGCGTCGCATCACCCCGCTGGATGGGGCGCGGCCAAGGAGGTGGTCGTCCCCAAGCCTGTGGCGGTCGAGGCGCCTTCGCCGGCGGTGCGGGCTGCCGAGCAGGACTCGATGAATGCGGATGATCTTGGAGGAAGCGCGGCGGAACCGGTGCGGTTGATTGAGATTGAGAAGGTCGACTCGCGTGAGGAGGAGGGAGACGACGCGAATGAGCGGAGACCAAAGCCTCATCTCGCTGTCAAGGTCGGTAAGGAGGAGGACACGCCGGCGAAGGAGGACGAAAAGCCCAAGCCGACGAAGGAGGACTTGCCTTTCCTCACGGACAAGAGCGCGCCCACGCCGTCGGACGACTTGAACGAGCCCGACGCGGAAGACGAGCAAGCTGGACTTGCGGCGGTCGTCAAGCAGGCTGAGCAGGAGGACGCGAAGCAGGATGCGGATGCCGAGGAAGTGACCGAGTCGCTTGAGCAGGTCATCGAGGAGGAGCGGGAGGCGGCTCCTCCCGCGCGCCTCAAGGCTCAGCAGAAGGAGAAGGAGCAGTCAAACCGCGTCGAAGAGGTCGTCGCCATCCCGCCAGAAGCGGAGGCCAAGGCGAAGAAGGCGGTCGAGAAGGCCCTGTCGAATGCGGCCAAGAAGGCGCGGCGGAAGAAGAAGAAGGATGCCTCGCGGTACAAGCGGCTCCTCCCGCTTGGCGCTCCTCCGCGCCGGTACCTCTACGGCGCAAACTTTGTCATCGCCGCAGACGAGGTCGACGCTTCGACTGTCGCGACGAACGAGTTGACGAACGAGCAGATCAAGATCCCGTCGAAGAAGCAGCTCAAGAAGATGTTTGACAGCGGCAAGAAGCGGTACCTTGAGGAGGCGGACGACTGGCGCAACTACGAGTGGAAGGCTCCGCCTGCTCACGCATCGCTGCAGCGCTTCGTCGACCGGCTCAAGGCGGTACGTTGTGCCCCTCCTCCCAGTCTGTCCTGGAGTTAGCTGAAAATGCTTGCTATGCAGGACGAGCGCGCCCTCCGAGACTGGATCAAGCGAGTCCACGCCTCACCGCCCTCTCAGCCCATCGGTCTCGCCGCCCCGCTCGACGCCGTCTTTACTCCCGCCACAACCGACCTCGCCCTCGTCGGCGAGCCACCCATCTTCGACCGCGGCAACCGCGACAAGTGGACCGACCTCGTTCTCCAGGCGCAGGAGGGTCACGCTGGAAAGTGTAAGGGTAATAAGTGGCTTGATGACTATCAGAAGCTGCATGCCGAGGTGCGTTGTATTCTTCTGCTCGCGAGGGAACCGATCACTGACTCGTTGATTCGTCTGCGCAGATGCTTGCGGGCGAACGCGAACCCAAGTTCATCTCGTATCACTGTCCGTTCAGCCACCGTACTTCCTTCGCCGTGCGCTGCTGACCACTCTGACGAACAGGCGAGACAGGGATGAACTGCGGCGGCCTCGGAGACCGGTACGAGGCGTTCCTCCGCTTCTCCTCCTCCTCTCCCGCTGACATTTCGCTTCTTCAGGCTACTCGGCATGACCTCGACCTTCTTCTTCGGCTTGATCACCCAGCGAGCTGTGCGTATTATGCACCGTTACTGCGTCTTCCGCGACTGACCCCGCTGCTTGCAGTTCTTGAGCGAGTGGCAGTCGCCCATCCCGCTCGACATCATCTTCGACTCGCCTCACGTCAACTGGTCGCACTCGTCCTTCACCAGCTCTCGCCACCCCGTCCTCGGCCAAAAACGTCTCGCTGACGCCGCCGCCGACCTCGATGTCATTCACTTCGACCGTCTCTCTGTCGACGCGACCTTCGGCACAACGAGCTGGAATCCGCCGAAGAACCGCGCGCTCACGCCTGGCTTCGAGTTGCGCGACCTTGCGTACAAGTCGCCCTGGATCAAGGTGCGCCTCTCCTCCTGCGAACTTGACGAGTTTCCGCTGACCTGCATTCGGTCCGGCAGTTCTACACCAACCGCGGCATGATCTACCGCGCGTTCAAGTACAAGCACTTGCAGAAGAGCATCAACCGACTCGGGCTCGAGCCGACGACCGCGTTCGCCTGCATCAGCGAGTACCTCTTCAAGCCGAAGCTGCCGGCGCTCGACCTCATCACGCAGTATACCTCCGTCCTCGCGCTTCCCACCATCTTCAGCGTCGGCATACATATCCGCACGGGTGATCAGAGCATGCGCGACGAGGTGTACGACAAGGTCAACACCGGTGCGTGCGGACCTTGACCTTCGCAAAGTCACGTTTCGTGCTCACTCCCTTGCTCACACGCTCGCAGTCAAGCGCCACATCGCCTTCTTTCGCTGCGCCCGCGAACTCGGCGAGACCTACGCCCGGAAGGACCAGAAGGTCGTCTTCTTCCTCATCACCGACTCGCAACACCTCAAGCAGGACGCCCAGCGCGTCCTCGGCAACAAGCTCATCACGACCGACATGGTTCCCCAGCACGTGCATCAGAAGAGCGGCCATGTCGACGGGGTCATGTCGGCTGTCGTCGAGGACTGGATCCTCGCGAAAGCCGATATGCTCGTCGCGACTCAGGACTCGGGTTTCGTGTGTTGCCTCGCTCTTCATCGTGCCAAGCTTGAGCTGACGCTTTTGGTCACGCAGGGCAAACTCGCGTCCTTCATGATGGCCAAGCCGAACGCAACTGTCACCATCTTCCCGCGCTTTAACCCGGATGTGATGGGCTTGCAGAGCAAGAAGTCGCACCTCCGCGTAGACTGTACTTCTCCCACCGTGTGAGTCCACTTCTCTGCTCAGCAGGTTGGCACGAGCTGACGACGCATGAGGACTCGCAGATTCACCTCGTTCGAGGAACTCTCGTCCGAATGGTCGCTCGGCTAGACTTTCGACCTCTCCTTACACGCGCCTCTATCTATCGCACGCTCGCAAGCGAACAGACACTCCGCACGCGCATTCTCTCCCTCTCACAGACCCTCGTCTCTTCCTGTCATGACTCCCTCTCCTCCCCTCGCAACGCAAAAGGTGTTGTTTTACCGCAGGCGTCTCCTCTCTCTCTTCCTCGCAAACGCATCTGTATTGGGGCTGGCCTCGTTCAAGGAATGTATTTGGGGCGACGACCCGTTCTCGCTGGCAGGCTTTCGCTCGTCGGACCATTCGGAGGAGAGGGAGACGCGAGAGGTCAACTTGGCGCATGCGATTCCAGAGACAAGCAACAAGAAAGTGAGAGGCGAGGCGAGGCGAGGCGAGGAGAGGAGGCGCGGGCGTTCCAGAGGAACGAGGGAAATAAGCCGTCAAGCGTCGAGAGGAGGGGAAAGGAGCGGATTAGCCGAACATCGAGTTGTGCCATTCGCTATTCGAACCAGGCCGCTGTGACCAACGTGGAAGCCAGTGGGTCAGTTACCGTTTCGAAGCGAGAGACGAGCACGCTGGAATGCCCAGGTTCTGCGCACTCACCTCGACATCCGGATGCACCCGCGGCACGCCTCCCATCCCTCCCCCTCCCCTGCCCATCCCACCACCTCCTCTTCCCGCTCCAGGCTGCCCACCAATGCCCCCGAACAGCGGCCCATTCCCCGGTCCAACCGGATCAAACCTCGCACCAGGCGGCGCCCCAATCGGCGGGAGGTACCCATCTCCTCCCCACCTCCTTCCCTCTGCTCCTTCACCGCCCTCGGGAGGAGGGAACCGGTCGCGGAAGAGAGGGTGGTTCGGGCCAACTAGCATCCCGCCTGCGTCGGGGTCTCCGAGCGATGGAGTGCCCGGGAAGCCAGGGAGGCGAGGGAACGTCCCGGGCAGGCCGCCGAGAGGCTCGAGGTCGCGGCGACCGATGTCGGCGAGCGGGGCGTGAGGAGGAGGAGAACGGAAGGGGATGCGGAGCGGGTCGTTCGTGCCCGGGTCGGGGTGTGAGGGAGTCGGACGCGAGGGAGACGGGTTCGAGGGTGGGAACATGCCCATTGGACCGCCGCGGTCGGGGAGGTAGCCGCCCATCGGTGCGCCTCCTCCTCCTCCGCCGCCGCCAGACGTGCTCGCCCCGCTTCCCGTGCGTGGCGCGTCCCGCTCCGACACTTCGGTGTACCCCTCCTTCCTCAGTCCTGGCACGAGCTTCTGCAGGATGTTGAGGCGGTAGAGGAGGATGAGGTCTGCGAGGCGGTTCGGGGCAGAGAACGGGAGGGAGGGGGAGAGGGAGGAGAGGGACAGAGGCGAGGAGGAGGAGAGGGCGGTCGGGGAGAAGTAGTCGTTCGTGACAAGGTCGAAGGTGGACGAACGAGCGGGGTTCTGCGTAACAGCAGGGACGGAAGTCAGCTAGGAGAGGAGGGTGAAGGTGGAAGAGCCGGAAACGCACGTCTACAGCTGCGCCTGCGACGAGCAGCCTGCCTCCGAGGTCGACGACGGAGACGACAAACTCCATGCTGCTCTGCTCGTGCCTGTACTTGAGCTTGAGTTCGCCCTTGCCCTCCTCTGGCGGCCAGTCTCGAGGGAGGCGATTCTTGACTCCTTCGCCCCCTTGCCCGCCCTGCTCGCCCTGTTGCTGCCCTTCGCTCGTTCCTGCCTCCTCCTCCGCGTCTGGCTTGGGCTGTACGAGGCGGAAAGAGAGCGCCGAATGGATTGCGTGGATGAGGAGTGCGAGTGCTTGCGCAGGCGTCGAGAGCTGCGCGTTGGGGCTGGCGAGTGAGCGTGCGAGCTGCACGAGTGCGTCGGGTGCGAGTGGGTCGCTCATGGTCAATTGCGAGGTGACTTGGTGAAGCGTAAGCGATGAGCAACGGAGGTGGGGAAGCCACTGTATTCGACATTACAGACTGAATACAAGTGTCGTTGTATTGAGATGCCAATACAAGCTGAATACAACTCACGGGTAATGCTTGACGATTACAACGGACCTGACTTCATCGCTTCCCCTTCGCCTCGCCACCACCTCCGCACGACCACGATGAGTGCGACCGCGCAGTTTGAGAGCATCTACCACGGGCTCAGCCCAACCCCAGGCAGTCAGTTCCCTGCTCCGCTCTCTCCCTCCTCATCTCGACACTCGCGTCCAGACGCGTCCACACTCATCTCGCCCGCCGCTGACCTTTGCACCAGCGCAGAGCTCCGCATCGCACCGTCGGGTCTCGGATGGAAGAGCAGCGACGAGAACGAGAGCGTCGTGACGGTGCCCGGCGCCGAGATCAAGTGGATCCAGTGGATCCGGTGCGTCCCTCCTCTCCGCTCCCTCGAGCTGCCCGGACGAGACTGACTCGCGATCTGTACCTCTTCAGCGTCGCGAGGAACTACCAGATGCGCATCGGGACCCAGAAGAAGCGCACGACGTTCGACGGCTTCCTCAAGGAGGACTTTGAGCGTCTCTCCAACCTCTGCAAACAGGCGAGTCCGCACGAATGGTCTGTGTCGAGACGAATGCTGATATGTTCCGTCGCCCGCAGTACTACAACATCACGATCGAGACGAAGGACATCAGCGTGAGGGGGTGGAATTGGGGAGTTGCCGAGGTGCAGGGTGAGTTCGCACTCCTTTCGCCTGTCAAGCTGCCAGCTCTTCGAAAGCTGGAGTCTATGTATGCGCGCGCACGTGCTGACTTCCCCGCTTCGCTCGCGCAGCCGACGACCTCGCCTTCCTCGTCGCGGGCAAGCCCTCTTTCACGATTCCCCTCAACGTCGTCCAAAACACCTCGATCACGAAAGCCGAAGTCGCACTCGAGTTTGGCTCGTCCCTCCCGCCTCCTCCCGCGGGCGACGCCGAAGACCCCGTGGCGAAGAAGAAGCGGTTGCGTGCGATGCCGGACGAGGTGAGCGAAATGAGGCTCTACATCCCTGGTTCGGCGCGCGGTATGAAGAAGAAGGGTGACAAGGCGAAGGCGAAGGCCGAGGGAGACGTCAAGGGTGAGGACGAGAGCGAGGAGGAGGATGAGGATGAGGAGGACGAGGAGGGTGAGGCGGCGGCGCAGGCGTTCCACGATGCGGTCAAGGAGAAGGCAGCGATTGGACTCATTGCGGGCGAGACGATTTGCACGTTGCCCGAGGTGTTGTGCACGACGCCTCGTGGGCGATTCGGTGCGTTCCCTCCTTTCACTTGTTCTACGCTCTCTTGGACTCACCGCGCGCCTGGCCCGCAGACATCGACATCTACGCCGACTTCATGCGCCTGCGCGGCAAGACGTACGACTACCGCGTCACGTACCAGCAAGTGCAGCGCCTCTTCCTCCTTCCCAAACCCGACGACATCCACTCCCAGCTCGTCGTCAATATCGACCCGCCTATCAGGCAGGGACAGACGAGGTACCCGTACCTCGTCATGCAGTTCAACAAGGACGAGGTCATGGAGCTGGAACTCAACCTCGACGAGTGAGTTCGCCTGACGCAGCTTCCTGCCTCCTGCTCGACTGCGTGTAGGCTGACACTGACGACGACTCGTGGCGACTCGCACAGGGAGACAATTCGCGACAAGTACGACGGCAACCTGAAGCAGAAGTACGACGAACGGGGCTACGAGGTCGTCTCGCTCCTCTTCCGCGTCATGACGCAGAAAAAGGTCGTCACGCCCGGGTCCTTCCAGTCGTGCGTCCCCCTTCTCTACAGTGCTCTTTTACTTCCGCACTGACGAAATGAGCCCGACAGACACGACGGCCAGGCTGCGGTCAAGTGCAACCTCAAGGCGAACGAGGGCCAGCTGTACTTCCTCGAGAAGCAGCTCTTGTTCATCTCGAAGCAGCCGACGCTCGTCTCGTTCAACGAAATCTCGGCTGTCGTCCTCGCTCGGTGGGTCGCGACTTTCCATCCTTCTTTGTCACCGGTCTCGGCAGGTAGAGACGAAGCTGATGATTCTGCATCTACAGCGTCGGCGGCGCCCTTCCCTCTGCACGTACTTTCGACCTCGCGATCCGCCTCAAGGACTCGTCGACAGGTGGCCCGCTCGTCTTCTCGGCTCTCTCGAAGGAAGAGCTCACCAACATCACCGACTTCCTCTCGATGAAGAAGATCAAGGTCAAGAACGAGATGGAGGAGCTCGCGGCCGCTGAGGCGCAGGCGCTTGGAGCGGCGGACTTGAGCAGCGACGACGATGCGATGAGTGTCGACGACGACAGCGACGACGGGGGCAGGAGGAGGGCAAAGCCTGCGGCGGGCGGGATGGCTGCAGACGACGACGAGGACTCGGAAGGTGCGCTTCGCTCGCTCAAAGCGCCGAGCACCGATTGACGAGCTGACGATCTCACGCCTGCGCAGTTGACGAGGACTTCCAGGCGGACTCGGAGTCGGATGGCGGCTCGGCTTCTTCCGACTCGGAAGACGACGACAACGCCAGCTTTGCGAGCGGAGACGCCATGTCGGAGGACGAGAAGCCCAAGAAGAAGAAGCAGAAGACCAAGTAGGCGGGAGGAGCGGTTAACGGAAGGGGGCTTGGGTCGTGCGTCGTCCATTTCTTCGCTTGCTTGTACTGTAACGCTTGTTCTTCAAGCCCCAGCATTTCGTGTGCACGTGCGCGAACGAGGCGACGAGGGACTCGGGCAGGTCTTTGGAACAGGCAGGCGGTCGACTTGCTTCTTTCCGAGGATCGACAGCCGGCTTGAGCTATTCCGCAGATCACTGCGTCTTACGGATCAACTTGTGCCTCCACTCTCTCGCTTCACCTCTATCGTTCGCTCATCGGGTGTCCACTGATGGAGCCCGCCCACCTGAGGCAGAGACGCTGCCCTCCTCAACTCGCCCGAGGATGACCGAAGTTAGGTGATCTGACCGGACAGACTGATGTTTCCATTCCGACTTTGCGGTGTTCTATCGGTTGGCTGCCTTCCCACGCCTTCTCCCTCTTTGCGGTCCTTCACTCCCTGGGGACGACCCGACTTCACCAGCACTCTTACGCCCTCGAGCATGCCAAATCGCAGCAGCTTTGGGGCGTCCGACGCCCAAGCCAGCCTCGAGTCGATCTTCCTCCGACCCATTCCGTCTCGCGGTGAGTCCGCTTCTGTCCTATGGCGACACGCCGCCTGATTGAGCTTGACTTGCATGTCAGATCCTGCGACAGCTTTCGCCTTGGCCCCGTCCGTTCCCGCCCCGTGCTCGCCGAATTTACGCCCTCGCATCTCTCGACCACGCTCGCTCGTCTCCCTCGTCTCCCTCGTCGTCCCGACCAGGTCGGACTCGTTACCGTCCTCCTCTCGAGACACTTCGTCGTCGTCGTCGCCGTCCCCGTTCTTCGCTTGGCCCCTTCGACGCTCAAGCGAACCAACCCGCTCGCTTCCCTGCACCGACACCAACATCGCCGACAGCGACACATCCCCTTCCCTCGTTGACACTTGCGGAGAACGTTCCGGTCGGCGGAAGCGGTCGAGTCGCGCGAACGTCGTTGACAAGCAGATGAGCGGGCCCCTGGAGCGTAACTCGGGCGACGCGTGAGGTCTAGCGGGTCCAAATGAGGCGGTCGAGCGACGTGACAAGCTCGAGCCGAGGTCTGACTGTCGTTGCCAGAGCAACTCGGGCCACAGGAGGACGTTGCGAGCGTAGGAGCACGAGGCGAGTGTGTGTAGGAGGACTGGGTCGGAGAGAGGAGGGGTATCGGGTGAGTTCGTCAGGTTGTACCGTCATTTGTTATGCTGTTCTTGCGCCGAGGTTACGCAAGGCGCCCGTAGAGACGCCGTCAGAGAAGCGGGACGCTCGCTCGTCCTTGGCTCGTCCTTCGCAAGTCCGGACGACGGGTTCCTCCGGCGGCAGTCCTGTGCGGCAGCGTTGCCAACTCGCGATGCTTCGCCTGCAGGCAACGACGCACATCTTTAGCGTTGCCCACTGGTACATTCTTGCCCAAGCGCATGCTGCCGCGACGTACATCCGCCCCGGTCAGACCTGCTTCCGAGGGCTGTTCCACAGCGAAGGAACGTCACCTTCTTTGCGCTCGCTGCGTGCCGACGACCCGAACTACCGGAACTGAAGATACGAACGGAGCCATTAGCCCGCTGGGGAAGGAGGCTGGCGGCAGATCACCCTCGCGAGCGTCTCGGAAGCTGCGCATTATCCTTTTCAGCACAGCAATCCTTCGCGCGTGTGGAGTTTGAGCCAAGATCAGGTGCGCCTGTCGAAGCGACAAGCTTGCACGCTCGTCGCCAGGGAACGCAAAGTTCCTTCGTCGTCCCGCCCCTCTTCTCTCTTCCCTTTCCTCCTTACCGTCTACATCGCCCAGCAAACGACGTTTCAGTATGATGGCGACCTTCAGCAGCCCTGCCTCATGCGAGGAGAAGGTCGGACTCCGCTCCTTCCTCGGAGCCGACTCTCGTACGTCTCGCTGCTTGGAGACGGATCTCTCCATGGTGGTCGCTGACTTGCAGCGTCCATAGCGGTCACCGGCTCCCGACGACCATCGACCGCACCCATCCAGCCGCGCACGCCGCCGTACAACCATGAACCTTCGCAACCTCGCTCGTCGTCGCACTCTCGCTCTTTCTCGTCGTCCTTCTTCAACCTCTTCCTTCCTCGCCGCTCAAGCAACTCGTGGATGCCGTCGTCGACTGCGTCACCAACGTCCTCCTTCGGCTCGTCGTCGTCCTACACCCAGGCGCTCTCTTACCCTGCGCCAGGTCGTCCAGCGTCGACGACCGCGACATTTTCCGCTCGACGAGGCCGCCCACAGCCATCCAAGTCGAAGACAGTGGCCGCCGTCGCCACCTCGTGCATCAGCTGGCCGCTCGAGCGTGATTGCGAAGCCGCGTCTGTCTGGGTGTTGGGCTACAGAGACGACGGCGGCGCCGACGACAGGAGCCGAGCGAGGAAGCTCGAGGCGCGAGTCGACTGTCGCTGCCATGACTGCGGTGCAAGCGAGTGGCGCAGGACGGCGGTCTTGTGAGGGAATGAAAGGGTTATCCGGTTGTCCATACGGCGTTGTTCGGGTCCGTCAGCCTTGTTGTGTAGCAGATACTGGGCTGTATAGCGTGATTATTTCCATAGTAAGAACTGAGCGTAGCGAGCGGGGATCGAGACAACCAGCTTGGCAAGTCCAGTCGGCCAGGTGTGCAAGCTGGCATTAGACCTTCGATGGCGGACCATCTAGACTTTACGCCCTCGGTGTCCGTCATCTATCGCCATCGTATCAAGGCGCCCGCGTGTCCTGCCGGCGCATCGTCGCCCACCGCTTCATCTCCTCAGGAAAGCCAACGTCCTCCTTCCCGACCCCGCCGCCAACCACCACCTCCTCCTCGTTCAGCACGCCGCCGACGAAGACAATCTCCACTTGCCGTCCACTTCGACCGGGAAGTCCCGCCCGCCCGCGGAACAACACCTTCCACTGCTTGTCGAGGAAGACCGTTTCGAGCTGTTCGAGCGAAGGGTCGCCGTTCGGTCCGACACGGGACGCGAGCTCGTCGAGGAAGTGCGGAGGGATAGGCGAGTAAGGAAGCGGGAGAATGTAGAGAGCGGTAAGGTGGTGAGAGTGAGGTTGAGCGAGGGATGGGTGTGGGGGAGGAGCGAAGTCGCGCCAGGGCGGCATGTAGTCGACAAAGGCCTGCCATGCGACGTGCCAGATGACAGGTAGGCGTTTGACGGAAGGTGCGCTGGAAGGGAAGAGTTGCTCGATCGCAAACTTGGAACCGACGGAAGCGTTGATGCCGATAAGCGACTCGCATGGCCATTGTAGCGAGATATCGCTGGGTTCGCGCAGCGTCAAGTACGCCCAATCAAGCCAGTCATCCTCGTCGAAAGAGTCCGTCACGGTGAGATAACGAGTTGTGTCGCTTAACCAGGTGAGGGGACGAGGGAGGGAGACGCCCCGCGCGCGTGCGTCGTGAGGGTCGGTGAAGAGGGCTAGGGCGGAAGCCGATATGGAGATATCCTCAAGCGAGGTTGGCAGCGGTCGAATTGGGTGAATGGTCCATGCGGCGTGAGGTTCGAGTACGATGCGAAGATTGGCCAGCGTTTGCCTCGCTGCGATGTTGGGAGATGAGTGAGTGACTTTTCAAGGTGTCCGCAAGGGTTCTACTCACCGACCTGATCCAGCAGAATGCGCAAATCGAGCCACCGGCCTTCGAGGACGAAGGTTGTCAAGCCGGTACATCGGGCGAGCACCGACGAGACGCCGCGATCGTCGACTTCGTCGAAATCTCCTTCGAGCCGCACAGTCTTGACGCTGTGAGCAAGGTCGTCCCGCGCAGCGAGGGTTTCGCGGAGGAGTGGGCATTGCGTCTCGAGCGAGTGGAGCCGGACGAAGGAGAAGAGCCGGGGCTGGGCTGCTGCGCGCCATACGGAGGAGACGAGGGCGCAGGATCGCAGAAGGGTGTACGGCGAAGGTACTGCCGGATTGCTGGGGGATTCGTGGGGCGGGAAGGTGCAGGACGAGGCGGCATGCGCGAGGATAAAGTCGACGAGTTCGACTGGCAGCTGGTCGGCGGTCATCCGCGCGTCGTAAGGGATGTGGCTGCGTGCGCTGCTGCCGCGTCGCCGTGGTGTGCGGTCGCGAGATGGCGGAGAGACGATGAGCGATGAGAGGGTCAGAGGAGGGCAGGGAGGATGCGAAGGTTTCTCGTGCAGATTAGTCGACAGTAAAGGATGAGTAGCAGCTGTTCCAAAGCCAGCAGGATCGCAGCGAGCGGAAGAGGCGGAGGAGAAGAGCCGAAGGAGCGAGTGCGCAGGAGGCGAGCTTCTTGCGCTGCAGCCCGGCCAGCGTAACCGCCTTAGACAACGGGATTGCTGCACGAAGCTTTCTACGAGACAAGCCTCGGGGCGAGAGAGGTCGCTCATTCCTCCCGGTCCCTCCGCCTGCAACTCTTCTACCCCTGCTGTCGCCGCCGCTCCATCCACTGCCGCATCTCCACCGGGATGCCTAAATCGTCATCCGCAAGACCGCCTCCCATCACCCGCTCCTCCTCGCCTGATACGTCGCCAACAAGGACAATCTCGACCTTCGTCGCGCCTTGTCCGTCTAGTGCGGTCACCCCCCTCTTGCGCAGCACCTTACTCCACTGCTGATCAAGGAAGAGAGTCTTGAGATGCCGGAGGGACGGGTCGCCGTGGTGTCCAACTCGAGTTGCGAGCGTTCCGAGATGCGCGCGGGTGGGTGTTACCCAGAGCGGTAGGATGTACAGCGCTTCGAGCTTGTGGGCGTGAGGAGGTTTGTATTCGTCTTCTTCGAGGAAAGCGTCAAGGAGAGGATCGTGTGCCGGCATCGATCCGTCAAAGTCTTGCCACGGGGGCTTGCGGTCGACGAAGTCTTGCCAGCCAACATGCCAGACGACGCTGATGCGGTCCATCTCGGCTGCAGCCGGCGGGAACATCTCTTCGACTGCCGTCTTTGCGCCGATCGAGGCGTCGATGCCTTTCAATCGCTGGAACGGGTAGGGGAGCTTGCCCGGGCTTGTCTGGCCCGAGATGGCGTGCGAGGCGTAGATGACCTCGTCAGGTTGCTCAATGGTGCCGGTGAGGGTAAGCCATTCGACCGAGTCGGTGAGCCATGCGAGCAACGCTGTCTCGCCCGCCGTTGAATCGACGTGCGGCCAGACCCAGGGTGTGAGGTAGACCGATGGCGTAGAGAGATGTCGGACTGAGGCGGGGAGAGGGTTGGCTGCGCTGTAGTAGCGGAATGGTCCGCTTCCGCGATCCGTTACTCGGGTCACGGTGTCCGAATCTGCTGAACGGAGATCAGTTGGGCGTACGCTTGGCTAAGAGAGAGCAGCACTGACCTGTCAGGTTTTCTAGAACGCGGAAGTCGATCGTGCCGCCGTCGAAGACGACGGTGGACAATTCCGAGCATCCTTCTGGCACACGATCGAGCGCCTCCTCGTCCTCAGGCGTCAAGACTGCCTCCAACCGAAGCGTCCTGACGCATCTGGCCAAGTCGGGTCGTGCCGCGAGGGTCGCCCACAGCGTCGGACACTGTTTCTGCGGCGAATGGATCCGGACGAGCGAGAAGAGACGGGCCTGCGCGACCGTACGCCAGGCGGGCGAAACAAGAGCGCAGGTGCGCAGGATCGAGTACGGCGATGCGATCGAGTCGTCCAAATCATCTTTGGCCGAGACGATAGACTGCCTGTCAAGGCGAGTGAAGGTGCCGGTCGAGGCGGCGAAGACGAGGATGCGGTCGAGGATCTCGTTCGGGAGTCGGCTGGCGGTCATGTCTACGGTGCCGTTGCCAGTCCTACGCAGCCTCTCCAGCTGCAAGAGTCGAGATTGGGAGGGAGGAGAGACCGAGGGCGTGTGGAGCTGTGGAGCTGCAAGTTGACCGAAGCGAGCTGTGCGAGCGAGAACGGCGTCGTGTAGGAGCTGTCTGCAAGCTCAGCGTACGCCTTGGCAGCGTCTAATCCGTCCAAGCAGGGTGTTCGAGCGAGAGGAAGGACGTTGCTCGCGACGAGGCGACGAGGAGCGACTCCTCTTCTTTGACGACGACGACGGAGCTCGAGCTCTCGGGCTTGCTGCACCAGGCGACTGTTAGGATGGAATCGCCTTCTACGCCGCGCAGGAGACCCATCTCGATGCACTACCCGCCTCCCTCGCCGTCTTCGTACTCGATTTCCTCTCATCGCCCAACATCACCGCCTCCTCCCTCGCAGTCGCCTCGCCTGACCCGCAGACCGACGCACCAGAAACACAAGTCGACATCGTCACTCTCCAGCCTCGCGCAGCTCAATCTGGGAGGGTCGTTCGGTGGCAGCAATGGGCGCGAGACGCCGCCTCCCTCGCTCGGGCCTGCATCGTCCATCTCGCACTCGCCTTCCATTCTGCACAGTCCGAGATGGGAAGAAGGGACGTGGGGAATGCAGCGGAGCAACAGCATCAGCGCGGCGGCGGGCGGGCAGTGGGGTGCTTTCGGGATCGGGTCGTCTGCGGCGACTGGTGTTGGGCGCGAGTACGAGGATGTCCAGAACAGGACGTTCTGCAAGTGGTGCGTTCGGTATCTCTCAGTCCAGGCTGGAGCGGCGAAGCTCGTCTCGCTGTCGAAGCCGCCTTGTTCCGGCGAGAAGTAGGGCTTGGACTGATCTTTCGCCGTTGCGCAGGCTCAATGCCCGCCTCGAACCTCACGGCTATCCTCCTGTCGTCGACCTTGGTGTCGACTTCAGCGACGGAACTCGGTTGATCCAGCTCGTCGTGCGTTCTCTTCTGCTCCTTCACTACATGCTCAGAAACTGACCCGTTCTTTCCTCGTCTTCACAGGAAGTCTTGACAGAGTCATCGCTGGGCAGGTATAACCAGCAACCGTACCACCGCGTACAGAAGATGGAGAACGCCGTCAAGGCGCTCGAGCGGATCAAGGAGATGGGTGTGCACTTGACCAACATCGGGCCAGAAGGTGCGCTTATCCTCTCTCGCTCTCGCCGCTTGTTTGGCTGTGCTGACTTCGCAATCCGGCAGACGTCGTTGACGGAAACCGCAAGCTCATCCTCGGCATGATCTGGTCGCTCGTCCTGCGGTTTTCAATCGCCGACATCAAGTGCGTTCTTTACTGTCGCGCTTCTCGTTGACGTGCATCTCACGAGCTTCCGTTCGACAGCGAGGAAGGTTCTCACGCGAAGGAAGGTCTCCTGCTATGGTGTCAACGCAAGACGGCGCCCTACAACGAGGTCGACGTCAAGGACTTCACGCGAAGCTGGCAAGACGGACTCGCTTTGTGCATTTGCTCCTTCCGCTCTTTGCATCTCGACCGTGACAAGCTGACGCTACGATGAACAGCTGCGCCCTCATCCACCGACACCGACCCGACTTGCTCGACTACGACCAGCTCGACAAGCGTCCGCAGGCGGCTGCGCACAACCTCGCAAAGGCTTTCAAGGTCGCGGATGAACACTTGGGCATCCCTGTACGTTACTTAGTCCCGCTTTGTCGCCCACCTTCTCGAGCTGCGAGAGAATGACTGACTCCTTCAAACCGATCTCCTCACAGCAACTGCTCGACGTCGAGGACGTTTGCGGTACGAAGCGGCCCGACGAGCGGTCGATCATGACTTACGTCGCGCAGTTCTTCCACGCCTTCTCGTCGCGAGGCACGCTGCACTCTCCATCTGATATCCGCCCAGTGAGCGCAGGCTGATGTTCGATCTGGTGGGCTTCCGCACAGCACAAGCCGAGACGGAAGCGAGGGTCATCAGCAACTTTGTCGAGGAGATGAGCGCGTTGATGCTCGCCGTACACGACTACGAGCGCCGTGTTACCGAGGTGCGTTCTCAGCCTCTCTCTCTCCGTTTTCGCGCTACTGACAGATCCGCGCGACAGCTTCTCTCGGCTATCGACTCACACCTCTCAAATTGGTCGACCTCCCCACCCACGCCCTCACATTCCTACGCCCAACTCTTCGCCCACCGCGCCTCCTTCGCGACCTACCAACAAACGCTCCGAAGGACGTGGCTGAAGGAGAAGAGCGACACGAGGGAGCTGTTGGCGAACGTGCGGAATAAGTTGAGGACGTACGGGCTGAAGGGGTACGAGCCGGAGGAGGGCTTGAGGGTCGAGGTGCGTCGGTCTGCTTCACTCCGCCGTGATATCTCGAGCTGATGTGCACGGCCCACGGGTCTTTTCGCACAGGACGTCGTGGCGAAGTGGGATGAGCTGGGCGCAGCCGAGCTCGCCCGCTCGCGGACGATCAACCTCATGATCCGGCGGTATGCACCCCTACCTGCTTTCGATGCTTTTCGAGACGCTGACGCGACGTCCGTGTCGCAGGATACAGGAAGAAGCACGGACGCGGTTTGCGGATCAGGCAAATGCCTTGCAAGTCTCGCTGCGAAGAGTGCAGGGACAGATGGCGGCTTTGTCGGATCCTTCAGAAGTGCGTGCTCTTTCTCACTAAGCCTTAGGAGTGAGTCGCGTCTGACGAATCGTCCCGGCAGTCTTTGACGGCCCAGCTCGACTCGTTCCACCACATCTCGTCCGCCATTCTCCCGTCCCTCTCGCGATCGCTCGACGACGTTCGTGCCGCAGAGGACGCGTGCAGGGAGTGCGAAGCGCTCGAAGCGGGCGTCGACGGGACGTGCTGTTCGGCAGACGAGCTGGGCGTCGAGGTCGATTGTGTCCAGCAAGCAATCAAGAAGCGTTTGGCGTTCATCGAGAACCAGGTGCGTAACTTCCGGCTGGCGCTACATGCAGTTGCCTCGACATTTCGCCGACTACACTGCTGACTCTCTTCCCACCGCTGCCCATCTGTAGATGGTCGCTCGCAAGGCCTCGTCAGTCACGTCCGAGCAGCTCGAAGACTTCGAGTCGGCCTTCCGTGCGTTTGACAAGGACGGCAAGAACGCGTTGGACCTCGACGAGCTGGCTGGCGCGCTGAGCAGCATGGGCGTCCTCGAGGTGGTGAGCGAGCACCTGCTCGAACGCCGAACAGGCTAGACGCTGACGCTACTCCTGCAGAATCTCGATGGCGTCAAGCAAGTGGACGGGCTCGTGTCCTTCGAGGAGTATATCCGCTTGATGGTGCGTCCTCCTTGTTCTTGACCTTCGCAGAATTGGCCGCTTCGCGCTGGCGTCTCGCACTCCCTCCTGACACCCCCTTTCCGCTACGCAGACGGAACGAGCGGAGGACCGCGTCACGGGCGACAAGGTTCGAAGCTGCTTCCGCTCGGTCGCAGCCGAGAAGGTCAGCTCACTCGCTTCGACTGCTTCTCCCTTGCGCCTCGCTGACTTCTCATCTCGTGTACAGGGCTATGTTACGGAGCTCGACCTCACGCGCCTCCAGCTCCCTTCGTCGGCTATGCGCTTCCTGCAGGACCACATGCCCAAGACCGCCATCGCTACCGAAGTCGAGCCAGAGGAGGAGGTGACCGACTCGCGACAGCGCGCAGCCTTCGACTACGAGGCGTTCCTCGATAACTTCCTCGAATGACGAGCGACCGCGCATCTGCTCAGCTCCGCCTCCGCCTTTACAGACATTCTTCGTTTTTCTGCCGCACGATCATTCTCTCTTGCGCTTTGCAATCGCTTTCCTCGCCGAGCATGCGTAGTCTCACGAAAGCTCAGGAGCACTGCCGCGACACTGAAGCTCTTGCTGTCGGAGGAAACCAGTATCTAGAAGCTACAACACCGATGTAGCGTCGGGTCAACGATAGATAGCTTCGAAAGGCGGAGGGCGGGTATCCACTAGACGTAAGACGTGCGAACGGGCGCCGGCGACCAGGCTGGCTGTTGCTGCGTTGAGAAGTAGGTTCGAGACGGCGAGGACGAGAGGGCCGACACTTGCGAGTATCCGCCGCCTCCGACGCTTGAGTGATTTCCCAAGAGATAGTTGTTCGAAGGAACGATGCTGCCGCCCACCAGGTGCGCCTGAGCGGCATCGAGATGGTTGGTGCCGGGGAGACTCGCGGTCGACTGGAGCGGCGATGCATCGGGCGAAGGGGTATGGTATGAAAGCTGGTCGTGGGTAGGCGTAATCTTGGTGGGCGCGATTGGCTGATAGGCTGGGGGGAAAGGCGACGGGTCGTACGCGACGTGCGAGTGTTGCTGGACATGCTGCGCAGGAGTCCACGCCGGTCCAGCGGCAGGTGCGGCGTAGTAGTCATGCGCAGATCCGTTGGTGGCAGTGAAGAAGGTGTTCGTAGTCGGGCTGAACGTCGGCGTCGGATAGGGTGAAGGGCGGAATCCCGGCTGGCAGTCCTCCGAGGCCGGCTCGAAGTAAGGCTGTTGGGGAACGAGGTTCTGCGTCTGGACAGTGAGGGACGATGCAGCCTTCCGCAACGGTGGTCGCGCTTCCTGTACGCCGGGAAGACCTGACGAGAAGGTCGGAGCGGCGAGCTTGAAGTCACCCAAACTGGACCGGCGCGGCATTGCAGAGAAGCGATCTGAGGCGTCGGCGCGGTTCGGGTCGAGCCATCCGCCAGTCGTCGGGGCATAGTTGCGCCACTGCACGAACTCGTTCCGAGACGCAAACGACGAGCTGAGGCTGGGAAGGTTGACCGACGTCCGCGCCGAGAACGGTGGTCGCTGGTACTCTGGCGCAGTCGTCCAGGCCGGGAGATGCGGGACGGCAGGCGGCTCGTACGCGATGGGCATCTCGTCCGACGCCATCGACGACGTCGTGCTAACCCTCCTGCCCTTCTCCGGCCGGTTCCGAGGTTTGCGAACGATCTGGGTGAGCTTCGAGGGGTCTCCCCGGACGAAGAAGCCAGACGGGTGACTGTAAATGAGGTGGATCAGCCGAGGTCGCGGTCGTGCGCGACGAAGCAGAACTTGCGTGAAGAGGATGTAACCAGTGTTCGAGTTCCGCCGTTCCGTCGACCTGCGACGGTCCGAGAGCCGTCGAAAGGAGTAGTACGAGAGTTGACGCTGCGGTGCCGATGACACGACGATCAGCACAGGCTTTTGCGACGCGAAGGAGCCTGGTGGCCCGGGTCGACCTACGATGAAGCTGCTGAGTCTGTTTCACGCGGTAGACGATCAGCAGCTCGTCTAAGTGGACAGACGTGCAGTGCCGCGCGACGTACGAGTTGAACTCGAAGGCGGGACTCAGCGCGTGAATCGCGACAGCATCCTTCGAGCTGACCTCGAACGAATCGTCCGTGACCCATCGCAGGCCGGTCGAGTCGAGAGGGTGCTCGAGCAGGCTGTCCAACGAGGAGTTAGCGCGCCTTCATTGGAGTGTGCGGTGAAACTACTCACCCATGGAGCTTCTGCAAGAACTGGCTCCGAGGTGCGCGCGGAGGTGGATCGGAAGAGGTCGACATGGCGTCTTGGCGAGGCTCGCAGAGTCGCGTATACGGCTCTGGAGACGGGATGGAGCGTCGGGCGGTGAGTGGGGTGGGATGGGAGACTTCACGACGAGGACGAGAGGAAGAGCGGCGGGCGCGCGCAAGCGGCGATGGCGGTGAGACGGTGGTGCAGCGGCGAGGGAGCGCGCTCCGCAGGCTCGACCACAGATCGAGCCAACCTCGCAGAGAGTTGGAAGCGCGATCAACCCACGACGGCAAACTCGCGCGCAGCGGGACCTTCCTAGCTGGAGCCCGTCGCAAAATGAGAGAGAGCCTCGAGCCATTCAATCTGGAGGCTCAGCGCAAAAGGTTAAAAGAGGTGTCTCGGTTCGCTCGCAGGGCTTGCCCCGCTGCAGCTGCCGCTCTTCTTTGCTGTCCCATGCCTGCGTCCGCCAAGTTGGCAACGCTGCCCTTGTCGTCGGGGATCTGCAAAGTGCGGCTTCAAGGCGGCTTTACGGTCGGCTGTAGACGCTTGCCATCAGTACAGATCGCGCGGCAGTCGCTGAGCGCGAAGTGAGGAGAGGCGCCGTTGACGAAAAGCGTGCCGTTCAGCGCAAGCGAACCGTCGCGAGCAACTTCCCTCCTTCTGCCCGCTCGTCCGATCGTACGCGCCCTGCCGACGAGTCGCACCAGTGCCGGACGGAGGCGAGATAGAGCCAGGGCATCCTCCTCGCTCTTCCGCGAATTTCAAGCTGGCGCGCACTCGGAACGCGCCAGGTCGCCAAGCGGCAGGCGACGGACGTCCCAAGCGTGCGTCAAGTGCCGGGAACGACTCCCGGGACAGGCAAAGCAGGGCTTGGCGTGGCAGGGTTGTTGCCGGCGGATCGCGTCGAGCGAGACTAGGCGAAGAGGCGTCGTACCGGCGAAAAGGCAGGTTGCGCAAGATGCGTTGCAACGCTTAGAGAGGCGAGGATGACGCACGCGGTATCGAGACGAGGCGGGAAAGGTATCTATCTACAGCGGTCGAAGGTCGTCTAGGAATGTGGCGGGCGTCCATCTCTGATAGGTTCGCGCGGAAGCTTGTAGTGGCCGACTGTAGCGACCATGAGGGTGAGAGGGTTACCAGAGCAGGAGAGGTGGGAGACTCACGGCAATCGTACGCCCAATCAATCTCCTCCAGTCGCCGCTGCGTCGCTCGCACGAAGGCGTCCAGCTCGCACATGCCTTCCTCGTTGGCCACGCACCCGTCGATGCTGTCGAGCGGGACCACGCCATCGTTCAGTATCCAGCGAACGAAGCGCGAGCGACCGGGCTTGGCGAGTGGCGAGTCGGGGCAGGACAGAACCTGCGAATGCAGGTTGGCCGCGAAGGGAGAGATGGAGGAGGTGACGAAGGAAAGGTCGTGCGGGATATGATCAGTCGGGAGAGGGGCGGAGCGAGCGAACGAGGAGAAGCCGAGCGAGACGATGACGGCGGAGACGACTGGCAGGAAGGAAGGTCAGTCGACGTCGAACAGACCATGCGGATGCGTCACACACTTGTGTCGTGTGTGGCGTCGACATAGATGTTCTGGTCGAGCGGGAAGTAGCGACTGGTGTGCAAGGTCGAGTTGGTCGTCGAATTGAACTCGGAGAGCGGCTGGTTCAGCGTGCGCGCAAGCCATTCTTGCACCCAGCCCTTGCCGACTGCGGCCTGTGCGGATTGACCGAAAGCTGCGCGGAGAGGAGAATGGGGTGAGAAGTCCTTCAGCGATTCGGCTTGCGGATGGCCCGACTCACAGAAGATGTCGAAGAACTCGATGTCGTGCGCGTACTCGAAGCCGCGCCACTCGTCCTCTGCGTGCACGACGCGCGTTAGTGCGGCTCGCGAAGGCGAAATCTCGAGGCTACGCACCCGTGAAGAGCGGGCAGAAGGCCGATCCACCGAGTGCGACGAGCTCGTAGGCGCAGAGGAGTTGCATCTGCAGTGTTTGCGTCAGCGAGATCTATCGGCAGAAGTGAAAGAAGGGCCGCGCACGTTGAAGACGTCTCGATGCGTCAGCTTGACGCCCTCGACCTGCGCTTGCATCCGCTCAAGCGCGTCCGCAAGGTAGATCTTGATCCATTCTGCCATCTTCTGAGGGCCTCGCGTCAAGTCCATGCGATTGGCGTTCTTGCAGGTCATGTAGGGCGCGAGAGTGTTGTTGAAGCCGGGCCATTCGACCGTGATAAGCTGGTGGTACTGCTCCTCGTATGGGACTGTCGATGTCATGGGCGACTCGTAAGCGATGCACGCAGAATGACGAGACTGGACGAACCTCCGAAGAAGCCAGCCGCAAAGTTCAGCGCCGACTTGAGCATCCGATCCTGCCAAAGCCGAGGCGTGTGAGCAGACTTGTCGGCTACACATGCGGGAGAGAACCCGCTCCGGGCCATCGCGACAACGTCACAACGCACCTGACTTTCCGTTCGGAAGACGGGCTTCTGACCCGGCTTGAGGAGGTGACCGTACTTCGTGCGGAACGACACGCCGAGGTTGAAGAGCTGTTCACGCCCGAAGGGCGTGAGAATCTCGGCGCCTAGGCGGTACTTCCAGTCGTTGAGGAACGTGAGGTTGCCAGATCTGCGATGTCACGGAGGTCAGCGGTTCCATCGCACGGGCGCTGTCGAGGCAGACTCACGCCTTGAAGCCCTCTACACCCACGACGTTCTTGGCGAACGACTCGGTGCCGGCTCCTGACGTCGGATACCGAGCGCCATGTCTGCAAAGACACGACGGAAGAAGCCCGGTCCATCAGCCCCTGAACGTTCTTCCCTGCCCTGGCACGCTGCGCGGGATCATTTCAACGGAATGGAGACGCACCTGTGTAGGAGCTGGACCTGCGGTGGAAAACCCGACAGAGAGAATGAAGGTCAATTGAGAGCCTTCGAGCGAGATCTGCCAGCGCAAGGGACATGGTCGGCCTGCGCATTTCGTCCCGGCACGTCTCATCACAGGATGCAGCTTTCCGAGGATGCCGCAGACCGCGCCCGACGCGAAGGTCTGCCGAGGCCTGGACCGCCGGTCGCTCTCGACCGCTTGTCGAGTTCCGCCGCAAGATGTTGACGAGGGACACAGCTCGGTACGACGAATTCGACTTGCCTGTTCGACGACGCAGCCGTCCGGGACTTGCGCTGTGCTCTTCAGGCCGTGATTGACGGTCCGCCAGGGAGAGAGGTTGCCTAGGTAGTGTAGGAGATTGAACTGCGGGCAAATCTCAGCGTCGTCAGCAGCTGTTTACCGTCCCACGCCTGCCCGGTAAGCAGTCCGGGAACGCACCTCCTCGGTAGCAAGGGAGGGAGGAGGGTTGAGAGGTGAGGAGTCGAAGTTGTGTGGGTAGGACGTCGCGGCGGCAAAGGCTTCGCCTCCCTGAGGAAGAGTAGGTCAATTCGTGGTCTTGTGAGCGTAGAGAAGAACCCTCACAGTCGGTGTGGGACCCTCGAAGCCGATTCGAGAGGGGAACCCAGGGTCGCCCTTCCTCGCCTCGTCTTCACGCCTGTCCAGGTATGCCTGCCCAAACGCCAGCCACAATAGACCGATAGCGAACGTTCCCAACACCGCCCAAGCCCAGGCGAAGCGGTACCGGGCGTGCGAAGGGTCCTTGCGTTCTTCATCAGTTCGTGCGGTGGTGGGGAGGAGCGGGGCGTTCGAGTCGAGGTCGGAGTCGTCTGGCACTCCCTCGGGATGTTGCATCGTGCTAGCAAGCCCTCGCAGCAGCGCGAGCGGCGGTGTGAGCGAGGATAACGTCTTGCTTCCTCCTCTCGTCGGCTCCACCTGGGAAGTTGCTTGACCCAACTTGAACCGCTGCTAGAGCTACGGACTGCAATGCATTCAGACGCTACTTCTTGCTCTTCCCCGTCGCAGCCGACCACGCCGCGAGAATCATCTCAGCAACTCCCTCGACTCCCTCGCCCTGCTTGACCGACGCAAAGATGGTCGGGCCGTTGTCGCGCATCTTGTCCGAGTCGCGCTTCATCACCTCGAGCGAGGCGCCGACGTACTGGGCGATGTCGATCTAGAGGCAGAGACGCACGCGGATCAGGTCGTAGAGCGGAGAATGGGAGCTGAAGAAACGCACCTTGTTGATGACGAGCAAGTCGGACTGCGAGATGCCAGGGCCACCCTTGCGAGGGATCTTGTCGCCGCCGCTTACGTCGCTGGAGAAGGAAAGAGGTGTGGAGTCAGTACGAGGAGAAACGGTCCCCGAGCGGATGGGCGAGGGGCGACCCACATAACGTAGATGATCTGGCGAAGCCCACGCGAGTCAGTACACCCTTAGTTGAGTAGCAGAGAGCGATGAAAACGCACAAAGTCCGCCAGTTCGCGCGAGTAGTTCGCTGCTCAAGGAGGACCGCTCAGTGGACGGCTTCCGCGAATGCGAACCGGCCGGCGTACCTGCGAGGTTGTCTCCGCCACTCTCAACGATCAGGAAGTCGCAGCCATAGGTCGCCTGAAGGTCTTCGAGCGCGCCGAGGTTGGCGGAGATGTCCTCCCTGAAGCAACCGAAGGTCAGCCTTGCGATCCCAAGGAAGGGGTAGGGGACGTACCGGATCGCAGCGTGAGGGCATCCACCTGTCGGGAAAGTGGCACCAGACGTCAACTAGGGCACCAGACGTCAACTAGGGCGGGGAAAGGGGAGGAGTCGCCAGCGCACCAGTCTGGATGGCGCGGATTCGCCCAGGATCCGCAAGTGCTTCGTTCTTGATCAAGAACTCGCAGTCCTCCACGGTAAAGATGTCGTTAGTCGTGATACCTGTCGCCAGCGATGCCCAGTAAGCCCCCAAGTCCGTCCAGGCGATGTACGAGGAACGGGGGCGCACCGATGTTGTAGTTGTCGCGGAAGTAGCGGCACAGAGCCAAAGTCAACGCCGTCTTGCCGGTACCGACGGGTCTAACAGAGCGTTCCATACCGACCCCCCGGTCAGCGCGATACTTCCGAGTAAGCGGACGAAGCGAAACGCACCCGCCAATACCGATTGTGAACGCTCGCTCCTCCCAGTTGCGCTTGCTGAAGTCGGGCATGTCGCGCTCGGTGAACTTGCCTGTGTGTGTTGTGGAAAGTGAGGGTCAATCAACGCGACTTTTGGCCCATCGCAGCACATGCGCGAGGATGCGGAGGACGACAAGCAAATTCTGGCTCGTCTCCCAACCTTCCAAGCCAAACGCCGAGCTCACCAGGGTGATCAAGGACCTCGTGCGTGTGTCCATGCTCCTCAGCGCCGTGCGAGTGCGAGCCGTGCGAGTGAGAGTGCGAAGCGGGGGAAGCGGAGGAGGAGAAGGAAGGCTTCGAGCCGGGCAGGGCGGGCGCGGGAATGAACTGGGCGGTCGGTGCCATTGTGTGCTCGGTTTTGCGGGTATAGAAAGACGGATGGGAGGATGGCAGAAGTATTTAGGGAGGTCGAAGTTGGCTGATAGCGGTCTGCAGGTTCGAGGCGGCACACTGGTCAGATTCCCAGCATGTACAGACCCTCGAGATACCCACCATATTGACCAGGCTCCTTCAGCGGCCGGCGATACGCGATATGAGGGAATTCTCGCTCACCAAGGTCTGGATAAGCGGAGGACGAGATGAGGCGAGAGTGACCGGTCTCAGCGCGCGGGTGGGATACAGCGGCAATGGCGAGCAAACGACAGACCTTCTGAGCAGTTCTTCAGCCAGTCAGCAGCCGGGAACAGCTGCGTGTGAGCGAGGATAGCGAGGGTGGGGCAGCCGAACTCGTTTGGCGCTCCTCTGGCACCTGCCACTCATGCTCAGCCAGCTGGACCCCAGACGCAGTGCGCCAGCATCAGCAATACCGCCGCTTGCGCAGCATGAACGTCCCGCGCGACTCGCAGCCGTAGACGCCGCCTCCTCGCTCTCCTGCTGTTTGCTCGCCAGACCCCTCGCACTCGCGCAATGCTGTCTGGGCACATCGCCGACAGTCCTGCGAACAGTATCCCTTGCGTCGCTCGCGTGCAAGACGCGGCAAGGGGATTGCGGACTTCCATCGCCTCGACCCTTTCGTCAATCTCCCAACTCCCTCCTTCAGGAAGGTCATCCTTGATTAAGCGGAACCCGATACGGCAGTCGACAGGCAAGTCTGAGCTTCCAATCGTCCACGTTGTTCGTTCTCACGGCTCCTTCGCAGGCAGGAGCGCAGGATCGCCCGGATGTGTCGCTGCAGACCCGTCTCGCCCGGCACATCTGCCTCGAAGCAGGAGGTCGCACGGCCCCTGCGCCGAGGGTCGCCAGTCGCTAGCCCTGATACTCGCTCGTCGTTCTTCCGGCGAGACGGCCAACTCTTCGCTGTCTTGTCCCGCTTCGCTTCACTCTTCCGTCGTGCTCTCCTTCGATCCTCGCCTTCCTTCCTCTCAGCCGACGCCCGCAGTCCGCTAGACCGAGCGACATTCCCACAGCCGGCTCCGAACTTTGTCCTCCGCTACGCCTTCTTTGCGTCCTCCTCTCCCTCTCGAGGCGACCAACCCGCCAGTCACTCCTTCACCACGCTCACTAAGCCATATACACCTTCCGACGTTCCCTCACGATGCTCGGCTTCGTTCGCCTGGCGCTGGTCGCGGCGTGGATCGGCGCCGTCGTCTCTCAGCCAGTTGCCGGCGCAGGCTCCACCGGACCAACCAAGACCCTCGAACGCCGCACCGTTACTAGCCTTCTTCCGCCGTTCAACACCGCCTCGCCTGCGCCGACTCCCGCCTTCATCCACCCGCCCATCCCTCCTCTCCTTCCCGTCGAACAAGTCGCTACGCTGCTTACCGTAACGACGGCGACGACCTTCAGCGTACTCGGCCAAGCCGCACTGCAACTCGTCAACTCGGCCACGACACTCAACATCGACGGCGTGCTCAAGACTGTCCCGTCGCTCCTCAACGGGGTCCTGTGCGGCCTCTTCGGCTGCGGTGGAAGGCCTAAGTACTCGGACCCGCGCCCGCCTCTGCAGCAGATGGGGTCGTCGACTTGCCTGGACAGCAAGTACAACGCGTCGGTCATCAACTCGCTCTTCTACTGTGCGTGTGACGCTTCTTTCGTCACCTCTCGTAGGCTCACCCTCTCTCTTCCTGCAGATGGCGGCGCTGGTACGACCGTCAACCTCTGCCCAAACGCTCATATCGACCTGGAGACGAGCATCTACTTCTACGCCGCGAACCAAACCCTCCAGACCGGCGGCCTTCCCTTCGACTCCACGCGCGCCGTCTTGACCGTCAACGACTCGAGCACGACCTGCGCGATCTACGGTGCAGACGACGGGAACAACGGCGTCACGCTCAAGAACGTCATCATCAATGGGAATCGCGACGGCCTCGGCTGGGCACCGAACGGACTCGCCTTGATCGAGATGGGCGGCAACAACCGCGGCCAGGTCATCCAGAACGTCAAGAGCTATGACCCGCGTGGCTGGTCCGCACTGCACCTGATTGAAGGGTACCAGAACTCATGCAGCGGGTCCAAGGTTCTCAACAACGAGCTCGGCCCGAGCGGTCACGCTCCGTCCGGCGCCCAGCAGTTCAGGATGGTCAAGATGAAGAGGGACACGGGGACGTACCCGCCTGGTCAGTGGGCGGACGGCTTGTCTCTGGCCTGCAAGAACAGCATTGCGACCGGCAACACGTGCGTCAATGACCCCGTCTTCTTCTGCTTGACGTGTTGCTGACGTTGACACGTCCTGCAGCATCACTGACGCCACCGACGGCGGCATTGTCATCTTTGGCGCCCCTGGCTCAACCGTCAAGGGCAATACCATCATCGCTGACCAGCGCCAACTCCTTGGCGGTATCAACGCGTGCGTCGCCTTGAGTCGCGCTTCTGGACTCTCTTAGGCTGACTATTGGCAACTCGCAGCGTCGACTACAACCCCTTCGCGGGCGACTACTCGGGCACGACCGTCTCTAGCAACCGCTTCAGTGAGCTCGCTCGTGCTTCATCACCTGTTCTCCGCTGACGCGTCCCGCACTGCTAGTTGCCAAGAACAGCCTGCTCAAGGTCGGGATTGCCGCTGGACCCTCGACGTGGTACTCCAACTCCGCCCTCCAGCCGCATACCTACGGCGGTTCTTTCAGCGACAACTCTTTCTCGACTGGCCCGACCGGCTACTTCGGCTATGGCATCAGCGTCAACAGTCACGACCAGGCGACTATCACCGGTAACTCGTTCTACGCGGCCGAGTTCGGCGGTGTCTTTTCCTCCAGCTGCCAGCCGAACATGCCGGCGATGCAGCCCCTCGTCTACAACCCGACCCGCGTCATCGGCAACACCCTTCAGAGCCAATTTGTCTCTGCACTGTACGAGCTCGCCATCTGCGTTGGGCCTGGCGCCCAGAACAACTCGAAGACCATCCTCGCCTAGACTTTTTGTATCCCCTCGCGACCTGATACCCTCTTCCAACTCCTTTATACTTCTGTATCCATTCTGTCAATGTCTCTGTAGCATTGGATCTGTCCATCTTGACGAGTTGTGATTTTCGCTTCGCAGCCTCGCGTCGTCGGCGCGCTCCTTCGACAGCCGCACTTCCGCTTCGTCTCGCCGTAGGGTCGCCGCTGCCGCTATGGCTTCAAACAAGATTGCTCTGGAGGACCTGACGGCCGAACAAGAGGCCGACCGCTTGCTGGCGGAGGAGGACGCGGCGGGACAAGGATTGGGCGGGAAGTCCGGGACCAGGGCGAACGACGACGCGTTCAAGGCGGACTTGCAGGACCTCGAGGAGTCGGAGAGTCTGCCACAGCCCGTCACGAGCAACCAGACGACCGCGGTGCGTTCTTTGTTGCTTTCATCGCTCTCTCCACGAGTCGCGGGCTGCGAAAGGTTGCGGGCGGTTCCAGGCGGGATGGACGCGGCTGGCGAAGCTTTTGCGGTTGCTTGCGACCGTCTACGGGCCTCGAGAGGCGCGGCAGCATGGTTCGCTTCTTCGGGAGCGGCTCGGGGGTTGGGAGAGATGAGGAGGTGCTAGCCTCTATGGACGGTTACGGCCCAGGCGGACAGGCGACGACAGTTGGAGAGAATGATGCAGTCGGAGGCAGCACGCGCGCGGAACGGAGGGACGCTGCTGACACCTCATTCGCTCCCTCGTCCTCCAGGTCAAGAAGATTCACCCTGGTGAGCTCCCTTGCGCTCCTCACGCATGTTCCGTGTACTGAACCCGTCACCCCACAGCACCCATCATTGCGATCTGGATCGCCCTGAGCAGCTCCGTCATTCTCTTCAATGCCTGGATCCTGTGCGTCTCCCCTCGTCAAGTCCACCGTTCCGCGCGACTCGCGCAGGTCGCGCTTCAGCGACATGTAGGAGCAGCGGAGATGCTGACACGCATGACTTGCAGCGGCGACGACCCTGGAGACCTCAACTTCCGGTTCCCCATCTTCCTCACGACAACCCACCTGGCCTATGCGACTGTCGGCACCCGCCTGATGCGGAGGTTCACGCATCTCCTCGACGGCCTCGACAACGTCGAGATGACCTGGGATCGGTGGTACAAGAACATCGTCCCGATCGGCGGTCTCTTCTCGGCGTCGCTCATCTTCTCCAACCTCGCGTACCTCACCCTCACCGTCTCATTCATCCAGATGCTCAAGGCGTTTACCTCGGTCGCCGTCATGGGCATGTCGGTCCTGATGGGCCTCGAGCGGTTCAACCAGCGCACAGCGACGATCGTCGTCGCCATCTCGGCAGGCGTCGCGCTCGCCTCGTACGGCGAGCTCAACTTTGTCTTCTCGGGCTTCATCTTCCAGTGCTTCGGCATCCTCTTCGAGGCGACCCGCCTCGTCGCGATTCAGAAGCTGCTGAGCGGTCTTCGAATGGACCCGCTCGTCTCGCTCTACTACGTGCGTCTCCGCTCATCACCCTCCCGACCGTCCTCGACTAACGGCTCTCCTCGCAGTACGCCCCCGTCTGCGCCGCCTTCAACTCCCTCCTCATCCCCATCTTCGAAGGCTGGGCCCCCTTCGAGCAGGTCCTCCCCCGAGTCGGCGCCTTCACCCTCTTCCTCAACTGTAACGTCGCACTCCTCCTCAACATCTCGGTCGTGTTCCTCATCGGATGCGCGAGTTCGCTCGTGTTGACCCTTTCTGGTGCGTCCCTCGCTCTTCCCCCCTCTCACGCGATGCACGCTGACGAGCTGTGGTCCCATCAGGCGTCTTGAAGGACATCCTCCTCGTCGTTGGCTCCGTCGTCCTCTTCGGTTCAACCGTCACTTTCCTCCAAGTGCGTCTCCCCCCTCCTTCCCCTTCTTCGCTCTCACTAACCCTCTCGTCGACGCGACGTAGATGTTTGGCTACGGGATCGCCCTCCTCGGCTTGTTCGTGTTCAAGACTCCAGAGGACGTCATGGCGGCTTATGTCGCGCAGGCCAAGCGACTTGTTGGGCGATGATGGGTGGCGGCGTGTCTGCGAGGCTGCCAGAGCGAGGAAATCGAGGGCGGTGGGGCTAGAAGTGGTATGCAACGGACTTTCGATTCGGCTTTGTCTTGACCATCACGCCGGGCAGAGGGGAAGAGGAGGAGAGTGGCGTGAACCTTCGCGACCTCGCGACCTTCCTGTCGCTCTCACGCTCGCGAGCATCCGCTGACTGCGCGTCTGTGACTAACGACGAATTACTGCAGTTGCGTAGAAGACGGACGACTACAAGACCTGGAAGTGCGGAGGGAAAGGATTGATGAGGCTACAAGGAAGGTCATCGCGCGCAGATTAAAGGCGTCTAGGATACGAAGCTCGTCGTGCGACGTGTGCCGCTGCTATACGTTCTCCACCGCTCGGCCTCCTCCCACCTCCCGCTTCTCCTCCGCTTGCGCGCGTCCGACCAATCGCGACTCCGTCGCCCCCTCGACTTCCCTCATCTCCCCCGCCATCGCCGCAGGTCCAGCCTCCAACCTCGCATGCACGCTATACCCCCTCGTCCTCCCGCCCCTCCTTTCGCCCTCACTCTCGACTCCCACTCCAACCGCCTTCTCCCCCCCGCCCTCCCCCTCCTGACGCACAAGACTCCTACACACGACCTCTTCAAAATGAGTCCTCCACCACTCGCGTTCAGAGAGGAGAGAGCGGTGGATGAGGAGGTAGGAGAGGAGCGACCAGGGGAGGGCCCAGATGAAGAGGAGGGAGATGCAGAGTCCGAAACCGAGTTGGAGACTGGTTGCGGAGGGGCGGGCGTTAGCGAGCTGCGAGTGGGAGACGGGAAGGGAAGGAGATGCACTCGGTCGTCCAGTCCACTGCTGCAGTCGCGCCGATGAACACCGCCATTCCGAACGTCCAGTAGAGGGTTTGCCACCACATCAGGGTACGGAACGGGGGTGAGGCGGCGTAGCTGCTCGATTGCAGACGTCAGCCCGACTGAAGGGAGAAGGGAGAGGGGGATGGGGGACGGACCGCGTTTGACAGCGTTTGCGCCACTCGCGGCCGAGGCGGAAGTCGACTGCTCCGACGTCTTCGAGGATGTAGTAGACCCTGCGCCGCCATCCTATCCGTCAGCACATCACTACCTCCGAGCTAGAGTCGCGGACTGACGCAGGCTTGGTCGGCGTTCTCGGCGGATCACTCGACATCCACCACCTCAACCCCTTCCAACTCTTCAACGTCAACCCAAAGACAATCATGATTGGCGCGACGAGCATGGGGAAGGAGAGGAGGAAGAAGTTGTAGAGTGGGATGGCGGGGGCGATGGCGAGTGGGATGGCAAAGGTGAAGAGTGCGAGGGTGTAGGTGTGCATCGTGAAGTCTAGGTGCCTGTGCAGAGCGTGTGCGTGAGCGAGGGTCTCGGAAGGAGGGAAGGGAGGGGACGAACCACCACGAGCGAGGGATATTCCGCATCAAGCGGTTCTTGCCCGCAGGCTCAAACGCCGGGTCCGCCATATAAGGGTAATAAAGCGGTCCATACTTGGCTCGATGTCGCAGGACTGTTCGCTTTCGGTCAGCGGGAGAAGAAGGAGCGAGGAGGGGAATGGAGGGAACGCACGCTTCCATAACCGCACCGGAGCGTCGAAGCAGGATGAGACGCCGAGTGCGGCGGAGCCGATGCCGATAAGCTCTTTGTCGTCGAGGCGGGTGTCTGCGCGGGACAATCGTTGGTGATTGAGGAAGCGAAGGAGGGGAGAAAGCGGGACGGACAGATGCGGAGGAGGTAATAGAGGAGCTGCGACGACACTCGGGGTCAGCCTGGCTACACTGGAGGTGTGAGGACAGTGACACTGACGCAGGGGATGAGTACGTTGCAGACGAGGAGGAAGACGAGGTAGAGGACGGGTCCCTTCCACCCAAAGTGAAAGTTGAGCGGCGGTGGGTGGTCGGGATTGAGGATGGTAGTCTCGGGCTGTGTCGCGTTCGAGGCTGAGCGGTCTCTGCCGCGTGTGGTGGCCAGGGGAGGGGCCGCGAGGTGGAGAGGCGAAACGGACGAGGGCGAGGGCGAGGTTGACGAGGTGCTGGTGAGCGACGAGCGCGGGTGCTCGCTGTCGTCTGGCGGTGCGGTGACCGTGATTGTGGCCATGCCCCCAAGGTGCAGCAGCTGCTCGTGTTCAGCGTTCAGCAGTCAGTCCACGGTGAGTCTGTCCGTGGTAGTGTGTGAAGTCATTAGTCTGGATTGTAATGTCCCGGATTACGCGATTACAAGTTAGCAAATGTGCCGCGCTCGAGCCTCGCTTGCTTGCTCCCGCGCTGGCTTTCGCCGCAGTTGCCGAACGCGCTGTTCCCTTCGCTCTGCTTTGCTCAGCGACGAGTCAGCCACTCGTACTCAAACCCACCTGCACATCTCTCCGTCCACTCTTCTCTCTCACCGCACACCACCGCACCACACGCTCGAGCACAACCCTCGCCCCGCTTCCCTCCTCGGCTTCACTCGGCGTCTGTCCCTCGCACATCCTCCAGGATAAGATCCCGCTCCAGCCACTCTACCAACCGTGCGCACTTCTCTCGCTCTCTCTTGTATGCACTCTCACGGCGAGCTCACCCGTCACTCCCGCTCCGCAGTCCGACGCTCCTAGCGCACCCCCCCCCCCCCCCCCCCTGCGTCATCTCCTCGCTCCTCCCTTGTCCTCTCCCTCTCCCTCTCTCTCGCCGCCCGACCAACACTATGCCACGCGTCGGCCCAGAACACGAGAACTATGTCCCGCGCGGACCCTACGTCTGGGGCTTCCCGCTCGGAGACTTGAACTTCCAGGCGTTCAGCTCGAAGAAGATGTTTGATCCGAGGTGGCACTTGCGCAAGGAGCGCTTCAGTGAGTTCGCCCCCTTTTGTGACTGTCGAGCTGGCTTCGACGAGGTGGAATGCGGAATGATTGAGCGAGCGAGCTGACCCCGTTCTTCGCCCCCGGAACAGTCGCGTACCAAGTCGCCATGCTCGTCTGCCTCGCCGCCGAATGCACAGCGACCTACTCACTCGACAAGTGTGCGTCCCACTCCCTCCTGACCTTCAACTCCGCGCGCTAACTCTTGCCCCCCTCTCGCGCGCAGACGAAGACCTTCAAAAACACATCGAATCCCGCTTCTCCCCCGCCCACCTCTACCAAAACGACCTGATCGACATGGAGATCTCGACGATCGTCTTATGCGTCGCCGTCGCCTGCCTCTTCGGAGCCGACTTCTTCTTCCTCCTTCAGTTTCCACGCCGCGTCTACCCCAAGTGGTACCAGACGACGAAGAAGGTGCTTGCGGTGATCATTACTCTCGGCATCTTCGCCTGCGCACTCGGATCAACCGTACGTCCCTTCCCTCCTCCCTTCCCCCCTTCTTCCCACTGACTCCCCCTCTTCTCCTCCTCCCAGATCGTCGTCGCCCGCAACTCCGCCATCCTCGGCCACGTCTCTCCCTCCGTCGCCCGCGTCGCAGTCGAATACTACTTCCGCCCGCCCCTCAGGTACAAAGACTGGGCCGTCAACATCGCTTGGGTCGTGTTGCTTTGGATCGGATGGGTGGGGTGTGTCGCTGCGTGAGTCGGGCCAGTTCTCCCCTTTCCAAGCGAGGACGAGTTACTGATAAGGAAATGGGATTGGCACAGGACGGTGGTCATGTTCCTCGCAGCCGACTATGACGCCGTCCACGGGACCTCTCCACGCGCTATCCCCCTCCTCCCCACCTCCTCCTCCAGCCCCTCCTCTCAACCTCCCTCCTCCACCTCCCTCCCGCCCAACACCGCCTCGGAGAAGATCTACCTCCCTGTCCCAGCTCCACACCACGTCTCCCTCCAGCGCGTCCATGAAGAAGGCGTTGGGCAGGCAGTGCGGATGGAGATGGATCATGAGACGTTTGAGGGACGTGGGAGGGAGGGGAGCGTCGTGACTCCAACGAGGAGGGCGGAGGCAGAGCAGAGGGTTTGAGGGTCGTCTCGTTTCGCTTCGCTTCGCACGTGCATCTACACCTTTTCTTCTCGTCGTTATAGTCCTGTTGCATTCCACCGTACACAGACTCCCCTCTTCCTCGGACTCTTATCTCACGCATACTCCCCTCCACGATGAGGAACCAATAGAACCTCCTCTTTCCTCGTAGATACCCCCCTTCCTCTTCCCGCTTCTGGTTTCTTGGGTTAACCGGATCGTGCATCTAGTCATTTGTTGTGCCGAGTCGGGTCGAGCGACGGAGCGAGTTCATTGAGCGATGCCGGAGAGGATGCGACGCGAGGTGGTTGTTCAGGGTTTCCGGCGCAGTCGCGCGTTGGCGTCAAGCTGTATGTGAGCGAGGGTGCGGGAGAACAGCCTGCCAGCCGCCCGTAAGCTCATCGCATCCTGCGCAAAGCGAATGAGCACCGACCGGGACGCACCGTCCGTTCTATACCACTCCCTCCTCTCGCGCCTTACAAACTCCTCACGTTCCTCCCGACGCCCTCCTCCTCCTCCTCCTCCCTCGCGCCCTTCTCCGCCCGAACCACAACCCTCCTCAAAACCTCCTTCTCCTTCTCACCCACCTCGACCCTCTCCAGCTCTTTCTCCACTTCCGTTCTTCGCGTGTCGAGGAGGGAAGGGTCGGTTATAGCTTGCGAGAGGAGCGGATGGGATGAGAGGAGGATGCGGGAGAGGAACGAGCGGGGAGAGGGGAGGGAGGGGTGGATTCGGAGGGACGAGAGGGAGGCGGAGAGGACTTCGTTTGGTTGTACTGAGGGCGGAGCGGCGTCTGGGAGTGTCGGTGCGGCAGGAGAGACGGGAGGTGCGAGGGAGGAGTTGGAGAGGAGGATCCGGGCGGAGACGAGGGAGAGGGAGGGGAGGTTGGGCTGGTTTGCGAGAGTCAGCGGGCCCGTTGGCATGCACACGAGTCTGAGGAAGGACTTGACGCACGAACTCAGTCCACTGTCTCGCCAGCCCAAGCACGTCCTCCCGCTTCTCCTGCCCACACCGCAAAGCAGCCCTCATCACCAGATCCATCACCTCCGTTTCCTCCTTGACGCCCTCCCGTAGCAAATCCAGTCCTCCGTGAACCACGTCCCCGAAGCGGCGCAGGTAGTACTGCTGGTGGAGAGCAAAGAGAGCGGGTCGGGCGGGTCCTTTCGAGCGAGCGACTTGGTCGGGGTCGTTGAACCACTGCCGGGCCACGAACGCTAGTCAGCCACACGCTTAGAGAGCTTCAAGTCATACCGGAAGAAGCGCAACGCACCCCAGGCTCTTCCACCTTTGCCGTGTACCCTTTGGCAGCCCTCCTACTCGCCTCGATCCGCTCCCTCCTCGCCGCAGCAGCCGAGTCGTCCACCTCGATATCGAACGCGCCAAGCTCGCTCTCCCATAGGTCTGCGGCGTCGGCCATTGTAGCGGTGTAGCGTGGGCGGAGGGAGCGAGAGATGAAAGGACACAGCCTTCGCAACTTTTGAGGCGGGTCGAAGGACTCGTAGGGCTCGCTGAGAGTGCGAGAACGGAAGCATTGCAATGCAAGGTACGGGGAAGCAAAACGAAGAACGAACGAGGTCACAGCGCGGGAGTTGCAGAGAGAGAGGAGGGGAAGGTGCTTGCGTGGTTGCTGGGTAGGAGTGTTGCGTAGTAGCTGCGAGCGTTGCGAAAGAGAGAAAGCTGCAGAAACAATGCATTGGGGCGTAGGAAGCGGGAGAGCCAGAAGAGGGCATCAGTAGGGAAGGAAGAGAGGAGGAGACGGAGAGAACGCATGCGAACAGCACAACCACCTTGATGATACTGAGCATGCACACCAGAGCGTCAATGACAGACGTAACACAGGAGTGACGGCCGGAGTAAGAAGCTAGCGCAGGTAAGAGGGAGAGCAAGTAGCGCGGCGACGCTTCGTAGGCGGAGCGTCGGAAGCCTCGTCGCCATAGAGGTGCTCGTCAGTACGTTCTGCAGAAGAGGAAGAAACAAAACAGTCGAAGGAAGAAGCGCGGCGCTTGTTGGGTCGAGACGGAGCGGTCTGTAGGGGAGAGGAGGTCGAGTCTGCAGCTGCGCCTGTGCCGGGTAAGGCCTGAGGCGAGGTCGCGCCCCAAACATCGCAAGCGTCGTCACAGAGCTCGTCATTGAGCCAAAAGCTCGGATCAAAGTCGGTCGGGCTTTCGCCAGTCCGCCAAGGGACGGGAAGAGGGCCTTCCTGGGCAGACGAACCGTCGTTCGAGCTGGCGGGAGTGAGCGTGAGCTGTCGCGCACTCAGTGTTGGCGACGTTTCGAGCGGCTCGGAGAGCAGCGACGTCGAAGACTTGATGAGCGGGTCGAAGAGGGACATAGGTCGAAAAGGCGATTGCTGCGGCGAGTGCAGCAAGGACGAGGTCGAAGAGGAGGACCAGCGGTGCTCCGGTGCCCCCGCAACAAGAGAGTGCGAGTGGAGTGACGAGCCGAAAAGCTGCTCATCCTGTGCCGTGTCAGTGGGAAGCGGAGGGGAGGAGAGGGCGCTGGCGGCCACGAGGAGGGCGGCCATTCCGAGCGGCTCATGTCGCTCCTTCGCCTCTTCCGGTCGTGAGTTCGCCTTGCGAGGTCGAAGCTTGACGGTGTTGGCCGAAGGAGTTGGAGGAGGCGGCAAAGGCAGGTTGAGCGAGTTCAATGTGGGCAGTTTGACCTGCTTTCCTTTCGCCGCTTTGCTGGAACCCGCTTCTCGGTCGTTGGAACACGCTGGACAGTGCTTGATGAAACCGGTGACGAGGTCTGCAAAGTGCAGGAAGAGAGTGAGCTGGGGAAGGCGAGGCAAAGAAGCGAAAGTCGCGACGCACCCTTCGGGATGTGCGACCACTCAGCCTTGACGGCGTTGTACGTCTTGTCGCGTCCTCCATGGTTCGTCCTCTCGTGCGCTTCCTTGACAATCTCGTAGATCTCGTGCCGCTGAGCCACCGGTTTCTCGGCCGTCCTCGCGCGAGTCCGCTGATTGATCCTGAAATAGCGGACGAGCGGGTCGCCGTTCGGGCCGAGTACTTCGCCGTTCTCGTCGCCAGGCGGACGGATGAACTCGAAGTGCGCGCGAGCCCAGTAGCGCTCGCCAGAGTCGCCGAGGGTCGTGTCGGAGGGGTCGCGGAGGGTGTCGAGGATGAAGGCGAAGAGGGTGCCGTCGACTGTAAATGCGTGCGAGATCGTCAGTGCCCGCTGCCAGTGGAAACAAACGGAGATGGAGGGTGAAGGGGATGTGATGGACGCACTCAAAGCCTTCCCTCGCTTCGTCGGCCCCAGATTGGCGAGATACCCCTCGACGAGCCCTTCAAAGACCTCCTCGGACGTCGTCTCCCTCGCCATGGTGGAGCAGTCGCGCGGGAGGCGAGACTTGGTTGAGGTGAGGAGGGACGAAAGGAGGCTGACGGGGGAAGCGGTGCGGGTGCGTCTCGTTAGGTGTACTCGGTGTGCGCGTATTGTGAAGCGTTTCGGATGATCGTGAGCAAGCGAGCGAAGCGGACGAGCGAGTGTGAAGGTAAGAGGACGAGGAAGAGAGCGAATGGCGGGAACAGAGCCTCCTCGCTTCGCCGTTGCTCCTGCTCGTCCCGCCACCTTCACGATCGCACCCAGAGCCAACTCTGCGGCGGTCCGCGATCAGCTGAGTCCCAACGGTTTCGAGGTACGGGAAGGATAAGAGGGTCAGGCAAGACCGCGAGAGTCGGGCTAAGGCGAACTCAGTCGGCGGTGGGCGAAGCGGTTGTTGAATGCGCAGAGGAGAAACTGCAGGCGACCATCGAGCTCCGAAGGCGGAGCGAGGTTCGTGAGGCGAGCGACGCGAGGAGGAAGGAGGAAATGTTGAACGACGAGCAAGCTGAGCGAGGTCAGTCTGGCCAGCGTTTCTATGCCGTACCAGCTCTGCTAGCTCCAGTCTGTACGCCGTAGAAACGCTCCGTCGCACCCTGTGAGTCCCCGTACGCAAGGAGGTCCGAGCGAGCGAGGGAAGGAGCATCGTCGAGGTCCGCTGAAAGCCTTGGTGTCTGTCGAGCATGTGTGTAAGCTGAGAACCGTGAAGACCTAGCTGCACATGCGGGAAAGAGCGAGTGACTTTGCGTGGTGAGAAGAACGCAAGCGTCGAAGTCGCGAGGAGGAGAGGTCACTTGCGGAAGCACCTGGCTCTTTCCGCAACTCTCGAGCGCAGAACGAGCTTGCTGTTGTCAGTATTTGTCTCCTCCAGAACCCAGCAGCGGCGCCAGCCAGCGAGGGAAACCCTCTCTCGGGAACGACCTTCTCAATCTGCCTCGAGCGGCGAAGTCTGATAACGGCGTTGCGATAGAGGCATGAGGACGACAGAACAGACGCATAACGGAGTAAAGACAAGAGCTCATGAACTTCCACCACCGACGAGCCGATCCACCAATCCCGACAGACCCCACTCCCACATCCCCTTGCCCGCCTGCGATGCGCGCCTGACAGGCTTGAGCGCCGGCGGACCCATCGTCATGCCCAGTCCCTGCGCAAGGCCCGCATCGCCCTGCCGCTTCTCCCGCGCGTGCTGCTCAATCGCGACCGACACGCTCGATGCCCGCTTCTCCCGCCGCGCTCGGGCGTCCCTTGAACCGCTGTTGTCGCCTTGTCCAGGTCGAGGACTGTACGTCTGACCGATACTACGTCCACGACCGCGTCCTTCGCCTGCATCGGCGTCCCCCGAGCCGTTCTTCGCCGCGAGGTCCTCGACAGCGAGAGCCGAGCGGACGAATGGCAACGCTCGAGCATCCGACAAGGTGATGACGATGCGCGAAGCATCGGCTCGCGCCATCCCAGCAGGCGTAGGCTGACTCGCCACCCTCCGTCGACTGCTCGTACTCGCGCGGGATGACGGCCTGACAGGCGTGCTCGCTCCGTCCGGCCCTATCGACCCAGCCTTGCGGATCGAGACGAAGAAGACGAGCGCTTCGACCTTCTTGCTCTTCTTCCCGCTTGAGCGGCCTGGCTGGTCGGGCGGAGTCCAGGCGGACCGGCTGTTACCCGTGTACGTATGCCGGCGCGAAGGAAGCCCCGGGCGGAGGGGCGTCTCGCTTCGGTCGAGCGCGGCGCGTAAGCGAGTCGTAGCGGAGAAAGGGGAGGTTTCGGGGCTGTCGGGGTCGTTGGGAGAGGGAAGCGCGACGACGCATTGGAGGTAGCAGGTGAAGGATTCTTCGTCGAAGCGGGATGAGCGGACGGAGGAGGCGCGAGAGGGTGTGGCGGTTGGAGCGTCGACGAAGGGGAAATTGGGGAAAGGTTGCATGAAGGGCGTAGGCGGAAGCGAAGGCGGGGAAGAGTAGGGTGACAGTGCGTCGGACAAGGCGGAAGAGGACGAGGTTGATTCGTCGCGAACGTGGTAGAGGATGCCTTTGCACCGCAGAGCATACTTGATGTAGGAGACGGCTCGCCGGATCGGCTCGTCGTGCGGGTTGAGGAGTGTGAGCTCGATAGGCGGAGGGAGGGCTTGGTGGCCGAACGAGAGCGACTCGACAGACGGTGTGGGCGGAGCAGGCGAGGACGAGCGCGAGCCGCTCGAGACGGAAGCGAGCGAGATCGACGGCCGGGAAAGGGGCGTGAAGTAGGATTCGGTACCGTAAGTCGAGGACGTTTCGGTCTCAGGCGAAGGAGGGGAGTCGTCGCGGACGGCTGTGAGACCACTCGGTACCGACTCAGGCGAGGCGTACACCTCCCTCCCGGGCCGTAACGTCCTCGCCGACGAGATCGACCTCGACACCCGTTCCGGCACCTGAAGGACCTGCTGCTCAACAAGCGCCGCCAGTCCATCCCCCACCACAGCCGCCTCAAGTCTCGGTCCTTCACTCCGGGCATGACTGTCCTCGTCGAGGCAGAGCGGCAGCCGGTGCGCGAGCGGGGCGGGCACGAATGTCGTAGTCTTGAACTCCTTCTTCTCCCTCGGCCCATCCTCCTCCTCCTTCTCCCTCTCCGCCCGCCCTTCCCGCGCTGCTCGGTCCTTAAGCCGCTGCGGCAACGTCTCGCAAAAGCGATCGAAAGCCCTCATCCTCTTCACCCCGTCAAGGTGCAAGAATCCCGCCAGGACCTGCCTTATCTGTGCGTCCTCGACAGCGAGAAGCGCATCAACCGCTTTATCCGCCAACTCCTGCATTGACTGATGCCCAAGCCCGAGCGGGTACCGATTCGTACTCAGGCAACGAAGGACGGTGAGTCCCGTACACCAGATATCGATCTCGGCGCCGTAGTACCTCGACGAGCCGGATTTGTCGCGTAGTCCGCGCCAGAGTTCGGGAGAGTGGTATGCGGGTGAGCCGCAGCAGGTTGTGAGTTTGGGCGTCGAGGAGGAAAAGTGAGTTGCGAGACCGAAGTCGAGGAGTTTGAGCAGGAGGGTTGGGGGAGTATCGGGTGGTGCGGAGGAGGGAGGAGGGACGAGGCGGACGAGAATGTTCTCGGGCTGCGCAAGCGACGTCAGCCACGCAACCGCAGCTAAGCGAGAGGCGGAACGAACCTTGATATCCCTATGACACACCCTCAACGGCTCATGCAAGCTCTTGACGACGCTCGAAAGCTGCTCCAACACGCTCCATGCCTGGTCGAGCGGCAGGATCCCGCCAGGGGACGAGGTGACGAGCGCTTCAAGCGTGACGGACGAACGTAGGTTCTCTTCGACTAGGTAGAAGTGGCCGGGCGTGCGGATCGTTTCGAAGACCTGCGAGCGCGGGCGAGGTGTCAGATCAGCTTTGCTGAGAGTGGAGAGGAGACCCACCTTGACGAGGTTGCGGTGCGGGAGAAGCTGGGCGAGGATGAGGGGTTCGCGGAGCAGGCGGGTCGAGATCAGGTGGTGGTGAGGATGCAAAGGCGTGTGCTTGAGAGCGTACTGCGGCGAAAGTGCGTGTGAGTCGGGAGTTGTCCTCAGACAGTAGAGCGCGGACGCACCTCCGTGTCGCCCTTCCGCACAAGCAACACCTCGCTAAACTTGCCCCTCCCAAGACTGATCCGATCCGGCTTGCGGTCTGGCGGCTTGTCTGGGTCTCTTGATGGTTCAGGGGTCAAGCGAGAGACGTCGGGACTGGGAGGATGCAGGGAGAAGGTGTAGTCGGCGATGCCGTAGGGGAGGAGTGAGTCGAGGTCTTGCGAGTCGATTTGCCGGATAAGTTGCGGTATCTGGGCACGGCGTGGTGAGAAGAGCTCGTTCGTAGCGAATCGAAGGCGGACTCACTTGCGCACGGATGATCTCTTCGACCGTGGGTTCCCGAGACGACCAGGATCCGTATCGCGAAGGACCCACCTCGCCGGCGTCCGGCAGCGCGTCTCCATCCTCCTCATCACTGCTTCCCGAGCCCACGACGAATGCAACGGCCTTCCCCTTGCCCTTGCTCGACGAGGTGCTGGTATCGTCGAGCGCAGACGAGTCCTCCCCGCCCGTCTCTGACCCGCTCGGACTCCAGAACGCCCTGGACTGTCTTCTCGTCACCACGCTCCTGTCTTCGCTGCTCGCGCGCCGTTCGCGCAAGAGCACCCTGTGTCGATCGCCTGTTCGTCCCCCACCTCTCGTGCGTTGACCGAAAGGCTGCTCGGGAAAGCACGGCGGGGGCTGGGAGTGTATCGCCCAGTGTATTGGGGGACTGAGAGGGGAGGGGAGGCGGCTGGTGGATGAGGAGCGGGTGGTCAGCGTCGACAGGGCGAGTGACGGTCTGCCATGATAAGGGAGGTGGAGGAGCGAGTCGGGTCGGGTGCGGTGCGAGGACGGCGGCGGGTGGGCTGTGGGTGCCTCGTGCGTGGCTGTCATGCACTGCGAGCCAGTTTGCCAGTCTGCGGCAGGTGTCACGAGCGAGAAAGAGGGAGGAGGTGAGCGGGAGGATGAGAAGAGAGCGACGGCGGTGATGCGGGGTGCAACCAGAAGTGCGGGGGACGCGAGCACAGTCCCGAAGAGCAGCGCGTGCGTCGAAAGCTGTGTCTGACTGAGGAAGAGCGAGAGAAGCGACGAGGTCGATGTTCACCTCCTCGACGACGCGCGACAACCTCTTCCTCCTTGTGCTCGTCGCGTTCTCCCTCTGACGCTGACGCGCGCTATCGCCCGTCAACGCGGGGTCCAATTCTCCGGGTCTCGGGACCACCTCACAACCTTGACCCGTCGATCACCAACCACGAAGAAAAAAAGATTCGAGTGCGAATGCAAAGATGCGTGTGCGACGACCAAGACGAGTCTACGTCTCCTGGCAGAATGAGTGGTCTAGGTTCTATGGACAGGAAAGATGTAAGGGAATGCGAGGGGGATAAGAACGACAGGAGGGACGAGGGGGATACAGAACGAACGAACGACGACGACGACATAACGATACTGCTGGACTGAACCTAATAAGGAGTGAGAGGGCGACTCAAAACGTCGACAGCTGCGACCCGCGACTCCTCCCTCGCCGCGAGATGACGTTCATTAGTGCCGCCGCGAGGAACAACCCGACTGTCATGCCGACTGCAACGCGGATCAGGCCCGCGGCTGAGTCGACGGCGGTCGAGAACGAGTTGGATTGCGAGGTTGCCGAGTCCGAGGCGAAACGGAGGAGTCCGCCGTTGGCCAGGCCTGCGTTGAGAAGGTGATTAGCCGGAGAGCGGCGGCGAAGGGGCGGTCGCACGCACCCGAGGGAAGCTGGATGAAGATCCCGACGATCATCACCACAAACGCGCTCTCCCTCGTCGCCTTACTCCACACATTCCCCGACACGCCGACCACGAACGAGCCCAGCATCGAAGTCAAGGCGGGCATATTGCTGAAGGCGCGGGCGGAGAAGAAGTTGGTTGCGAAGCCCGCGCAACCGATAAGGAGCATGGCGAGGGTGTCGCGGCGGAAGAGGGGCTGGCCGTTTTTGAGCGCCATGCAGAGGAGGAAGCCGGGGACGGTGAGGAAGTCTGCGCGGACGGGGGAGACCTGTCAGCTCGGTTCTGAGCTCGACAAAGGTAGGTCCGACGCACAGAACCATTGAGGGATCGTCTGGCGGTACCACGGCGCTCCCTCGCGAAGGTAGGCGCACTATAGTCGCCAACTCAAGTCAGCTCGCAAGACCGGACTCGCAAAGGAGAAGCGAGCGCACCGTGTAATCATCGCCACCCGCAATCGACTCCCTCCCGCCCATCGTGTAGATCTCCGCCCCGACACTCAGTCCGAAGCCGAGGAAGAGCGAGTACAGCGCGGCGTAGGTGATCCGCACAGCGCCTGAAACGATCGAGCGGTTGGCAAGCTCGAGGGCGGCACAGAGGACGATGAAGCCTGGGAGGACTGCGGTATGACGGGCGGGTCAGGAAGATCGAGGGGAAGGAGGTGAGGGGAACGCACTGAGGACGATCGAACCGGCTGCGACGGAGTAGAAGCAGAAGTGGCCGGTGTAGCTCAACGCGCCTGCGATGACCGCATTGATGCAGGCGATGACGATCTCGAACAAGGACGAGTACATGTCGTTCCTCGCGAGGAAGACCTGGACGATGACGAGCAGGCTCCCAAGCGGGATCGCGACGAGACAGTCGATGAAAGAGCCGTAGAACGCGCTGGGCATGATGAAGGCGCCCGCGAGGCCTCCGACGACGACGTGGTGGAGCAGGCCGTACTTGGGCGGCGAGGTCATGAGGTCGTCGAGCTCCGTCGAGCCTTTCCCGACGCTGATCTTGTCACGTATCACCTTGTGATAGATCCAGTACGTCGATTTGAGCTTCCCGATGTCGAGGCCGCTCGCTTGTTTGAGGAAGCGGATGTCGGAGGTAAAGGTCGCGGGGTCGCCGAAGTTGACGAGGAGACAGCCGGGGAGGTAGAGGCAGGAGCAGTGCGGGAGCTCGAGGACTCGAGCGGTCGCCTGGAGCTGCGCCTCGAGACGATGAGAAGGTGCACCGAACCTGTCAAGCGAGCAAGCGGGTCAGCGCGAACCAAGGGTGAAAGGTAGGCGCTGAACATACATCATGAACGCCCTCGCGAGCTTGAGGATGAACTCCTGCCGCTCAATGATGGCCGCCACATGCGCCGTGATGAACACCCTCCTCGCCTTCAACTCCTTCTCCCTCGCCTTCTTCCTCCTCCGCTTCTCCTTCTGCCACTCTCGCAGATCCCGTTCGCGCTCCTTCGCCTCTTCCTCCGCGCGGCGCTCGGCTCGCTCGCGCTCCTTCTCGGCAGGAGTGAGGACGGGCGAGAGGTGGCCCGAGGAAAAGTATTCCTGGTGCAGAGACGAGAACGAGCCAGTAGGCGACTTGGGCGACTTGGCGGCGCCGAGGAAGCGGAAGATTGCTGATGATGCAGTAGGCGAGATCGGGCTGCGAGTCGGAGGCGGAAGAGCGTGAGGAGGCGAGAGTGCCGAAGTGTCGATGGACAAGACCGGTCGAGGCGACGAGTTGCCGCTTCCACTGCCGTTCCCGTCCTTGTCGTCCTCCGTCTCGACGTGCAGAGAGAAAATTGCCTTCTTTCGCCGGCCCCGGCGCTCTTGTAACATCTGCGCCGCGTTACCCGACTTGTCCCGCTCTTCCTCCTCGCGGACCATCTCGCTCAGGCTCTTTCGGCTCGACTCGGGCGATCGAGGAGCGGACAAGGCTGGACGAGCGGGAGGGGAGAGCGGACGAGGTGGTGGTGGTGGTGAGAGTGCGCGCGCCGAGGAGGATGGGCTAGGCGAGGCGGAGCCTGAGCGAGTATGACGGTTCACGTCCGGTGCGGAGTAGCGGGAGAGGTGGTACCCAGGTCGAGTCGGGATAGGGGCAATGGTCGTGCCGGACGGAGTGGCAGGAGCGACGAGCGAGGTCTGCATACTTGACAGCGTCAGTACGTCAAGTCGGAGTGAATAGCCAGAAAGGGACGCACCGCTCCGAACACTAACCCGCCAAACACGCCCGCTTCGCTTCTTGCGGCCTTCGGCCTCGTCCGCTCCGTCTCCAACTCCAGCCCGAGCCTGTCCCCCACCTTCCTCACGCGCTTCGACAGTTCCGAGCTGAGTTTCGCTCGGTGAGGGATCGCGACGCCCACGGGTACTGTTGGAGAAGTTGGAGAAAGGGGAGGGGAAGAGGTGTGCGAATGGCGGGAGAGGGAGGTGGAGGAGAGCAGGCGGGAGAGGGTATTGGATGAGTGGGAGCGGTGCGGCGGTCTCGTTGAGTCGGACTGAGAAAAACGAGAGTCGGAAGAGGCGAGCTGGACGAGCGAAGTGGCGGAGCGGGAGCGCTTGTGTGCAGCGAGTGTGGGCGAAGCGGGGGCAGGAATGTCGATGGCGCTAATCGCTGAAGTCGACCCGACAGACAAAGGTCGGCGAAGAGGCGAGAAAGCGGGCGATGAAGCAGTCGGTGAGGACGCCCTCGAGCGCGACACGGACCTGTCTTCGCTCGGAGCCCGCGTCGACCGCCCGGACGTCCCAGCACTCTGCCTACCTCGGTTATGCTTGAACGCCCCGCCCGTCGCCAAACGTATCGCAGTACCTGCCGCATGTTTCGAAGCTGAAGCGACCGACGTCGAAGCTGCGTGCAAGGCGTTCTTGCTCGCGCGCTTGGCTCGAAGACGCGCGATGAACCGCTCGCGCTCGTACTCGTCGTCGGACGAATCGTAGTCTGTGCCTGGCTTTGCTGCAAGAGTCGGAGAAGGCGGGACGGACGAGAGGGGAGTTGGGATGGCGGAAGACGAGGCAGAGCCCGGAGCGCTTCCTCCGCCTACCGCAGCTTCCTGCTGGCTCAGGGCAATGAGCGCTGCAAGGATTCCAGCGTTGCCCTGAGGCGCCGAAGGGGCAGTCGGCGAGCCGGCTCGCGACTCTTCGTCGCTTGTGCCGAGGTCGCGAGGACTAGTCGGCCCTGCTTTTCCGTCCAATACATCCTCCTCGAACCGCCTCATCCGACTAATTGATGCCCTCCGCTGCCGCAAGCCTTCCCACAAGCCCATCGCGCCCGTCGTGTACTGCCCGACGAGTCCTTTCGCCTTCTCCTCGCTCTCCACCGCGGCATCGTTTGTCCCAAGTCCGGCCGAGGCGGCGGGCATCGAAGGCAGACCGTCCCGCTCGAGCGGGTCAACCCACACCTCGAGCTTCTTGACGACTGGGTCAACAATGCCCTCTATCGCGCCGTCCGCCTCTCCTCCCACAAGCGAAACGGGCACATCGTCGAGCCGATACCGGTCATGAAACGGGTCCGCCCTGTCGTCCACGCCGCCCTTCTCGGCCAGCGACAGGCTCTTCCTCCTCTTCTTTGCCCCAGCTTCCCCTGAGAGACTCGGACTCGGTGCGTCGGCCGCACTTTCGCTGAAGAAAGGGACGGAAACGTGCGCCGAGACCTGCTCGTTCCACTGCACCCGTCGCGCGGGCTTCGCAGTCGCTCCTGGAGTGCCAGGAGTCGCTGCACCGTCTGGTGTGCCAACTGGAGGGGTCGGCGCGGGCGTGACGGGCACCGAGACGAAGTCGTTGGCTTGGACTGATGAGGATGCGAGGTCGGGGAGAGCGGGTGCCGGCGGGTCGAGTGGTGGCTCTTCGGGCGCCATTGGCCCTCGCGAGTCGAGTTTGCGCAGTCTTGGCTGAGTCTGAGCGGTGTGTGAGCGTGTGTGAGGGTGGGAAAGGAGTTTGGGATGCTCGAGGCCGACCTCCGCGTCTAGGCGAGGCGGGGCGAGGTGCGGAGTCCCATTGTGCGCGTCGCTGTCGTTGTCAGAGTTGCTATCGAGCCAAGCGGTGCGAACAGAGCGCGTTCGAAAGGACGGAAGCGGGAAAGGCTTGAACGGGCGAGAGAAGTCCGCTCGCGACGAGGCTTGCACTCGAACAACGCACTCGCAACGACTGGACGGAGCTGCTGTGGCTTCAGAGTTGCTGTACTGGACGGTCTCAAAGGACTGGCGCTGGACCGGGCGAGCCGCACGCCGTCGTCGCTGAGGAGCGGCCGTCTCTCCTCGTCGTCCTCCTCGAGCGTCTGTTACACTCGCCGGTTGTGCGGCGGACGGGTGGAGCACGGGAGTCCAGTGCGGGAGCCTGTGGAATGCAGTGGATCAAGGCTGCACAGCTTCTCCGCGCTCCCCGTCGTCGCTTCTCCTTCTCCTGACCTTCTCAGGACGCTGTTCGCTTAACGCAGAGCCTGGCCTGCCCCCTTCCGCCTCCCGATGCTCACGACGCGCTGATTAGTTCGATGAACGCGTCGCATCAAGAGCGGCCGCTTTGACCGCCGACACAGCATCACCTTCACCTCGCCTCCTCTCTTCTCCTTCCCTCATCCTCTCGCAACTCGTCTCCGTGCTGCAACTCCGACGTCGTATACAGGCTCACAACGCAGGTGCGTCCCCGTCACGCAGCGCTCGACACCCTCCACCGCGTCCCTCGCCCGCCGGACTTTCCCCGTCGTCGACTGACCCGCTCCGTTCGTCCCCACAGCATGGCTCTCCCTCTCCTCGACCCCCTCACGGCCCCAACCGTCGCCCGCACCCGCCTCGACGCGCTCCTCCAGCGCCACTCCCTTTCGCTCTCCTCCCTGCTCCCCATCCTCACCACCTCCGGCGCAGTCCTCGGAGGAGGCTCGATCCCCTCGGTCGTCTATGACCCCAAATCTTGGGCTCCGCGTGACATCGACATTGTCGTTCCGCAAGCTGGCGCCGACGCGGTTCGCAAGTACCTCGGAGAGAACGGATTCAAGGTCTCGTTCGTGCCCCCGCAGGGATTCGAGTCGAGCTGGAAGAGGGACGGGGAGACGTTTGTTGTTCCGTATGCGCTCGAGACGTGGGACAAGGAGCGCAAGACGATTGACCTCACCATCGTCGGAGGAGGCATGTCGGCGCTCTCTCACATTGCGTGCGTCCTGCCCGTGCTTTCTCTTTCGCGCAGCAGCTGACCTTGTCTCGTTATCTCTCAGCTGCTACGTGAATTCGCATCGCCCGACCCTCTGCCCCCAAACAAGCAAGCTGACTTATCCCTCTGTTCGTTCTCCCAGCACTCCTCCATCGTCCTCGGCTGGCTCGACGGCCACTCCCTCAACGTCGCCTTCCCCGAGCCCTCCCTGTGCGGCCAAAACCTAATCAACATCATCCCCTCCAAGATGTCGCTCCTCTCCTTCGTCGAAGCGCTCGACAAGTACTCGACGCGCGGATACCGCCTCGTCACGGCTGACAAGGGGGGCTCGGTCAAGGTCAAGAAGGAGGGGACGGTGCAGGGGAGGGCGTTTGGGGATCAGAGGCAGGGGTTGACGGAGGAGGAGTTGAGGGATATCACGAGGAGGATGGGGTGGAGCGTCGAGATTGCTTGAGTCCGTTCTTTCGCTTTCTCTGCTCGTCTCGCTTGATCTTGTACGTAGGAACCGCAACGCAACTCGCTTGGACTTGACGCTCGACCTGGCCAACTTCCTCAAGCTCTTACCCTCTCTCGCTTTCTCGTTCCGCTTCGTCGCCTGTTGTGAAGATCGCAGTCGTGGGACGACGCTGCGGCACACTGGAAGAGCCGAAGCACGCTCCACGCTCCGCGGACCCGGCCGGAGGAAGGCGGACCTTCTTTCGTCGCTCTTCACTCGCTACTCAACCCTGCTCCTCTGCCTTGATGCTGACCACTTGTTGAGGACGAGGGTGATCTTTGCGAGCCGGCACAGCCGTCGGACAGTGAGCCAGCCTCGCCATGCCCGTTCTCTCGCCGTCCTTCTCTCCTCTGCTCCCGACACTTCCGCCTCTTCCTACCTCTCGCCAATCCCTCTCTCGTCGCGCATCTTCCACAAATCCCTCACTCCTCTTCGACCCTCCCTCGTCCCTCTCGACCTTCCTCACCCAAATCGGCAGCGCCGGTTCGCTCTCCTGCGAGAAAGGCGGCGGGGTGGGGCTCGATACGAGGTCGGGAGGGTATCATACCAATGGGAAGGGAAAGAACGGGACGAGGTACTGCGGTGATGAGAAGGAGGGGCCGAAGATGGTTTGGTGGGAGAGTAACATGGTGATTTCGGCACTTGCTCTTCTTGCGCTTCGCACACGAGACTGACCACGCTCCATCGCGATTGACAGGACGTCGACTGTGACGGGAGCAGCAAGAAGGGACCTTGCTCGAACGACGAGAGCTTCCAGGGTCAGACGGCTTTCCAGGACAGTGCGTCGAATTTCCTTCACTTGTAAGCTTCTCCCCCATCCGATGGCAGTTTCTCTAGCTCTTTCGCTGCGACGCTTACACCTTTCGGTGCCTGCAGAGAGCGGCAAAGACATCGACGCCCAGTCCGTGCCGTCAGTTCGCTTCCCTCGCACCAGCTCCGTCGTTTGCACCGTCCTCTCCCGTAGACACCTGACATTTGCTTGACATTGCCCGCAGCTACGTCGTCATCGACCAAGACAAGGATTTCGACCCGACCAAGTTCGGCGTGCAGCCGCTGTCGGTCGTCGCGGTCGTCTGTGGAGGGAAGCTGACGTTCGGTATCTGGGCTGACACAAGTACGTTCTCGCTACTCACTCCGCTTCTTGCACTCTTCTGCGTATTGTCTAACTCTACGGATCCCCTCTCGACCGCTCGAAGATGCCCTGGGAGACATGGGCGAAGTTTCGGTCTACCTCGCCCAAGTCTGTTTCGGCACCGGCATGAACGGCGACGCAGGCTACGACAACCCCGACGTCTTCTACGTCGCCTTTCCGGGCGGAAAGAGCGAGACGGTCCCTTCGAAGGAGGGGAAGGATTTGAACGAGATCATGACTATTGGTCAGGGGTTGGTGCAGAAGGCGTTCGGTAGCGGCGGCGCCGTTGTCTCGGGAGGTACGGGCAACTTGACGGGAGTGTCGAGTGCCAGTCATTCGGGAGGCAAGGCGAGCTGGACGGGCGGAGGCGCGGGCGAGAGCGATCAGGCAACCGCAACGTCGGCTGGTGTTGGCGGAGGCAGTTTAGGCGGGACGGGAGCGGGCGGAGCGACGGGAGCCGGCGAAATGACCGGGGCTGCCCCGATACCGACGGGCAACAACGCAGCAACAGCGTCGTATGCGAGCGAAGGCGGTACTGGCGGTCTCTCGACAAGCGGCGGTACGGCTGGTGGCTCAACATCTTCGGGAGGTTCTTCCAGTGCGCTGCTGGGGAGCACTGGCACGTGCGTCTTGTTCTCACGCCCTGCTTGGCTGGAAACGCCTGACCTTCCCAATCGCGCCTTTTCCCTTCGTCTCGCTCGCAGCACGACTACCCAGCTCTTCATCGCCGGCGGATGCATTTTTCTGCTACTCGCTGCCGTCGTCGGCTGGGCGGCGATGCAGCATGGACAGCATGGCAGGCGGTACGAGCGCGCAAGCAGGAAAGACGGGACAAGCGACAGCGAGTCGGATTCGGAGACTGCACGGCGGTCAAAGCGTACGAGTCGAAGAAACCAGAGCAGCGGGTCAGAGTCGAGCGGGACGGAATCGAGCGAGACGGACGAGGAGAAGCCCTTGCGGGAGTTTGGGAGAAGGCGGTCGGCTCGACCACGTAGAAAGCGGGATATGTATCGCTGAGTACATGTACACTCACGGGAAGCTCGAGACGCTGTTGAGGAAAACTACGAAATGAGGGGAGCCGGAGGAGGCGTTGGCGGAAGAACCCAGCGACCTATTTTCTCGCCCACCTGCGCGTGCGAGGGAACGGGTCAGGACTAAGCGAAGCATAGAGTGGTGGGAAGGCGGGGCGAGGAATACTGCTTGCGCACCTTGACCAGCGTCTCAAGCTGCATGCCTTCCGCGTTCCGTCCCTCCGAGTTCTTCAGCAAGTCATCGTGCCATCGCACGCTCCCCTTCGGAAAGACCGCAACGATTGTCGAACCGCCGTATGCTGTGGACGGCTATCTGAGTAGGTACGCCTAGAGTCTGCAGCCAGAGAGGCTTGCAAACGCACCGAAATACCCCAACTCGTCTCCTCGCTTCACCTTCGCCCCTTCCTTCGCCGTCCTCTTGATGCTCGCGACAAGCAGCGCTCCGACCTGGACGAACGCAACGGGCACCGGCGAGCCCGTCAAGGGATGTACCGCGTCGAGCACATTTACGTCCCGCTTGTTGGCCGTGAAGACGTCGAACCGCTTGTCGCGCACAATCATCGAGTTGACCGTGTAGTAGGAGCCGGGGATATGCGATGTTGATCCGACGATGCAGTCGACTGGGGAGTGGAAACGGTGATAGTCGGCGAGCGCGAGGCGAAAGATTGCAACCGCACCGCCCTTAAGCGAGGTTGCGAGGCGCTTGTCGCGGAAGAGCGAGGCGAGGGTGAAATGCTTGCCCTGTAAACAAGCTGTGAGCTGAGTGCAGGAAAGGGAAGACTCCGTGGCCACTCACCTTGATCCACAGCTTCTGCGCCTCTTCAACGCTCCGAAAGACCGTTAACCGACAATCCGCCGCACTCGAGATGACAGTTGCATCGTGGGGACTGGCGATCGGGCGAGTCCCAGGCCGTAGTCGTCTGGCGAGAGAGAAAGCGTGAGCTTCAGTTCGGGAAGGGCGGCCGCGAGCCTCACTGACCGGTAAAAGAAGCTGTTGAGCGTCGGGTAATTACGCAAGTCCGGTTCTAGCAGCTCGGAGCAGTCGACTGCGCGGAGAGGGATAAGCACGAGGTGCAAAAACCGTCGGTGAAATGGACGCACTGTTGTAGGCCCGCACGAACGCTTCTATCCGACTTAGCGCCTTCCGCGGGTCGTCAAACTTCCGGCCCTCCTTCACTGACCACCGCTTCATCATCCGCTCCACCTCCTTCGTGTTGGTGAGTCGGCCCCGGTCGAGGCCGTGGTACAAAATGGTCATGCCGAGTCGGCTGGCGAGAGGCATTCGCTCGAAGATGATGACCTCGCCGCCCTTCAATGGGCCGTGTCGTAAGGCGACGAAGACGCCTGTGCCGCTTCGAACGGAGCTCTGTGGAAACTAGGTCAGGGACGGCTTGTAACTCGGGAAGAAAGGGAACGCACTTTGACCAGTGCAGGATGCCGGCTTAGCACAATCAGGTGCGTTGTCGCGCTGTCCTTGGCATCCAGCCTTCCATCAGCAATGTCCTCGTCTTCCCACCCGTCGTCGTTGTCCCCGCCCTCGTGCAACTTCCTTGCCCGTTCCACCGCCCGCCTCGCCTGATACCCTTTCAGTGCGCGTTCGACGGCGGGAGGTAAGAACTCGTCGTCAGCTGCGTAGTCGGGCAGCTCGGCGGGATTGAGGCGTCGCGAGTGCAGAGAGGGGAGATAGCGATCGTGCAAATACGCGACAGCGGCGGGCGGTGGGGAGGGAAGCGGCGGAAGTGCGGAACCGGAGGTTCTTCGTGGAGCCATGGTGCGCCGTGAAGGAGGGTGAAGAGAGAAGGAGAGAAGGAAGCGAGGACGGGCGGAAGGTCCGCGGACCGGCCGAGGGCTGAGCGGTGTACGGCCAAGCGAGTGAGCGGCCGACGCTGGGAGGAGCGAGATGAAGAAATAGCGCTGCGCGGAAGTGTAGCAGCAACGAAGTCGAGAGAGCGAGAATCGCAAGGAGGACGACGCTGCTCACCAGGAGCCCCTTCAACCTGCTTGAATACGCATCTCGATGGCAGTCCTCGTCCGTCTACTGCTTCGCCGTCCCATTCGTTTTCCCGCCTCCCGCAAAGAACTCCTTCAAACCCCTTTGCTTATCGTCCCACGCTCCACTCCCAACACCCCCTCGCGTCCGCTTCAAACCGTTCAGGTGATCTGCCTGTCCGAATACGACGACGCGGTGACGCAGCTTTGGGACGGGACGGGAATGGTCGTCTGCGTGCGGCCAGGCTGGAGGGAGAGTGGGATCGCGAGGTGGGATAGCGGGAAGGGTAGGGAGAAGGGAGTGGAACTCGTCGGGGAGAGGAGGGCGGTCGGCGTCGTCGACTGCGGAGCGAGACTTCGACGGAGAAGACGCTGACTTGCGAGAGGGAGAAGAATGGGGTGAAGGAGTCGGGGCAGCTTCGGACGGTGCGGGAGGCGATGCGTACTGTCCATTCTGCGGAGGTTGCTGTCCGGCCTGACCGCCGACAGCCGACGAAGGAAGCGCATGCAGAGCCGAATGGTCGTCCAGCTCAATCTCGATGCGCGTCCAGGCGGTGTTCTGATACCCGCCCGACTTGACAAAGCGGATCCTCGGGTCTCCTGCGCGCTTGAGGGCGAAGAGCATCTCGGACAGCCAGATGCCGTGCGCGAAAAGCATGATATGGTGTTGCTCGGGGTGAGAGGCGGAAGGCGGGACTTGGGCGGTTGCGAGGACGTGAGGGAGGACAAAGTGGCGGAGGACGAGGTCGGCGCGGCGGGCGACGTCGTTCAAGGACTCTGCGTTCGGCGCCAAGCTGTAGAAGCGCGTCAGACTGCAACTACGACAGTAAAGAAGCGGCTCGACTTACCGGAACGCCCGGTGATCCTCCCAAGGCAAATGCGCGCTCGAGTACTTGCCCGCGTCCCAAGGCGCACCCTCCGCCTCGCCAAAGAACTGCTCACGGAGCAGAGGAGAGACCTGCAAGACTGACCGATTAGCTCTTTCCCTTACATCAAGCGAAGGAGGGGAATCTTACGGTGAAGGGGGGCTTGGGGGTCGTCTTGTTCGCCTCGTATACCTTCTTCGCCGTCGTATGCGCTCGCGAGAGGTCGGAAGCGTAAATAGCTGCACGACTCGAGCGTAGGTCAGCCAGGTGGACAGCGGTCGCCTGAACGAGCGGAGACGAACCGGTAATCGGCACGTCCGCAAACGCCTCTCCGAGCCTCAGCGCCTGGCTGTAGCCATGCGTAGACAGCGGAGCGTCCCTATGACCCGCCCACAGCGCTGTACGAGGGAGACGAATGGGAAGTCAGTACATCGGCCGAAAGTGGCGAGGACGAAGGACCACGCGCCGGTCAAGTTGTCCTTCGACTCGCCGTGCCGAACCATCGTTAGGATGAGGGGTGCCATGGTCGATAGTGCAACCGAGTGCGAGGTGTGCGAGCGAGAGGGGAGGGAGATGACGAAAGAACGGCGAGTGAGGAGCGAGGCGATCTTGACGGCCGGTCGTGAGTTGAGTGAGATAACTGATTCTAGCTATCGGACGAGTCTAGGGAGCAGTCCGACTGAGCAGACGAAGTGAGTTGAGCGAGAGGAGTGTTTTCACGAGAGAGCGGTCGAGTTGGGGTCCTCGTCGCCCAGCGATGGACGGCTTCCTGCAAATCCCTCACGACAGAAACGTCGGAAGTGGCTCAATGTAAGCCGCAGCGAGCGAACGGAGCGCGGTGGAAGCGAGAAGGGCGACCTGCGTTGAGAAACGGTTGAGTGTAACAAGGTGTACGGCGCGAGAGAGCGAAAGAATGCGTCGACTCCATGGCGAGGCAGTCTACCGCAGCACAGACGACAGCAGAAGGTTGTTCAACCCCCGGGCTGTGGTCGACCTCTCGCGGACCAACCTTCGGTAGTCAAGGAAACGGGAGTGCCAGAAAGTCGGGTATGTATGGTATCATTGCGGTAGTATGCGCGGGTAGTCTTGAGGCGAGGGTAACGAAAGGTACAGATGGTCAAGCGTGCGCCGGAAATTGGTCGCTGGTTCTGCAGAGCGACGCGTCCACGATCAGCGGGCTGCGATTAGTGCGGTACGCGAGGGTGAAGAGAGAGCGAAACGGAGGAAGGAGAGAAACAAGAGGAGATGGTCGAGAGGGTGACATGAGAGCGAAGACGGACGCACAGGGTTCAAGCCTTGAGCGCCTTCGGTGCGTTCTTCTCGTGCTTCTCCTCCGCCATCCTCTCTGTCTGCGCAACGAATCGGACGTCAGCACAGCGCACACAAGCTGACGAGCTAGGGACGCACCGATGCGGTCCACAAGAACCGCGACATCTGCGGAGCGCGACTCTGTCAGCACTCGGTGTCGAAAGCGCGAAGGGGCCAAACGAACTGGCTTTGAGCGAACTGGAGGATGCAAGGATCGTATTGAGCTGCTCCGTGTTGTGCGCGGTCTTCTCCTCCAACTTCGCCGCCGAGACGAGGACGGGATGGACATGGCCTCCAAGGCGCCAGTCGACTGCGGGCCGACGACAAGTCAGCAGTCGCTCATAATGTGTGGAATTAAAGGCGCAGTTGACGCACTCCAAACAGCGGTCCCGACGACCACACCAATAAGCAGGAGGTCGGGCCCTGTCACTTTCGCCCGCGACCAGCCGTCATCGCGACCTGCCTCGGACGCCTTGCTAGCTGCAATAGCAGACTTGTCGGCGTGAGGGAGCGCACTGCTGTGAAGGGTACGGCCGTTGGAACGGGCGAGGGAGAGGCACGGCGACAGCGGGATGCGGGAGGCATGGCGGGAGGTGAGAGCAAGCGGGAGTAGACGGGAGAAGCCTGGCAGGGGTTCTAGCGAGTTAAACGAGCAGGAAAGAGCAGCAGTAGGGAGCAGTCGTTGCGCTGGCAGAACTCGAGCGAGAGGGCGGAGGTCAAGAGGCGAACGTTTGACGTTCCATCAGTACTAGTGTAACAAACTGTACGGCGCAAGAAAGGCTACACAATGACTAGAGCGTATACTCAGAAGACGGATCTAAGCGAGGAAGGGGACTATACAACCGCAGGCCTGACGACAGCATATCTCGTCCTCCTCACGACGCCGCCGACGGATCCGCCTTCAGCCCGGCGCTGCTCCTCCTCCGCCCGGATTCCGCTCTGACCGCCTCGCTCCTCCCGCGCTCTTCCCCATCATCCAACTTCGGTCCCTCTTCCCCATCGACAACGCCCGCCTCGCCGCTGCTAGCCGGCACGAACACCCTCCTCAACCTGACGCGCATCAAGCACCCAATCGCGACAGCCGCCAACGCACTCGCGAGCGCGAAAATCGCCTCGCTCCATTTGCCGACGGTGGAGATGAACACGCTGCCGAAGACGATTGGGCCGAAGACTTGCGAGGAGAGCGACTGGACCACACTGAGTGATGCGAAGAGCCTTCCTGCGTCGCGGGGCGAGGCGTGTGCGAGCGCGAGCGATTGGATTGCCGGTGAAGCGCCGGAGCCGAGCGATTGGAGGAATGTGGCGGTGAGGAAGAGGGCGACGTGCTGAGAGGATCCGCGCATCGAGGTCGAGAGGGTCGCGAGGAGGTAGGGCGATGAGAGGAAGAGGAGGAAGCCGGCTAGGTCGAGTACGAGCGAGGCTTTAGCGAGCCCGAGGTCGAAGTGCGAGTCGTGCACGACGCGCAGCCAACGCTTCTCCTTGTCCCACTGCTCGGCGGCCGAGTGAAGCGTCGAAGGGCGAGGTCGAGGAGGGATGGGCGCGGGACGGCGGCGGACGAGCTTGATGACGAGCGGGAGGATGCCGATGAGGGTGACGACGCGAAGGAAGCCGATGAACGACAGGAAGAACCCGTCTTCGGTTGCCGACCAGCCGAACGTGTAGTTGGCGTAGACTGCGGCACAGAATAATCAGCTTTGAGCCGCAGTGGACTGGCGAGAGTCGGTACGCACGCAGCTTGACCGACATGACGGCCTGCACATTGCGGCAGCAAACGCAGTCAGCATACCGCACAAAGACGGACTTCCGGCATAGAGATGAGGCCACGACGCACGATGATCATCATATAACTCGCATACGCCATCGCAATCTTCGTCAACCCCCAATCCCTTCCCCTCTTCCCCTCTCGTCTCCTCCAAACCTCCTCCGGATGCTCATACACCTCCATCCCTGCGCCCCACTCGATATTAGTCCGGTCTTCTTCGGCGACTGAGGCGTCTGAGCGGGGTTTAGGAAGGAGGAGGGAGAGGGGGCGGAGGAAGCGGAGTTGTTTCGCCAGGACGCGGCGAGCCTTCTTCGTCGTCCTGCGCGTGAGCGAGAGCGTCTGGCGATCGTGCTCGTCCTCTGCTCGCTCCGCCTCGGCCTCTACCTTCCGCTCCTCAATCCACCGTTCCCTCGCAGCCTTCCTCCTCTCCTCCCCCAAACTCTCCGGCAAAACAACCGCCATAACCGCCAAATACACCACATGCACTGCCAGCGCCGCATAGAACGGCGCGAGGACGTTTCCGTCCGTGTGGGTGATGAGCAAGGAGCCGAGGATGGGGCCGAAGGCGAAGCCGCCGAACATGAGGCCGCCGATGGCGGAGAAGACGCGCGCGCGTGAGCCGGCGGAAGTCACGTCGGAGAGGTAGGCGGATGTCGTGGCTTGGGCGGTGCTGCGAGCGAGCGACAGCGAGCGCGGGTGAGCAGATGAGAGTCAGTGAGGAAGCTAGTATCGCGGAGAAGGGGAGAGAGACGCACGACCATCCACCGACAAGTCCATCCAAGAACGGTCCGAGGAGCAAGAAATTGTACGAGAGGATGTGGTGGTAGTGGACCGTCCTGCATCGAGGCAAGATTGCGAAGGTCAGCTAGGGAAGGGGAAGGGGAGGGAGAAGGCGAGGGAGACGGACAGGAGGAAGACGGCGTCCATTGCGAGGGTGCCGCAGAGTGCGAGCAGGAGGACCGGTTTGCGACCTGCGAGTTGGGCGGAATCGACGTGGGGGAGCAGGAGTTGACGAAGGAGTGTTCGAAAGTCGAGGGCGAAAGAAGCTCGTCAGTCACAACATTCTGGAGCTCTCCAAGAGAAGGAGAGCAAGCGGAGAACAGCTAGGGAGGAAAGGGTGAACGAGGGAAAGGAAGCGAGACGCACCCCTTCGATCGCTGTACGCTCCCCAGAAGCCCGTCGTCAGACTCGACAGGACCCCCATCAAGAGCGAGAGGAGTAGAGCCTGTGCGAGCAAACTCACCCGCATCAGCTCCTCAGTTCCAAAGAGCGAGAAGAAGAAGGCGGAAAGCGAGGACGCACGAGTTGGGCGACCGAACTCTGCACCGCGCTGCTCTTGTGGCATTGCTTCGACCAGGTATCGCCTGTCCGAACCGGTGCGCCAGGAGCGGGCGCAAGGACGGGCATCGAAGTCGACGAGTTTCCCGCCGCGGGTGTCGCCAGATCCTCCTTCACAGCCGCCCCGCTCCACTCGAATAAGATCCTCCCGGTCGTCGTCGGTTCCGCTCGCCGCAGTACATGCGGCGAGGAGTAGTCGGTGATCTCGATGACGGGCGGAGGGAGGGTAACGCCGCTCTTCTCGACGGGCATGGCGCGGCAGATCAGTTGGGTGTAGATTTCGAGTTTCGCGGCGATCGTCATGCCCAGCGTGAGGGCGATGATGAAGGTGCCGGGCTGCACGGCGCGAGCTTCGTGAGTGAGTTGACGAAGTGAGGAGAGGGAGGAAGAGACGCACGAACAACCAGATTGGCGAGGGACGCTGGTACCAGCGCAGTTTGCGCCTGCGACTCTTGCTCCGCTCGTGTGCGTCGCGCTCGCCCCGCCTTTGGCCGTTCCCTCCCTCCTCCTCCTCCTCGCCCTGCGCTGAACCCGCTCGGCTCGTCGCCTCGTCGCCCGGCGCAGCTCCGGCGCCCTCGATCGGAGCGTCTCCATCCCCACTGATACCCGTGGACGCCCTCCGACGCCCCTCCGTCCCTGCGATCTCTCCCTCTCGTGCTTCGTCATCTCGCGCCCCACCTCGCCCGTCGTCGCCCCTCAAGATGCTGGCCCAGCTCGATCCCCTGCTCCCTAGCCCTGGTCGCCGAGTCGGCGGATGCAAGAGGTGTTCTGCGAGGACGTTGGGGACGTCGCCTTCGTAGGGAGCGCTTTGGGATGCGAGGGCGTGCGGAGGCAGTTCGAGGCGGGACGAGAGCGGCGAGGGAGGGTCGCTCGAGGGCGGAGGCGGGTGCTGCATCGTGCTGGCACTGTGTAGCGTCGTCAGCAGTCTACAGCGAGTCTGTCACAGCGGAAGGAGGCGAAGAGTGTGGAAGGGGTTGCCAGCCTCCTTCGGAGCCGACGACGACCGCGTGCTTTCACTCTTCAAAAGGCTTACTAACGAGCTAACAAGCATTGCTAGGGCATGGCCAACTGGAGCGGAATCACGGCCACCCTCGCCGCGATCGCTCGCCCGCGCACTCTCCAGCCAGCGCTCGTCGTCCCCTCCATCGCACACCTCGACTGGCACAGGCTCAGACACCACGCGGGAGTGCACGCCGTCGTCGTAGACAAGGACAACTGCATCGTGCGTACACTCGCTCTCTTCAAAGTCGGTCAGAGCTGAAATTGGACTCGTCCTGCAGGCCAAACCGAACGAGGATGACCTCGCCAACTCGGACGAGCTGCGGCGGGCATGGGCAGACTTGCTCGAGACGTTCGGCGCGGAGAACGTCCTCGTCGTGAGCAACTCGGCAGGCGACCTGCGCAAAGACCCGCTCCTCATCCAGGTGCGTCTCGCTCGCTCTTCCCTGTCTTACTTGGCTAATGCTCGTCCAAACAGGCCGAGACGGTTTCACGGAACTTGAGAGTGCCCGTCCTCGTCCACCGCTCACCGAAACCCGGCCGGCCCTGCGTCCGCCAAATCGCAGCCCACTTCCTCCTCCCTCGCTCATCCACAACCGACCTTACCTCCCTCGCATCCTCCTCCTCAACACAAGCACGACCACACTCCCCCTCTCTAGCAGGCCAAACGATTTTCTCCCCGCTCGCCCGCTCACTCCTCCCTCCCTCCCGCTCCACCTCCCTCACGCCCGCACGAACAACCTCCAATCCCTCGGCCCCGCTAAGGATCCTAGTGATAGGCGACCGCCTCTCAACGGACATGATCTTCTCCTCCCGCCTCTCGTCCCTCCGCCTCCCGTTCTCCCTCCCAACTCAACCTTCTCTCCCGCTTTGGCGCCGGCTGCGCGCACCCAAGATCTCGATCGGCGCACAGGGACAGCGGGTAGAGTGCGTTGGCGTGTTGACAACGCGCCTGTGGGGCAGGGAAGGAGCGGGAACGGCGCTGATGAGGCTGGTGGAGAGGTTGGTCGTGAGGGTTTTGGGCGTGCGGAGGGCGGGCGAGGGCGGTGTGCGGTGGGAGGAGTATGTGAAAGGCTACGAGGAGGCGGCTGTGCGGAGAGGGACGAGGATCGAGGAGGTGGTCGAGCCTGCGCCTGCGCCTTCGAACTCGACTGCGACTGCGACTGCGACACCAGCGGCAAAACGACCGCGCCTCCATCTTTCCCTCCCCTCCCTCTCAACCCTCCGCTCCCTCCCCTCTACCCTCTCGCACACCCTCTCCACCCTCCCAACCCGCCTCTCATCCCTCACGCACTCCCTCCCCGCCTACATCTCCCACCTCACTTCCCGCCTCCTCTCGCGCCTCGCAGCCCTCCTTGAGGCGCACGTTCCCCGCTTATTGGCGAGGTTATACGCACCTATGTCGCGCGTCGTACGGATCTACACAGACCCCTCTTCGCTCGCTCCTTCTCCTCATTCCTCCTCCTCTCCTTCGGTGGCGCCGCGGACAATCCTCGACCGCGCGGAACGTCGCCTAGACTCCTGGCTCGACTCGGCCGAGTCGAAATGGGATGAAGCAGGTCGGCGCCTCGAGGGGATGAAAGTAGGTGACGAAGTCGAGCGGTTGGGTGACAAGATTGAGGAGCTGAGAACGGCATTGAGGGGGCGGGTTGAGGGCTTGAGGGCGAGGGTGCAGGGTGGGAAGGAGGAGAGGGTGCGGTAGAAGCCGAGATTGAAGGGAAAAATCAAGGCGAGTCAATCGCTTCCTGTTCTATCCTTTGCAGCTCGTATGAGAGGGCGACGAGAGGATGGCATTGCGATGCGAGAGACTACACGAACAAGGAGGAAAACTATGCGGACGAGGCGAGATGCGAGGCAGTTGGGAAGTAAAGCGATGCGATGGGACAGATGCGGGAACGATGCGGGTGAAACGAGATGAAGAGGCGAGAAGTCTACTTCGGTGGCGGACGCTGTGATCCACTCAGAGCCAAGCTCAGCTCATCTGCATCGCGCCACGGCGAATGGAAGAACGTCGCGCGGGCGCGGGCTCACCTTCTTCGGGACAAACAACGACGGCGGTGCCTTCCTCTTGACCGGCTGTTGCGTGGGAACTTGCGCCCTCTGCACCGGCGGCCTCGGACGCTGCACTCTCGGCTTCTGCTCCTCGACTTCTCCGTCCTCCATCTTCGGCCTCTTGGCGGGCGAGTCGACGTCCATCGCGTCCGTCAGGCGCTTCTTGAGTGCACTGCCGGTGCCGTTGACGACGTGAGGCGGAGTCGGCGCGACGAGGCCGTTCTGGCCGGACGAGTAGGCGGGCGACATCTCGATTGCTCCAGCGCGCGAGCGGGAGACAGGGACAGAAGGGAGGGCGGTCCGGACGACGGGCGGGGCCGAGTAGGACGAGCGGAAGAGCTGGACGTCGGCTCTCCGGAAGAGGCCGCGTGTCTCGGCGTCCGCGACGAGTTGGCCCCAGTACTGGTTCGCGCGGAGCTTGTTCGAGTCGCCGAGGATCCAGATCGACGAGCGGGCGCGCGTCAGAGAGACGTTCATTCGGCTGCCGCAGACCAGAGTCAGTTCACGGTTGCGGAAGAGACGAGGCAGGCGGACTCACCGAGTGTCGGCCAAGAAACCGACACCCTTGTCGGCGGAACCGCCACGGACACAGGACAAGATGATGATGTCCTTCTCCTGTCCTTGGAAGCCCTGTGAGCGAAGCGCGAGATCAGTACAGCTCCGTTCGAGCGAGAGGGAAAGGCTCGAACCCACATCGACCGTGTTGAATGCAATCTTGGAGACGATCTCCTCGCCGTACTTCTGCCTGAACGTGCGCTTGAGCTCAATGACCTGGCCCTTGTACGGCGTGACGATGCCGATGCGGTAATCAAAGTCGATTGAGGGGTAGTCGCGGCGCAGGCGCTCGTAAATGGCGAGCGCAGTCGCCGCCTCGACCGGGTTGGTGTACGAGTGGTGGCGACCCGACATCTCCTGACCCTCGATGTGGTAGAAGGTATACGGCGGGAAGAGGGCGTTGGCGTGCCAGGGCTGGAGCGTCTTCTTGTCCATGTCAGGACCGTCCGTCAGGCGTGACTGGTAGAAAGCGGCGGAGGGGAACGCCGAGATGTTCGGGTGCATGCGGTACTGGATCGAAAGGAGGTGGACGGCCTGCGGACCTCGCTGCATGACGCGCACGAAAAGCGAACGGTCGTAGCCACCTCGAGCGGCGACGCCAGAGATGACGGTGGGCGGGAGCTGGAGCGGGTCTGTCGGACGAGGTGGGGTCAACGCGTGTCTCGCACATCAAGGCAGGGGAAGAGCTGCTACTCACCGCCGACGAGGATGCAACGCGTGCAGCCGTACTTGAGCGGGATGAGCGAGCTCAGCTCGATCGACTGGGCGGCCTCGTCGATGATGACCGTCTCGAAGTCGAACGGCAGCTGGGACATGTAGTCGTGGCCGGCACCGGACAGCGTCGAGCAGATCACGTCGGCTTCGGACAGGATCTTGAGGCGCATCTTGCGCTGCTCGGCGTCCATCGTGCGGCGCGACTGCTGCGCCTTGTCCTTCTCCGTGTCGAGCATTTGCGAGAGCTCGAAGATGCGCGCCTTGATTTTCCGAAGCTCGAGGTTGAGCTCGCCGCGGCGGAACTCGTTGTTCGTGATCGAGTCCATCTCGGCCTTCTTGGCGTCGCGGTCGCTCCTGAGCGAATCAATCTCGTTGCGCATGTTCTGCATGCGAGACTGGGCGTCGTTCGTGCCGGTCGTCGACTTGTTGCCGCTGGTCGCGCGCTCAACGAGCTCGTCGATGAAGACATCTTTGACAGCGATGTCGATAGCCGAGTCGGCACCGATACGGACGACCTTCGGGACATAGAGCGAGCCGTCCATGAGCCGGACGCCCTCCTTCAGACGCTTGGCGACTTCGTCCACGGCAGCGTTACTCGGCGCGCAGAGCAAGACTTTGGCGACCGGCGGGATCTGCGAGGTGTCTGTCGGACGGCCGACATCGATGGGAGCGGCGACGCGCGGGCGAGAGTCGACGAAGGCGCCGACAAGACCAACGATCGTGCTCGTCTTGCCGGTACCGGGCGGTCTGTTGGATCGAGGTTAGCTCAACATGCAACAGCAGTAAATGGCCGACTCACCCTTGAATCAGGCTGAAGCCCTGCGTTCGCAACGCTCCATGGATTGCGATCGCCTGCGGCTCGTTGACCTTGTACGCCGCCATGGTTTTCTCGATGGTCCGCGGCTCCGTCTTGATGCTCGGAGGCGGACGAGGCGCGAGGACATCGCCGCACAAGTCGATGAACTCGAGTGCTTGCAAGGCGGCGTACTCGCGGTGGACCGTACTTAGGCTGCAGAGGCAGAGGTCAGCGCAAACTGTGCGTAGAAGTTGCAATCGCGAACGCACTTGACGAGCTTGATCATCTCCCACTTCGTCCTCGCAGTCAGGCCTGATCCGGCGTTGTGTACGTCCTTCCCGAGATGGCAGCGCAGCGTGAGCTCGATGTGCTCACGCTTGCGGCTGACGGCCTGGATCTTCGCAAAGATCTGCCGAGGGCCTTGACGCAGCCAGACGAGGTCGGTGTCGCCGAAGTAGGTCCCGCTACGTAGCTGTCCATGCTGGATCGTGCAGAAGACGTCGACAAAGTCGTCGACAGACTGGCGGCCGGCGATGTCGGCGTGAATGACGTCGCTCTCCTTGAGCGCCTCGAGCTTGGCCTGGCGAATCTGCTCCCAGCACTCGGTCAGGAGGAGGGGTTCAAAGGCGGCGAAGTACTCCTTGGGCGTCCTGAAGGACTCCGGGAGACGCTTGAGCAGATCGACGTTCGGCGGCGCATCTTCGGTGGCGGCAGGATCCCATTGGAGGACGGCACGATGGAGACGGGACAAGTCTTGCGCTGAGCGGAGACGAGCTGCGCGCAGCGCTTGCAAGTCCTCCTTGCTTCGCCCGATGCCGATAGGCGTGCGAGTGCGGCTGCCGGAGGAAGCTGTCGCCCTGCCGTCGCTGCCGATGAGCTGGATCTTGCGCTGACCCGTCGTGGCCTTCTTGATGCTCGGCTTCTGGTCTTTCGCGAGCAGGGCGAGTCCGGTCAGCTTCTTGCCGTCTGCGCCCCGGACCGCATCTTCGTCGTCGGACGACTCTGATTCAGACTCCGCCTTCTTCGAGGAGTACGTCGTCCAGGGCACGCCACGCGGACGAGCGGGGATGGCGGGCGTTGGACGAGCTTTGCTGCCGGCAAGTGAAGAAGCGGTGCGGCCACTCTTCGACGCTTGTTGCTGAGGCGGGACGAGAGACGTCTTGACCTGACCCTTGACCCGCAGGGAACCAGTCGACGAGGAGGCGATACTGGAGGCGCGAGACGCTGGCTTGGGCGTCTTGTCGTCCGAGAGGTCGAGAACTTCCACCGGCGCGCCTGCCTTCCGCCTGCGCACGGCATCTTCGTTGTCCTCGAGAGCTTCTCGAATCTCGAGCAGCTGGCTTTCCCGCAGAATGGTCGAGCGCCGCTGATCGGCACCAGCGGCGGGACGATCGGCCATGCGCTTGAGCTTGGCCTGCGTCGTCTCGCGCAGAGGAATCCGCGAGCGGGTGACGCGGCCGACCATCTTGAGAACGAGAGCGAAGGTCTGGTTGAGGAGGTCGACGTCGTTGAGGCGGAGCCAGGCGATGCTCTCTTCGAGCGGTTCTGCCAGCACACCGATCATCTGCTCCGCCGTGGTCGACTCCTTCGCGAGAGCCGACTTCTGCGCAGGCGAGTCGAGTACGGCGCTGCCGCCCGTGGCGAAGCGGTCGAGGGCTTGGCCGGCGATGATCGTCTCGAGGACTCGGATCTGTTCGAGCATGTCGGCGCCGAACAGGACGGCGTCGCGCATCCACTCGGTCATCTCGTCGTTCTCGAAGTAGTTGGCCCACTCCGGCGTCCGCTTGAACAGCAGGCCCAGCGCCTCGGCCATGAGCTTCCAGAGAGCGAGGAGCTTGGCTTGAAGCTTGACGTCCCGGCCGCGGCGGACGAAGTCCGGATCGCGGAGCAGGCCGTCCGTCGTGTCGCACAGGACGTCGAGCACGTCGGAGAAGCAGCGCACAAGACGCTTTGCCAGTCCGCACGCCTCGGGAAGGAGGCGAGACGAGGTCTGGAAGAGCTGGAGGGTGTGCGCGAGGCCGCGCAACGACTGCTCCGGCCAGCGGCTGATGAGGCAACGAAAGACGTCGCGGCGGGTGGTGACGTCGAAGGCCTGCTTGACGAGACCCTGGACCGCGTTGTGAACGGCTTCGACAGGCGAGATGAGGAGAGCGATAACGGCTTGGACAACGCCCGGTCGGCCGAGGAGGTCGAGGAGGACGTCGACGCGCTCGTCGGCGAGCTGCATGATCACGCCAACGATCGGGTCGCGCGCAGCGGCGAGGGCGTCGTTGATGGCCTTCATTTGCGGTCGGACGAGGTCCTTGATGGCCCATGACCGGCTGGTCAGCTTCTCGAACTGCGCTGTCGGCGACGCGCCCTGCACGAGTACGGCGATGCCAGCCGCGTCGCCCTCCCGTACCGATGCGTACGCCTCGTCCCACATCGCCTTGGCGAAAGTGACGCTCCGCGGCGCGACCGGCGCAGGTTCGGCTTCCTTCCTCGCTTTGGCGTCGCCGTTTGCGAGCGCCTGCAATCGCTTCTTCTCTCGCCGTTCGCGCTCGTGATGGTTCTGGCTGAATGTGGCGAGGTTGTAGACGGCTCGTGCGATAGTCTTCCCGTCGCGCTTGAGAACGCTGCCGACGAAAGTTCGAGCGAGTTCGACGGCAGATGCCCACTCCGCCGTCGCGTGCGATGCGGAGAAAGCAAAGGAGGCGATCGTCTTAGCATGCAGGTCGAGGACTTTGGTGGCAGCTGCGGCATGGGGGTACCGAGGGGCAACGGCGACGACATCGGCAGTCGAGTTCGAAGGTGTTGGCGCAGTGTTCGAGATGAAGACGTCGGAGAGGATGCCGACGGCGAGCCGGAGCGCAGCCGTACGGACGAGAGGGTCCAAACGGGGTCGCTGCAGGCGATCGAGGAAAGTCGAAGTGATGAGAGCGAGCGCGTTGGTGAAGAGTGTGGGGGACTGAGCGACAGAGGCGAGGAATGGCGGCAGCCAGGCGAGCCACGAGGTGTCAAACGTCTGCGCATCCGACGTCGTTGCCTGCTGATGCGCCTGTTCCGCAAACGCCTCATGGAAGTCGTCGTTGTCGAGGATGGCGTGGAGCACGACCTCTTCGTACTTCTCGTCGCCGACTGACCAGAAGTCAGGCCCGAGGCGTTCGAGGAGGACGGTGAAGCAGTCTACGACGGAGACCAGATGATCACCTCGATCGGCGAGATGTGCCGCAACGAGATGGACGACGTCGAGCGAGGCCGCGAGGGATGTCGGCTCGCGAACGAGGACCTGCTTGATCGCGTTCGCCGAGAGGCTCCGCAGGCACGTAGCGATGCCGCCCATGAAGTCGTTCCGCTGGTCGGTGTAGTGCAGATGGATGCCTGTAGGAGCGCTGACCTCGCCACGATCTCGACTTGCGAGCGCGCCGAGATGCGAATCCATCACCGCCGCCAACCCTTGCCTGCGGAAGGCGTCGGCATCCGGCTGCCGCGTACACCGGCGTATCTGTATTTCGGCCAGTGCGCGCAGGTCATGGTCGATGTGGAGCCGGAAGGCGAGCAGACCAGCCGAGGGAGTAGGCGGCAAGGCGAGTGGGCGGAAGTCGTCACTGTCAAGGCCCGAAAGGAGCATCTCGATGACGTTGTCGCTTTCGAAGAGTCGAGGATTGGACAAGACGTTCTCGACAGCTGCCTCGGGCACGTCGTTGAGGCGTGCTCGTCGAGATGGACGCCATGTCGATTCGCCGGCGGGTGTATTGCTTGGCGGCGTATCGAAGCCTGCGGCGGCAAAGGCGCGCATCACGCTGGCGAACTCGATCGCCTCGATGCCGTTCGTGAAGGTCTGGATAGACTTATCTGGCTTGTAGTGTCGCAGATAGCTGTAGGCGCGAGGGTAAGGTCGGCGCAGGGCCACTGGGGGGACAAGAGGGAAGACTCACTTGTCGCGGAAGTCGCCTTTGGCAGTCTGGTACGCTCTGACACAGGCAGGACAGCTGTCCATCAACCTGCGAGAGGCGAAAGTGAACAAGGTCAGCCAGTGTTAGACGGTCCGAAGTTCCTGCAGCTGTCCGACCGGCACGGCCGGTGGAGACGCATAAGAACGAAACCTTGCACGCACCGCTCGAACGCATCTCGCCAGTTTGCAACTTCGCCAACTCGTTTCATCCCAAGGAGGCGAATGCAGAACATTGCGGGCTCCCAGCATTCCTGCGCGCCTTTCGCCCCACAGAACCAATGTACCAAATCCTCATCGACAGCCACGCCGTTGTCGTCCACCCTCGCGCGCTCTTTCCCTTTGGATGACGGCTGATGAGGCGAAATCGAAGCGGCGCCTGGCGGTTTGAGCGACAACAGCCAGAGCACGCTCGCCTCGGTGGTCTCCGTCCAGAGGTCGTCTGAGACGCGTGTCGGGTCCCGCAGTACTGCAAGGTTGCTGACGAGGCGTGGCGGCGGCGTGAAGGTCGGGGAGGAGAGCGCGGTAGGAGGGCGAGAAGTCGATGCGGCTGGCTGGGCCGCCATCGTGGCGCCTGAATAGACTCCTCAAGTAGCTCGAGCTGGTCTAGCGGCGCGGTCAAGCGGTGGAGAGCGAGAGAGGTGAATGGTCGCGACTTGACGAATGTCAACGAGGAGAGCGAAAGTCACCTCAAAATGCGAGCGTTGGATGGCGCTGACTGCACTCTCCAGCGTCAGGTTTCGCCGCAAGGAGGTTCCCGCCTCGCCACGAGAGGGAGCAGAGCGCGAGGGGAAGTTGACATCCCGGTGTCGAGGAAAAATGGCCAGGGGTTCAAGGCAGCGACGACTCTATCGCGCGCCAAGGACAACGTACAACACGAGAGAGGGTGCGGAACGGAGGGGAATCTATAGGGCTGCCGATGCGGTATATATAGAGGAAGGGGAAGAAATTGTCTGTTTGGCGTTTTCCAGGATCACTCCTGCGGTGTGCACCATCCACCGGGCTGCGGGCGAAAGAATCTCAGTCAGTGGTGGAATGTTGAAGCAGCGAAGAGGCGGGACGCACGATTAGAGGCTCCCACCACTTCTGGCAGTGACGAGTCCTCTTGAGGTCCTCCCACTCCTTGAACTTGACGTCCGGCGCCCGCTCCGAAGCAGAGAGGTCGTCAAGCTTCCAGTTGAGCGTTGCGTCCCAGTCGGTGAGCTCGACGATGACGCCCATGGGAGGCGCGTCGACCTCGGACGAGGAGGACGACATCCACGAGAAGAACCCGCGCTCGGAGTATGCGGTTGGAGCTGGGCTGTACGGCTCGAGGATGTCGCGGAGGGAGTCAATGAGGGCGGGGAGAGAGTCGTAGTCGGCGAGGGAGACGCGGATGCGGTTCGACTGCCATTCTTCGCGGTCGGCGGGCGCGAGGTAAGGTGAACTGTGGGTGAAGAAGGCGGGTTCGAGGATGTCGAGATCGGCAGTCTGTAGCGCCCGAGCACGTCAGTAAAGTGCGAGGTGGGGTCAACCGAAGAAGACAGGGCAAGACGAACGACAGCGTTTCTGCGGGATCAATCCGAGGTCAGCGCAAAGTCAGGCGAAGCGAGAAGGAGCGCAACGCACGAGACATCGACAATCCTGCTCCACCAAGCCCAGATGGGCGGGTTGTGGTGCTCGCGAATGCCCGCCTCCTTCGGCAGCATGACGGACCAAGCCCTCCCTTCGCCGCTCGTCGCCGTCCGCTTCGCCAGGCTCGACGCCGACTCGGCAGCGACTGCACGAGGATGGTCACCGACAGCCGCGAGGAGCTGCATGATGCGCCAGTAGTGCAGGACTTCGTGCATGTAGCCGACGAAGGTCGACTCCGGGAAGTCGGGCGCGTCCTCGTAGTAGAAGGTGCCGCGGGGGTTGTCCGACGAGTACTGCATGACGGGATCGGGGCCGGTCGAACGGTCGCGAGGAGTGAGCGTGGCGTTGATGGGGACGAGGATCGGGCGAGGGCGGGAATAGTAGCCGTTGATGTCGGCGTGCCAGCCGCGTTCCTCTACATGTCGGACCGGTCAGCTATCAGCAGGCGATGGAACTGTGCGAAAGCTACACGTACTCGGCCAGTACTGGCGGATAGCTGCGCGAGGCGAGAGAGGCGGTCAGCTCGCGAGTCTCGGCAAGAAAGCAGGCGGATCAGACGAACGGAACTCGACAAAGGTGAGGTGGTGAACGATCGGGTCGACCATGTCTGCAGCCGGATCACTGCGAGGAATAGAGAGCGTCAGACGAGGTGGGCAGGAGCGGGCGAGAAGGGACGCACAAGTGTCGCGCGAGCCACCAGTGGTATGCGAAGAACTGCAGTAGACGGTGTCAGCTCGCAGTCGACGAGGACAAGGGAAAAGTGCACGCACCTTCTTGAGCGGCAAGAGTGCGATGCGCAAACCCTCACGCGGCTGGATCCCCGTCAAGTCATTGGCAAAGTGCCACTGCTCGAGGTACTCTTGCTTCTGAGGCTCGAACACGCCCGTCAACTTGGACACGTCCTCCTTGTTCTGGAACCCGAGGTCCTTCGACGGTTCTTCCCACCACCCGCGCCTCCAATCCATCGACCACCCCGACTCGCGAATGACCTCCGTAACGAGTCCTTGGTCCCATCCTCCGCGCGCGACGTACGTCGTCAAGCACTTGCGCCAGAAGGCGATCGTCGCGGGCGTAGGACGAGAGAGGATCCAGCCAAAGTTGACAAAGTGAAGGCCGTCTTGGGTGAAAATGAGGTCCCAGCCGGGGTCGACGAGGGTCGAGGCGGAAAGCTTCATGTTGAGCGGAGGGGTGTGGGCGTAGGGTGAAGGTCGCATGCGACGGTCTTCGAGCGTCGAGTTGAGCAGGTCGAACGGTTGCTGGAGGTCGCCAAAGGTGAGGGTGAGAGGGCGCATGAACTTGAAGATGTCGGTCGTCAAGGTCGTGTCGGCTTCGAAGAAGAGACTGGCAAACCCGGCGGCGTTGAGCTCGTACAGCGCGCGGAACTTGACGTATTGCATGAGCGGGCGACGCTCGAGACCGCCAGCAAAGCCTTCGCGCTTGACGCGCGCAAAACGGTGCTCCTCCTTGCCCGCCAGGTCGAGGGAGCGACGCCTCAGGTCGGGAACTCCACCTCCAACGCCGATCTCGGGCACCTTGTGCCCGTAGACCGACTGGCGGAAGCCGCCGTACGCGCGAACGCCGCGCTTCTCGCAGTCGACGAGGCACTCGTCGTCGAGGCAGATGACGACGACGTTGTCGCTGGGGAGGCCGAGATCATTCGCTCGTGCTGCCCAAAGCTGGATCGACGGGACGTATTTGGCGGTTGCGAGGGTGAGGAAGACGGCGTTGCGTTCGCTGCCGGCCGTGTACGAGCGGTGCGGGAGCTTCTCGTTCCGCGCTTCGCGTGCCTTGCCCGTTGCGTAGAGTGAAGGCGAGAGAGGCATGGGGAAGGGGATGAAGTCAAGGTCGCGGAGATAGCGCTCGAAAGTAACGTTGCCATCCCACTCGACGATGAAGGGCCGTTCCCACTCGCCCGTCTTGCGGTTCCGGTAGAACCAGCTCGAGACGCTCTTTGACGCCGCGGAGAGGACGCTCGACGTGCGAGCGGCGCCGGCCTGGACGACCGGTCGGAGGGGGGTGTCGTGCGTCGAAGCGAGCGTCCCGAAGATGAGGACGACGGCGACTGTCACGACGGCCACCAGGCGTCGGGATCTCCGCCCAGCGAGCCAGGCCATCCATCGCTCCTTCACGGTGCCCTCGCCCGGTCCCATGCGAGCCCCTCGGCCCTCCCAGTCGTCCTCGCCGACCTCGTCTTTGCCCCAGCGATGCGGATTCCACGCGAACTTGCCGTCGTCCGACGTCGGGCTGTTGGCGAGAGTGCGGTCGCTGAGCGGCGAGTACGCGGACGGCGAGTGCGCTCGGGACGGGAGGGACGACCAGGAGGAGTTGCGCGATGACCGTCGGGAGTATTCGACGAGTTGCTCGAGCGGGAGTCGTTCCAGGCTCTGCAGTCCGCGCATGGTCGACTGCCTCGAGTGTCCAGACACAGCAGAGTCTTCGCAAACAGCAAAGGAGCGCGCAGAGGCGGGTGGCAGCGCGAGGCGAGGAGCAAGGGTGGCCCGGAGTAGCGGCGTTCGATCGCAGTCGAGGGTTGCAACGGACGAAAGTCGAAAGAGCGCGCCGAAACGGTGCAGAACGTGCGAGACCAGGCAGAGTGTTGCCTCGAGAGGAAGGAGGAGGACGGAAGAAAGTCGCTCGCCTCTCGCTCGTTCTGGCCAGCAGAATATTGCGTGTACGGAATTGCCGCAGTCCAAATTCAGCGGAACTTCCGCGAGCAGCACCGTCAGACGAGGAAAGGTGCGAGTCCCGCCTCCGTCTCTCTCGACAGAACCGCTTCAGGACGGTCGTCAAACAGCCCTTTCCGCGCGGACCGTCGTTGAACGCGCTGGACGTTGCGCCAAAGTAGGGCGGACGCATCGAGGCGCGGAGCGAAGCGCAACGGAAGCCAGCAGCGTTGTCGATCTCCGCTCGCGACCTCCGCCGGGAGCAGCATTGCGGGACTGTTCTTCGTCCTCCAGAGCGTTCGCCAGATCACCTGTTGTGCGCAGGACGATGCTCGCGAGCAAGCCCGACGCGCAGCGAGCCGGGGACTGTTGTTGTTCGACGAGCGAGAGAAGACGGTCCGCAGGTGCAACATTGCTCTAGTTTTCCCCCACTGAGAGGACGCCCGCAACGTCATAGAAAAGCCGTTGAAGCCGGTGAGTGAAGCGAGAAGAAGCTGCTGTTCGTGCAGCGAGGTAGCCGCGGCGAGAAGCGTCGCTGCCGGAGGCTTCGTCGCCGTCTCGCTCAACAGCAGGCAGCCCCAGCCAAACCCTGCCATGAACAGCACGCACTCTGTATAACACAAACCATTCACAGTTACGCCTCGACATCCATCTTGTCGCCGCTGCCACTCTGAACGGCGGTCG